AAAAGAAAAATAGGTCCTCTCGGCATCACTTATCATTCTGCTAGGGACTTCATGGTGGTGCGCCGCCCCGCATGAAAACTGCGCGGCTTGAATCAGGCATCAGTACACGTTCAGAAACTGAGCCCACCTGTGCAGCCTGGTTGAGTGGCTCTAACCAATCGCTAGCCAGGATGTTGCGCCGGTAATACTTATCACTGATAGTGGTTTTCTGTGGCGTCATGAACAGCTTGAATATTACACAGCAGCTGAACATGCTTCAGGTCTAGATTTTGGCCGGATGTTTGACGCCGGGCGACGCCGTTCGAGCTGCTGGCAGCCCACACATGGTCAATTTGACGGCTCAACGGATATCGCAGCTCGAACGGCTTCCCATCCGACCAGGCCACCTCATTCATCTCTTCCTTCGACCAGTGGAAACGCCCTGGCCTGAGTCCAAAGGTGGTGGACTGGTTGTTGTCCCGTCAATTTCATTGTCTTTTTCAGTTTGAAGGGCAGCAAAACCAAGCTAAAGGGCGGGTAATGGTGAATCATGATGTGGGACCTCTTATTATCTGCCTTGGTAAGAATTCGAGTCTGTTTGCGTTTCCCAGTCGCTATCTTGACAACTCTTCTCGCCACTTGGCAAAGGGCGCCTTTTGCGATCGACGCCGGACTGAGTCTGCCACCAAGTCCCAGTCTGTTACGCCTCAGGCAGATGTGCTACTGGCTGCTGCTGATGTCCAGCTGCTGACAGACCAGCTCCTGGCTCATGCCACCATGCCACTAACACTTAGCCTTACTACGAAACGAGAGACTGTACTCCCTTCTCTCCACTTCCTTGAACGAAAACTCTCAAATGAAACCGTTGGCGACTCGACTCTTACTAAGAGCAAGAGTCATTTCGCAAGGTCAGGTCACTGCTGAGTTGAGAGCAGATACCAGAGATATGTCTCATGGAGCTGAGCTGGCGGCCGCCGCGCCGGTGCACGCGTACTTGCGCTCGTGACATCCGTGCTGGGGGCACTCGTATGTGAACCGTGGTGGCGTTGCCTCTGTGACCCGGGGGCTACCTGGCCGGCTCGAATACGCGGCGATGGCGGGCAGGGCGCCCGAGTTCGATGCGGACGTTGAGTGCTTCGGTGCTTATACGCGGCGGTTAAATCAGTACTTTGTGGCGCAAGACATCGGGAGTGATCAAGAAGCAAAGAAGCGGGCCGTGCTGCTTTGTGCGATCGGCGCAAAAACGTTCGGTCTGCTGGAAGATCTTATTGCTCCAGCCACTGTAAGGCAGAAAACATACGATCAGCTGGTCAGCGTTTTGCAAAGTCACTTCGAGCCGGATAAATCTGAAATAGTGGCCAGATTCCGGTTTCATTCGTGCTCCAGGAATGACGGTGAGACAGTTGCTAATTTTCTAGCGCGGCTTCGTAAGCTGGCTAAAGACTGTTCGTTCGCACCTAATGTCCTTAATGAAATGCTGCGTGACCGTTTGGTCTGTGGCATACGGAACGAGTTGCTGCAACCTTGCTTCTCAGTGAGCCGGGGCTGACGCTCCAGTCGGCGGAGCAGCTGGCTCAGGCACACGAGTCGGCGGCAGCGAGTGCGGCTGAGCTCAGCGGCGGTGCTGAGCAGCGAGCAGATGGAGCCTCCGTTCATCGGCTGACTGGTGCCCGGGGTCCGCTGCGGCTGCGTAGCAGTTCTAGGGGTGCCGGTGCTGCCCGCGCTCCTGCCGGCTACAGGGACGGCGGTGGCGGCGCAGCGGACTCCAGAGCTGGTGGTCGGCTGCGCTCTCAGCGTGACAGGACGACGCCCGGGCCAGGTGACAGCACGGCGGCGAGCTGTTTTAGGTGCCTGAGGTATCATCAGCCGGCCAAGTGCCCGTTCATCGATAAGGTGTGCTACAGCTGTGGCCTCAGGGGTCACGTCCGAGTACCTCCGCCATGTCTCGGCTGATGGCGACGCGTTACAAGGGTCGGACGCGCAGGAGGGTAGCAGAGAGGACGGCACTATGCAACCGAGGAGTTCTAGTCCCGGGACCGGTGAGGAGGTGTACATACAGCATTTTCACCGTCCGGACCGGCCTCGGTGTCAGGCGACCGCCGCTGATGGTGCCGGTAGCGCTCGACGGTCAGAAGGTCGAGATGGAGCTGGACACCGGGGCGACTCTGTCGGTCTGCTCTGACGCCGGGTTTCGGCAGCTCTGGCCCTGTGGAGGGCCGAAGCTGGAACCGTGTTCGGTGAAGCTGAAGACCTACAGCGGTGAGCAGCTGCCAGTCATGGGGCAGGCTGCAGTGAACGTTCAGTACGGCGGACAGGCTCAGCGACTACCTCTCATCGTAGTCGAAGGTGGCGGGCCCTGGCTGTTCGGCAGGAACTGGCTGGGACACATCAGGCTCGACTGGCCCTCCATCTGTTGAGTGACTGCGGAGACCCGTGTGCAGCCCATCCTGGACGAGTTCGCTGACGTTTCAAGGAGGAGCTGGGCTGCTATCGAGGCGGGGAAGTCGGCATCGACGTAGACCCGGACGTCCAGCCTCGTTTCTTCAAGCCTCGCACCGTACCGCTGGCCTTCAGGGAAGCTGTGGACACCGAGCTGGAGGACCAGATCCGTGGCGAACTCTGGGAACAGGTACGGCACAGCAAATGGGTGGCTCCCTTGGTGGTTGTCCCAAGGCTGGGGGTCAGTCAATACGGGTGTGTGGGGACTACCGCTTGACCGTCAACAGGGCTGCTAAGGCAGAGCAGTAGCCCTTGCCGCGTGTGGAGGAACTGTACTCAAAACTGTCGGGATGTACCATATTTTCAAAGATCGACTTGAAAAACGCGTATAATCAGCTTCCGCTAGATGAAAAGGCCCGCGAGTATTTCACGGTAAACACCCCGAGGGGTCTTCTTCGACCCCTTCGGTTGACCTTCGCCTATTCGAGTGCAGTGTCGCTGTTCCAGCGGACGCTGGAAACTGTCCTGGCTGGTATCTCTGGCGTTGGGGTCTTCTTGGACGACATTGTAGTCGCGGGTGTCGATGCCGCTGCGCATGACGAGGCCCTCCGGCAGGTTCTTAGACGGCTGGAGGAAGCGGGTTTTAGGCTCAACAAGGCCAAGTGTAGCTTCAGCGTCAGCAGCGTGACCTATCTGGGGCTTAAGATAAGCAGCCGTGGTGTGGAGACCACCGACGAGAAAACGGCCACGATTGTCCGTGCCCCGGAACCGCGGGATGGTAAGGAACTGCGTAAGTGGCTAGTAATCAACTACTATGGGAAATTCCTTGAGAACCTGGCGAGTGTCTTGGCTCCGCTTTATCGTCTTCTAAAGGCAGATCAGCCCTGGCAGTGGGCTGAGGCAGAGAAGTCTGCTTTTCGGAAAGCCAAAGAGATGCTAGTTAGCCCTCCTGTACTAGCCCATTTTGATCCCGCCCTTCCGGTGGTTCTCGCCTGTGACGCGGGACCGGTCGGCATTGGCTGTGTGTTGAGTCAGCGGACATCACAGGGCGAGCGACCTGTGGCCTACTATTCGCGCACGTTGAATGACACCGAAACTAGATACTCACAGACTGATAAAGAGGCATTAGCTGTAGTGACCGGCGTTAAGAAATTTCACTATTACCTAGCGGGGCGAACTTTCACTATACAGTCAGATCATAAGCCTCTCATAGGCCTCATAGGAGAGCAGAAACCTTTGCCCGTGATGGCGTCACCTAGGATGGTCCGCTGGGCTCTGATGCTTGGGGCCTACGATTACCACCTTGAGTACCGGCAAGGATCTAAGCAAGGCCACTGTGACGCGCTTAGCAGGCTGCCTTCGTGCGAGAAGGCTTGTTCGAGCGTTCCAATTCCGGCTGAGACTGTCCATTTACTTGAGTTCATCGACTCATCCCCAGTGAATGTGTCCCAGATACAGCGGTGGACCGCTCTGGATCCCGTGTTGTCAGCGGTACATCGATATGTCAGAGATGGCTGGCCGGATGTCAATAGTGTTTCCCTCAGCCCTGATTTTCAGCCGTACAGGTCCCGTATAGGTGAACTGAGTGTGCAGGATGGCTGTGTTTTGTGGGGGTCACGAGTCCCGCCGCAGGGACGGGGTGCCACGTTAAAGTTATTACATGAAGGTCATGCTGGCGAGTGTAGAACCAAAATGTTGGCTAAAATGTATGTTTGGTGGCCAAAAATCGATGACGACATTCGTGATATCGTGAAGTGTTGTGTGAAGTGTCAGGAACTGAAGGGCAGGGCCCCTGACGCTCCACTGCATCCTTGGCAGTGGCCGACTCGACCCGGCAGCGAGTCCATGTAGACTATTGCTCGGCTAACGGATAGATGTTTCTGGTGATAGTCGACGCCCACTCCAAATGGATGGACGTCTACCCAACTCGTTCCTCCGACTCACTGATCACGATTGAAAAATTACGAGCGTCGTTTGCGTGCTGGGGAGTGCCAACAGTGCTAGTGACAGACTACGCCCAGTGTTTTGTATCACAGCAATTCAAAACGTTTTGCAGTGTAAATGGGATCAGGCACTTAACGACACCCAGCCTATCACCCAAATCAAACGGCTTAGCCGAAAGAAGCGTGCAAAGCTTCAAAAACGGGCTGTACAAACAGATCTCGGGGTCCATTGAGACTAAGGTCTCTCGATTTCTGTTTAGGTACCGCACAACACCGCATACTACGACCTCATGTACGCCCGCCGAATTATTTCTGGGTCGTGTGCCACGCACTCATTTAGATGGTGTGCTACCAGATAGGCAGGAGCGTATACGGAGACAGCAGGAGGCTCAAAAGACGTACCGTGATCGAAATGCCCGTGAACGATGTCTGAACCCGGGTGACCCTGTGTATGTGCCTGCTGTCGATAGATTGCAGGGATTGGAGCGTTGTCGGTGGGCGCCCGGTCGTGTAGTGTTCGTAGAGGGTTAAGGTCACTGTGGAGCTAAATGACGGAAGGGTGATTGTGCGGCACGCCGACCAGGTTCGTGAGCGATATTCAGCTGTTCCGCATGTCGCTAACGATCCTCTCCGTTCCAGAGTGACACCGATACCTGCTCCTGATCCGGTCACGGAGAGCGCCGCTGCATCTGCACGGCATGCTCCCGTTCCCGGACAACTGGCCTCCACTCCCGACCGGCTGCCGGCTCCTGATCGAGCGCCTGCTCCTGGCTAGCCGCCTGTTCCGGCGCCGCCCGGGCTGACCGGAGCGGTGCCCGCGCCGGGTGTGACCACCGTCCCGCCGTCCGCACCCTCTCCCAGCGCGCCGCGGTACCGGCTGAGAGACCGGTCCACCCTGCAGCCCCCAGACCGATACGTGGCGAGCTATGAGTAGGCGTTTTGTTTCAGTTGTTATTTGTTCTGTGAGGTGCATATTTATTTGTTTGTCCATGCTGTGCAAGTATTCGGGGTGGAGGAGTGTCATGGAGCTGAGCTGGCGGCCGCCGCGCCGGTGCACGCGTACTTGCGCTCGTGACATGCGCTCATGACACTCGTATGTGAACCGTGGTGGCGTTGCCTCTGTGACCCGGGGGCTACCTGGCCGGCTCGAATACAGTTTGGACCGAGACACCGTCTGTGATAATATGCATTCATCCAATTTTCCAGCTTCCACATTAAACAAGAAACTGTGCGAGCAGATATGGCGAAAAAATAGATGTCCGGATAATTTCGTTACACCCTGTATGTTCTAGTGCAAACTAATGCTATGATGCTAGGGGAGCGGCTGCAGGCTGGGGTAGCGCGTGCGGCCTTACGGTGGTTGGGTGAACGTGCCGCCTTCTGCTGTGGGGTGGGTGGGTTGGGGGAAGGTCCTCCTTGACCCCGTGCCGGCCCCGCCACCTGTGCTGCGCCATCTTTGGGCTGGCGACGGTGTGGAAGCGCGTACCTTCCGTCAGTTTTCCAGGCATCTGAAGTCTGAACTCGGCGCTGGCCCTGTCGTCGATGTCTGCGCGTGAGCCGTGGCGGGTGCCACAGCCTGCTGGCACCGGCGGGTACGTGCCGTGTACATGTGGTGCGGACTGCGGCACCGACTTGAACCACTCGAAGCCAACGGAGACCAGCCACCCTCATTCGCTCAGATTTATGTGAACGACCCACGAGCCGAAATACTGATGCCGAGGACCACGCACGCATTGTGCATGGCATCACATAGAGAACACCTATTACATCCGGGAACGACTCCGAACGGCCATTTTCGGGAAATTTACCGTCCGCGGTGAATATTCCTGCAGGAATATGCTCTGAACGTATCAACCGAATTTGATGTTAGTGCCGGACCCGTGGACTCAGAACTGCGTCACTAATGCCTGTTCATAAATGTAGCGCGGCGTGGCGTGAGCCATCCATGGACTGCGTGTTTCTTTTTTCCAACCAAAGGTAGGCACTATACCTGAAGATGCTTCTTTGTAACCAAACCAAACAAAAACTAACAACCTAACCTAACCTAACTTGATCTTACCTACAGCCTACAAACCTACAACGCGCTAAAAAATTCAGCCGCCGGCGGGATTCGAACCTTCGGTCCTCTGAACACGGGGCGAGTGCACTAACCAACCACTACACCTCGCAGACAGCTGGCCGGATAAAGGTGTTGTAAGTCACTTGACAATGACGCACTGGGATATACTCCGTATAGCGCCTTCCTTTGATTGGAAAAAAGAATTACGCCCGTGGACTAGCCTCTTCAACTCCGTAGCAGTGTCTCCCAATCTGCGGAAAGCTCAGCTGGTCGCATGATAACCGTGGCGAAGTTTTCTGGCTCTGCTTCAACGGCTCCTTCATATTCCCTTCATATCAGCATAAGCCAGATTTAGGCTAACTTGCAATTAAACGATCAAAAATGTTAGCTTAAGTTTCGTTAGTGTAACCGCGAGTGTCGCGGGCCGTATATTTTGGTTGCCTCGTCCTCCGTCGGCGAAAGGCATTAGCGGCGCGGTGGAGGCAAAGAGTTCGGCCGCGTGGCGGCGTCACGAACGTTCCGCATTGTTTGGATGAATTGAAAGGCAGAAAGGCGCAAACGATGTAAGTTGGTTGAAATGATTAATTTTTGCTATGTACTGTGCAATGAGTTAATGGCTGACTTCATTCTAAACGATTTAACGACTGTTTCATACGATTTTCTGTTCGTTTCAGAATTTACGGCATAATACAGCTATGTCACTGAATCGCATTATTAGATGGCTGTAACAGTAAATTATCGTTTGCGCCTTTCTGCCTTTCAATTCATCCAAACAATCCGGTCCAATGAGGCGCACAGCTCTCGCGGGAGGATGACTGGTGGTCTCGGCTGGGACGACCCAGTCCCAGAGACTCTGCTGATGCGCTGGAATGAATGGATGTCAGAGCTGGAGACCCTGTCAACCCAGAAGAATTCGGCGACACTGCCGAGGTCAAGTTCTTTCTGAAGGAAGCTGCTCACTTGAACGGAAATCAGTGCTGCGGTGAGCTCGAGGCGAGGGACTGTAACGGGTTTGGAAGGAGTCACCCTGGCCTTACTCATCACAAGTCTACAGCTGACTCTGTTCTGGTCGTCTATGAGGCGGAGGTAACTGCACTGACCGTATCCGTGCGTGCTGGCATCGGAGAAGTGATGCAGTTCCACTTGTTGCAAGGCTCCGAAGTCCATCGGTGTGTAACATCTTCGAATTTTCAGGGTTGACAGGGTCTCCAGCTCTGACATCCATTCATTCCAGCGCATCAGCAGAGTCTCTGGGACTGGGTCGTCCCAGCCGAGACCATCACGGCACAACTCCTTTAGAATCTGCTTGCCTCTCAGAATAAATGGAGAGATGAAGCCAAGGGGGTCAAATATGGAGCTAACCACAGACAGCATCCCCCTTCTAGTTGGTGGTTTATCGTTGGGCTTCACACTGAACTGAAGTACGTCGTTTTCTGTGTCCCACTCTATGCCAAGAGCTCGCTGGATGGGCAGTCTGCCCGCTCCGGCTTCCAGACTCTGCGTAGTAGAGCAGCGGCTCTCTGGCGGCACAGATTTCAGGACTTCAACGCTGTTAGACGACAGCTTGTGTAGTTCAAATCCACCCTGCTTACACAACTGGCGAGTAGCGTCGATGAGGCGCACAGCTGTGTCTTCGTCATCTACGGACGTGAGACCGTCGTCGATGTAAAAGTTTCTTCTTACGAAGTCGGCAGCTTCTTTTCCACTTTCATCTGCGTAGCTGTCGGCTGCTGTTCTGAGGGCGAACATAGCACATGCTGGTGAAGATCTTGCGCCGAACAAATGTGTCGTCATTCGGTACTCCTCGGGCTCCTGATGCACGTCACCGTTTTCCCACCAGAGGAACCTCAGGAAGTTACGATCGGTTCTGTTGACCCCCACCTGATTGAACATGCCTCTGATATCACATGTAAGAGCGATCGGTTTCATTCGAAAACGACAGAGGATTCCGGCGAGGCTGTTCGTCATGTCGGGTCCTTGCAATAGATGACTGTTCAGCACCTCTCCACCAAATTCGGTGCTACAGTCAAAAACGACACGGATTTTGTCCGGCTTCTTCGGGTGGTATATGCCGTGGTGGGGCAAATACCATACCCTGCCATTGCTGAGCTGCTGTTCATCTGTTGGGACCTTCTCAGCGTGACCATTGGCGATCGTGGCTTCCATGAACGTTGTGTAGTCACGCCGGAATGCATCATTTCGTACTAGCTTCGAGCGGAGTCCTTTGAGGCGCTGCACTGCTGCAGCTCTGTTGTTCGGCAGTCTGACGTCTCCCTTCAGCGGAAGCGGCATCTCGTAGTGCCCGTCTTCTTTCTGATGGATCTCTTCGGACATCATCTTCAGGAACATCCTGTCTTCAACTGACTGTGGTTTCTCCTCTCTTGTCTCCACAAAGTCCTGTTCAAACATCTCATGAAGCTGCTGAGGAGTCATCTCATGAGCTGTAGTCCTGAATGCGAAGTGACACAGCCTGCGGGTTCCTTTTCCTGCGTCGATGTACTGGCATCCAGAATTGATGTTCTCGCTGTCACAGACAGGGCCTACGATGCCCCATCCCAGTACGGTCCTTACAGCCCACGGGTCGTTGTCGTCACCTGTGATGACGTCTCTGGGCTTCACGGCTTTTGGGCAGTTCATCCCGACGAGAAGGCCGATTCCAGCTGCAGGGTAGTACAGCGGTATCTCATCTGCGATCGGCGCCAGGTGAGACCACTTCCTGGCAGACTCTCTTCTGGGGATGCACGAACGCTCTGCTGGAATCACCTCACGCGAATAGCACTGAGGAAGGACGATGCTGTCACCTCCCTGCACAGGCTCAATCACCAGGTCATCAACGACTGAGCTGGACACAACTGACTGGCCCGTGACTGTCTTCAGCTCCAGGGAGACTGGCTGACCCTGGATCTGGAGAGCCTCGCAGGTGCCGCCTGTCACAAAGCACGCGTCAGACTGTGGGTCAAGGACAGCATAGGTTAGAACCTTGACATCAGGGTGCTCCCTGTGACGAACGAACACAGGCAGGATCATTGAGTGGACGCAGCCTGGTCTCTTATCTCCAACTCCGGACATCACACGCAGGGATGTAGCTTGGAGCTGGTCCGTTGCTCCTTCAGGCCGACTGCTCCTCCTCTGAGTCTCAGCATCTCCGCGCTGAATGAGGTCCCTCCGAGTTTCGCTGATTGCCCTGCTCTGTGCAGCAACAGGAAACTTGTCATCATGAAGGGCAGTGGGGTGACCTTTTCCACAGGTTTCACACTTCATCTTCCTTTGGCAGGACCGCCAGACATGTCCACGCCTCAAGCATCCTCTGCAGAGTCCATACTTCATCACTGCAGCCTGCTTCTCTTCAAGGGTCATCTTGGTAAACTGTTCACACTCTGCCACTGGGTGAGCGGCAGCAACTGAAACACCTGAGCGGTCAGAGCACACCACACACCCTGGTCTGACAACACTGTGGCTGTCCCTCTTTGAGGCTGGTGCAGCAGTCGTCTGGAGCGCTCTTACAACTCTCCTGTCTCTGCGCACATCCTTCTCTTCTTTGCTGGCAGAGTCTTCGACGGGACCACAGGCCACTCTCGCTTCCTTCGCCAGGAACTTCACGAATTCCTTGAATAAAGGATATTCCGCTGGCTCACCATCTTGTGGCTCATACAGTCGCTGATCCACATATCTTCTCCAACGATCAACCACATGTTTGGGCAGCTTCTTCAACATGTAGCTGTTTTCATGCTGGTCGTCCAACACCTTCAAGTGCCCAGACGTCCTTGACAAGGCATCACACTGCTGAAGAAAGTCTGCAAACTCTCTCAGAGCCTTGCCATCTCCACTCTTGATATTTGGCCAGTTTCGGATCCGTCGTTTGTATGCAGCTGCTCGTACAAACTCGTTTCCATATCTGTCATTGAGTCTGTTCTTTGCCTCTTGATAAGCATCTTCTGTCCGCAGCTGGATGAATCCAAGAATTGCTGCCTTCGCTTCACCTTCAGTGTATTTACCCAGGTAATGCAGTCTTTCGATTGGAGAGCTGGTCTTGGCTTCTATGTATGTTTCAAATGACTTGAGCCACAACTCAAACTTTGCCACATCACCATAGAACACGTCCGGTTCCAGAGCAGGAAGGTGGCTCGGCTTTACTTCACGTTGCAACAGATTTACAAGGCCCTGGATAACATCCATGCTCTGCTCCTGTTCACTTGTCTGTGGAGCATGGACATTTGACGCTGGCCTTTGCTGCTGACTTGTCTGTGGGACTCGGGTTCTTGGGGCAGCATCTTGGGGTGGCAGGTCCAGCATCAACTGGGACATGCGTCTTGCTGTCGTTGCTTGGAATGCATCTTGGTTTCTGGTGGTGTCATTCATATCTCTTTCAAAATCATCAATGGCTCTTTCCCTTGCTTGGCTGACAGCAAACTCTGTCATCAACTTCATGTCTTCCTCCTCACACTGCAGTTCCAGTTTCCTCTTGTTCATTTCTTGGCTTTTCTTGATAACAGCTGCTCTTGCTGCTAGTTCTGCTTGCTTTTGTCTCTCCTTCAGCTTGGCGGAGCTCAACGTCGAGCTTCCCCCATCTGAATGTTGACTGACTCTAGACAGAGCAGTTCTTGACGTCACAAAGAGGTTTGAGGCACTATCTTGAGGTTCAACACCATCAGCAGGCATTTCTTCGGGCTTGATGTCCGCAAGATACTTCAACACCTTTGCCTTCATGGCATCATTGTCATCAAGCTGACTCAAATGCCTACTCACATGGTAATCAATCTCATCATCTGGAAGCAGGGACCTTAACTCGTGATCAGATGACGTCAGCTCCTGACACAGCTTCAGCCAGTTCTCGAGCTCAGCTTTGACACATCCTATGCCTTCATTTGCAGACATAACTTCAATCAACCTCTGACCACTGGACCTTACTGCACTCAATGCTCTCTTGTACACCTTTTGTTTTACACCGAGTTGATACTGAGCTCCCTTCTCTGTTATCTTACGTCTTCTCACGCCATCTGTCACATCATCTGCATTTTGATGCTCGGCCATCGTGGAGTGAGAGGATGACCAGGGAATTCAGGTAATGAAATTCAGCCACAGGAAAAGAATCAATGTCTACACAAGGTGACAGAGGAGACAATATCATACATCTACAACTACAGGTGACAATTCGGGGTTGCGTAGAATTGGTCAGGTAAAATCAGTTCATGTAGGTTGTGTTAGTACAGGTCAAGTCAGCAATTCAGGAAGTCATGGTAACCCGATCAATACAGATCATATGAAATTTGCTATTCGTGGCTAGACTACGATAATTTACTGTTACAGCCATCTAATAATGCGATTCAGTGACATAGCTGTATTATGCCGTAAATTCTGAAACGAAAACAACACGAAAATTCTGAAACTATGTCACTGAATCGCATTATTAGATGGCTGTAACAGTTAGGGTAAATTAAACGGTGTTTTATTTGGTTAGGCTAAGCCCGAAAAACGCGTATTTATGTACTTCGTGGCTGTGCTCTCTGTCAGCCTCTCAACCATGGGCGGACACGACCAAAACTGAAATACCGCGGTGATCGATTATTGTGCAACGGCAGGAAATTTCAACAACATACCGATTTACCTTCAACTTTCACGTGTATTGCGGTTGCCCAGCGGTGCCTTGTACCAGGTTACGCCGCGCCATCATATGTAAAAGTTGCAAACTAATGTTTCAAATGATGGACGATTTACATTGAACTTTCCACGCCTATCAATCGTGTGAATCTGGGCCGCTGGAAGACGCCGTTGCTGTTATTCCCGACGAACACAGTACTACCCTCGGCGGCAGTAGGTATGAGCTCTTACATGTTCTTATATATGCGACAATCGATAACACCGAATGAATGGCGCGATGTGAATCCCCATGGACATGAGTCACGCGGAGTCGGTGAATGCAAATCCTGGTCGCGTATGATTGACACATCATGGAAGTGACGATCAAAGACCAATAAAATTGCATTTATGGCTTTGAGGGAGGTTACAGTGAAACTGACTGACTACGAAAGTCGGAGACACAATTATAGCTCAAATACGCAAGCCGCTATGTCCAGAAAATGTTCTGTCTAACAGCCTGCAATATGCAAAGGTATGTACTGGTGTATGCTGCTCTAAATCAGTCCCTCATGCATTGTCGTAAAAACCATACAGACACTACATTGGATGAAGCTGGACGCTCTACTTAATATGTCATGTGTGGGACGGGGCAGACAAGGGTAGTAGTTACATTACGCTATCAGTGTACCAGGCACCAGCCATCACCGTTTCCAAACTAACAGAGTGCTCCGCCATAGACAATGCTAAAACCAGAGCGCTAATGACTCCCACATGACTGGTTTGCCTTTTTTTCTGCCAAATATCAGGGCAACATTGTGTTGGGAAAACCCAGGTTGGACATTCTTCGATGGTCAAAACAGGGAGCGGGGTAACTGACAAGGGCAATTGGCAGGGGCACCTCGGGGCCAGGCGGGACAGGAGGGTGCAGCGTTACATAGTTTTCAGTTTTTATAGTCAGATAGGAAAACTAAATAGGTTTGAGTCGGGCTACCATTAGATGTTTATGAAACAATAAGTTAATGCTGTTTATTCACTGAGTGTCATGCCATCCGTATATGGCTAGCATGACACTGTATCAGACTTGTTACAAGGTGAGGGCGATGCACGACAGGACGCCATTAGGTGTAATTTAATTTATCAGTACCTACCACCGTCGTCCTGAACAAACGATTCACGGCCAGGCGATCCTCATTTACACATATAAACGCTAAATGCGGTGAAGTACTTGCAGGCTTATAGTTATGTCTATTCCGACGGCTATTCTCGATCAAATAAAGCGACTCCAGTTTCGACTTTGAGCAGTACCGAAAGTCTGATTGTTTGTTCTCATGTGTATGAATGTGTATGTATTCGCACCTAACTCAGCTGATACTCTTATAAAATTTCAGGCATGTCCTTCCTTTGCTGCACTCCAATAACCTACTAATCGAGACATAAATGGACTACCCACTACCTACAGGGTATCTGGGTTGAAACAAACTCACACTCTAGAATAAATGCAATCTAATTCCTTGGTAAGTAAACAATAGCTATTGTGAATTGACTGATCCCATTGTTTATTATTTAGCTGACACCATTGTTTCTAAAATCATGAAAAGTCACTTGACAAGTGGACCATGCATGGCAGATTAGTGAGTTAGTTGATAACTGGCATAATGGTGTGCTATCAACTCTAAATGGAATAAATATGTACCAGAAACAAGAGTAGAAAATGCATCCTATATATATCTATAAAATACCAAGGCAACCCTCCCATTATTGATGTTTCCATGGAATCTAATACAACAAATTGAAAATGTATTGATAATTGCCCATATCCAAATTGAGTAAGTTTCAATATTTTTTTTTTGGGGGGGGGATATATGGTGTGGGACCATCACTTATCAGTATTACCATTGGATCTTCATTCTATAATATACCTATGAACCAGGTATTATAGCTAAAAGGGTCAACACCTGGTAGACAGGTGAGCTCTCATCCAGATCCAATGCACTAAGTACTATGCTATTCAAAAGATACACTCAGTGCATAATTGTTGAAGTGGAATAATATCAATATGGTGGCAAAATGTGGCTGATTGTTTTGGATAAACAATCAGTTGACATAGGTAACACAATTTTGAGCACACTACAATATCAAACAAAAGGTAAAATACCAAAAACAAATGATAAATGATATTGAAGGTTTCAACTTTCAGTAACAGTACGTGATGTCACAGCTACTATTTCTGTGGAAGAAGGTGCATACATTTTGATACACATCATGCATGCATAATCTGTCTGCTTTGATATATCTTAACAAGAAAGTCCTGGGGTCAATAGTTTAGTCAAGATGGTCAGTCCTCCAAGGTTAGCATGGTCAGTCAACATTGCATTTTACCTGCACTGCTATGACCTATGTGCATCATTGCCATCACTCTAACAGTGAAAATCCAATATTATTTAAAACAACAATTATATCTCAATGTAGTCATTTGACTTAAAAAGCAAGAAGAGCATGTTGACAGCAAACACACAATCAAGAAGCAAATGTCAAGAGCTCAAAGAATGCAATGCAGCAGCAGGGCTCTGTTTCACCAATTTCACTGCACAGTACTACAGTGCTACACTGTGGTATTGATGTAACATTTAAGACAAACTTGCCTTGACACCCCAGCATTAAGTGTACGAGCTTGTTCATGTTTCCATGGAAACCCAATACACCGAAAAGCGGAGCATGCTTTAGCGTCGTGCCATGAAACAGGGCCCAGGAGTACCAGCAGAAATGCAGCCAGAGTAACACTCACCCTCAGCACATGATAGCCTTCTGTTCCACCTCCTGGCACTTCAATGCTCATTGCACCTCCCATTGTTTTTCAATATTTTTTCACTTAGAAGAATGTCACCTGTGCAAAACACCAACACAATATTGGTTACTGTATCAAACTATCATCACTGCATAGAGCCCTTATTCTGATCTTCCTTCAAATGAATTATTCCAGATTACAGACAGCACAAATATTACTGACAATATCTAAGAAAAATAAATACAACACTCACAAATAACAACTATTATCCCAACAAAAGGCAGTTATCGTTCGCTTCATCGGTCTTCGGTGCAAACAAAACAAGTCACTAAATGGTTATGATGCGTCATTATTGTAAAAGTTGATGTGGCATAGTAGTGTTGCGATTTATCAAAAGAATATATTATTAGAAAATTCATAAAGAACTGTAGGAGATCCAAACACCTTTAAAACTGATTACCCGGCATGGCTTTCTTGATATTCAGGTGTTTTTTACCAAATAAGTCACCACTATTATCCCGATTGTTGTTGGTTTTCCTCTTTTAGTTCGGGGCCCTAAACTTGTTTATCAATCAACGACCAACAAAACCAAAACAAAAATCGCAGTGTTCGCGTTTGTTAGTTGTTACAGTGTTTTTTTTGCGTTTGCTGGTTTTCTTCGCATAAATACTAAACAACTCAACTGAACAAAACTGATTTCAGCTCCACTCAACAAAGTTGGTATGCTTGGCATATTTCCAACTTGTAAAATGTAACAAGGTTCAAAAACCAAGGTCGGCAAACCTGCAATAGTTTTAAAACTTTGACTTTTTTGTTGTTTGCCTCCACAGCAACTCAAACTCCGTACATGGATCAGTCAGCACAACCGGCACCCAGAAATATGGCAGGAGTCGGCACACAGTTTTAGCTTGCAGCATGTCTTTCTGCCATAGGTCCAGTGGCGGATCCAGGGGGGGGGGGGGCAAAATGGGCATTTGCCCCCCCCCCAAAACGGCATGATTTTAATATCAACATTACGCCTATGGACGAGGCATGGAAAGAATTGATAAATTGTTATGGTTTGCCCCCCCCAAACTCTGAGCTGGATCCGCCTCTGCATAGTTCCATTTGACCCACCTTCCCAAGACCAGACAACAGAAAGGAGCAGACTGTTAGTCCAAGTCCCAAGATGCTGCTTTGGCCCCAGTCTGAAGATCCCTGCCTTGGCTAAGAAGACCTACGGGCCTTCTATCAGATACTCATGGACAGGTTCATGAGCCCAGCTCATTCTGTTGCACAGCTTTGTAGCTGTGTGGTAGTGGCAGTGGTGATCCTTCAGAATGAACTGGTGCCGCTGATCTTTGATCCTCTTTGTACCTAACCTGCTCACCAGCTTTGGCCAGTTATTTCCATTGCCATGACAAATAAATTTGCACCTCAACCCTCTGAAATGAACATATCTTTCCTATCTTTTCACAGGCCTGAAATGCTGATCTGCTGAGAGCATCCTGCTGCTGTGATGCAGGCTCTCACAGTCTCTTTGGTCAGTGGCTGGGTACTGCTGGCTCTGACTGGCCTCACCACCTCCGTGGACCCAACACAAGCTGGGGGAGCATCATCAGTACCATCCACGGCTGTTCCTGTCACTGGGGCTGCTCTGGCCTCATCCACTTCTGTGGCCAGTGATTCGGCATCTTCAGTGTTAGGAGAACTAAAGGCTTCACCTGATGCTGGCTCAGTTGCAGCTGGAGCTCCTGTGGTGAGCTCAGTAGCAGCTGGAGCTCCTGTGGTGAGCTCTCTGTCTGCTAAAGCCCCATCTGTGAGCTCAGTGGCAGCTGGAGCCCCTCAGGCCTCCTCTGACTCAGTGGCAGCGGGCTCCTCTGTACCAGTGTCTGCAGTGCCCGCTGCGAGCTCCACTGCCCCACCAGCGCCGGACCTGAATGACCCGAGTGTCCCGCTCAACCAGCTGGTCAACGAGAATGCAGTCATCGTTCCAGCACAGAATGGCTCACCAGCCAACAGCAGCGTGCCAGCCACAGAGCCTCCGGCGCCGCCGCCTCAGCCGGCCGAACAGTGAGTGTGTGAGGCACTAACAGAGCTTTAGGCCAGAGGTGCTGTTGCTATGATTGTTATATGACCATATTGATGGGAGGAATGTTGTGTGATATCGACACTTTTTACGCTTTGAATGAAATGCCTGACGAAGCCGGAAACCGCGGTAAACGATCTTTGCGATATTCCGGTTTTCGGAAGACTTTGGACAGGTCCGTCCAGCTTAGTTGTGACTGATTTCGACGGGATACGGTTTATGAGTTTCTCTCATCAGCGCAGACCATAATCCATTTCCGTTGGGAGTCTCCATATATCGAACGCCGAAGCGATTCCAACATACCATCTTTTCATGTGACATTATATCAACTATGTGTCTGTCTTTCGTCAGAGAGAATAAGACTGAGGAGGTGGAGCCGGCGCTGCCGGAAGCCGGAGCTGCTGAGGAGGAGCACCTCAACTCCATGTCCATCTTCTTCTCACTGGCCATTCTCGGTGAGACGAGCGGGGGATAGCGTTAATGAGGAGTGGGATTGAGACGGGTCGGTATGGTATAGTATATGGTGGGCGTTTGGGTCCGTGTGTAATGGGATAAACCGCTGGTAGAATGACGCTGATGCGGTGAATAATGTGTTTGTACTGCTTAATGGTTGGCGACTGTAATGGGTAGTCAATGAAACACTATGAACTATGAAGAGCTCGCAGCTGTTAACATCATACAAAGAACATGCTAGCAGATGTGAAGTACCACTTTCGTTCATCTTCGTCGATAGGTACCGATGTGGTAAATATCATGAATCGAGAATCGTTACTAATCGTACTATTTGCCGTGCAAAATGGGAATGTTCGGTTATCGTGGTCGTACCATAAGACAGATGACTCCTCAGTAATTCACACCGTCCTCCCAGCTAACTACGTCTACCACTTTCATTGACAGCTCTCTGCATTCTGATGATCCACTATATGATCGGCTCGAAGTTGCGCTACCTGCCGGAGAGTCTCGCGGTGGTGTTTCTCGGCGCACTGATCGGACTCATACTGGAGATACTGTCCAAGAGCGGTATCGCCGACTGGCAGGTGGGTTAGAACGACGCCGAGGTAACCGGGTTGAATGATTCAGGTAGATGGTGGATGGATAGTTCACAATTATTATTTAAATATTTAGACATGGATTTGTGGTGAACATGACAAAAAGAAACGCACTTTTAAGTGAAATACTATTTGCTGTGTAGTGTGTTCTGTAGGAGTTCCCTACAGCCGCGCACACCTGCTGCGCATGTGTCGGTGCGACATTGCTTATGTATACTCGTATATCCGCGCACACACGCTGCGCATGTCTCACGTTACTAGATAGACCGTCTAGCGCATGCGCGTAGTTTTAGTATACCGTCTAACGTCCGTGTGTGCTGTACATTAGTAAAATCTGAAATTTGTTAAGACACACTCTTCTACTCATCAAACCAAGGCTTTGGAGGAAGACGGAAGACGAGGAAGCGAGGGCGACATGAAGAGCCCTGGTGGCTGACGAGTGCTCGGAAAGGAACACGTTTCCCGATCACCACGATCGGATGACTGTAAACTGGGACAATCTCCCCACAGTTTACACTGGTGACCCCGACGTGATCCGGGCTACTCGTGGACCACACCATGGAGTCGAGCGAAGCCACCCGGCAGCACACCGCTCCTCCCGCAACCAGCTTCAGCTCGCCGGCACCCGAACCCGAGGCAGCAGGTCGGCTCACAGCCCTGCTAGCCACCATCGCGACCCTCATCGTCCGAGTACAGCAAATGGAGGCCACCCAGCGTCGACTCAAAGGCGCAGCATCGCAACTTGGCCGAAGCCAGCATCAACGACGCCATGAAAACCGCCCTCTAAAGCCAGCGCATCCGTCAACCTACGAGATCTGCTGGTACCACCAGCGCTTCGGTGCCAGAGCGCGTCGCTGCAAAGCGCCGTGCAGTTTCTCCCACCGCAACAAAGGTCGACATCGCAGCCGTCAGACGCCTCGCCCGTCACGCCCTCCGACGCCGACGTACCCAGACAGCTCTGTCTGCTGGTACCACCAGCGTTTCGGCAACAAGGCCCGCCGCTGCGAGCCTCCGTGCAGCCGGTCGAAAGCATCTGCCGCAACACTTCTCTTCGTGCGGAACACGAAGACTGCCAAACAGCAACGGATCGACGCTGACGCCTCACTCAGCGCATCTCCTCGCGGCAACCTACCGAAGCGACCGACGCCGACGCCAGCTCCACCCAACAAGCAGCCGGTGGCCGCCAGCGCACCAACCAGCAACATCGACCACTGCGAGCCTGCGTCTCCGGAAGAGACGCCACACCTACCTGCGCAGCAGTCTCCTGCCTCTGCGACTCTGCCACCATCAGCTGCCCGGTCGGACGGCCTGGAGCTGATGCTGCCACAAGACACGCCGCCTGCAGAACAACCATCTCCAAGAGCAGCAGCACCGGGACCAGCTCCACCGCGATCTATCTTGCGCTCTCGCACCGATCGCGACGTTCGATCCCCACAGCGATCTCGACGCGTCACGTTCGCGACCCGTCTAGGGAGGGGGTAGTGTAGGAGTTCCCTACAGCCGCGCACACCTGCTGCGCATGTGTCGGTGCGACATTGCTTATGTATACTCGTATATCCGCGCACACACGCTGCGCATGTCTCACGTTACTAGATAGACCGTCTAGCGCATGCGCGTAGTTTTAGTATACCGTCTAACGTCCGTGTGTGCTGTACATTAGTAAAATCTGAAATTTGTTAAGACACACTCTTCTACTCATCAAACCAAGGCTTTGGAGGAAGACGGAAGACGAGGAAGCGAGGGCGACATGAAGAGCCCTGGTGGCTGACGAGTGCTCGGAAAGGAACACGTTTCCCGATCACCACGATCGGATGACTGTAAACTGGGACAATCTCCCCACAGTTTACAGTTCTACTTGAGGAATTCTCCGTTGTTGTCGAGAAGTGCGGTAAAAACACGATCTTGCTTATGGCGTCTCTGGTCTCAACACTAAGTCGTTAACCTAGCATATTTTGTCCCTCGACCTAGGTCCCTCGAACATTTACAGCAGTTTGTTTGTTTGTTTGTTTATTCAGTATATTGCCAACGGGATAAGGCCTCCCACTAATAGGCAAAGTCATCCGTATAAAACAATAAATACAAGTCGTAAACAGGATATTACACCACACGCATGATCACACTTTTCATCACCACGGACCTACTGTCATGAAAAAGGTCAACATGGGGACATCGAGCTATAAAATCATTGGCAAGTCGGGGCAGTCGGCAAAACATCCCGTTCTTGACCGAATTTACCCTGGCGACAGGTTCGAAGAAGCTGGCCCGGTAGCGAGTAGTTCTTGATGGCACACGAATGGAAAAACAACTTAAAAGGTACATGGAGTCACATCACATGGAGTTGCTTGCATGACAGATGTTTCCTTGTTTCCCGTTTCAGAGAGAAGAGGCCTTTTCTCCCACTGTTTTCTTCCTAGTGATTCTGCCGCCCATAATCTTCGAATCAGGATACAATTTGCACAAGGTATGTGGGATAAGTGAAAATGAAGGGCTTATAATTTCTGAAGGGCAGTGGTGAAATTACCGATTGATTGCAGATATTTCGTGATAAGAATCACCTTCGTTCTCTAATGTCTGACTAATGCGGCCAGCTGGCTCCTTTCCTGTCGCTACTGACCATTGACTTTGCTTTCTTTCCCTGCAGGGTAACTTTTTCCAGAACTTCGGCTCCATCATGGTGTTTGCCGTGTTCGGGACGGTGATCTCGGCTCTGGTAGTCGGAGGCGGGGTCTACCTGCTGGGCATGGTGAGTTAGCGATTATACTATCCCGACAAATGTTATGAACCAGTTCAACTGTCGAGCGGGGGTGGAGAACAGATGGAGATAGTGTGGGGAGGGACCAGTGCTGGAAATGAGGCCGCTTTCTCCGGGTGGGTTAACCCCGTCTAGCGCTTAGCCTTTCGGGACCCGCTCAGAGCCGCGGTTGTTTTCGCCGCTCGGCCCTTTCGAGATGCAAAGTTGATAGTCACACGAAGTTTATTTGGGGCCTCTGAAAATGCGAATTCGAAATTAATCGATTTTATAAAACATTTTTCTTTCATCTACATGCATACATTTAACAGTATCTCCAGACTAAGCTGGTTTGGCTGGCCCTAAATAAGCTTCGTGTGACTATCAACTTTGCATCTCGACTGGGGCGAGCGGTGAAAACAACCGCGACCCTGAGTGGGTCCCGAAAGGCTAAACGCTGGACGGGGGTAATCCACCCGGAGAATAAAACGCCGGGACCAGAAAGCGGCCTCATTTTCAGCACTGGGAGCCGAGGGACAGACATATTTTAGCAATTATTGGGGGGGGGGGGGGGCTTACGGCCGACAGTGGCTGGCAGCTGATTTTGTCAATCTAGGAAGGGTGAAAGATAAAACAGTCTGGTTACGGTGAGAGTTTGCGGGTGAAGACGAGGCGATGGATAGTGATATGGAAGACGAACGAAAGTCTGACGCGATTTTGACGAGCGGGATGGAGAACAGAGACTGGTGATACCGTCATCGTCACCCACCATCACCTCTACCATCATATCCATCCCCGTCTCTCTCCCCGGCAGGCGGACGTGGCGTACCATCTATCCTTCGTGGAGAGTTTCGCCTTTGGCTCGCTCATCTCTGCCGTTGATCCAGTGGCCACACTGGCCATCTTTAACGCTCTGGACGTCGACCCCGTGCTCAACATGCTCGTCTTTGGCGAGTCGATACTAAACGACGCAGTTGCCATCGTGCTGACCGCGTGAGTACGCGGGTTTGATGGGACGCGGGATCGGGTGGCAAGGGATGGGGAGTGTGGTACGGAATGGTTTGGTACGGAATGGTGGTTTTGTCTTGTCGGGATGGGAGTGTGGGCTTGTTGGGTCGGGATGGATGGAACAAACCGTAGACCTCTGTATACCGAGGTCTATGGACATAAAGAGGTCAATGGACATTGGACAAGGTATAAAGAGGTCTATGGACAAACCCAAGTGATGACATTGTTCGGGATTGCCGAGATGGAAGGTGTGTTGTGGATATTATGTAAAAATTATTCATTTCATTTCACTCATTACTCTAGTATAGCCACATATCATACAATTTCATTAGGTAGGTATTTTAATGCCGACATAGAAACAGCAACTTTACACATTGACCTTGGCATTGGCCTAATCTGACCTGATTTGGTCCCGAATGGTCAAATGCCCATCACCATTGACTTGGAATCGGAAAATAACACATAAAACATGTGTCGCATGTCCCTAATCCCTGTTTATTCATCATGACCTTTCGTGACCTGATTTTGACCTTGACCTCACCTTGTGATTGCATATTTACTGATTCACCGCCTTTATAAATATGTTGGACGCATGCTGTGCGATTTTCACATCGCTTCATCATTATGAAAGTGCCTCAGGAGCAGCCAGGGAATGAGAACCTGGAATTTTGGTCTTTGACCCGACCTTGACCTGACCCGTGACCTTTAAGAACAACATTCGGACAATGTCTAGATCCATCTCGTTGCGATCTTTCCATTGCCACCTTGTCCGGCGCGCTACGATCATCCGTTCCCGAGATAGCACCGTCGGCACCATATCAAAGCAAAATGGTATAATTACATGGAGAAAGTAAAAAAATAAAATAAAATATTTATAAAAAATACCTATCTCCAATTTTCACAGTATAGTTTCCCAATACCCTAAGCATTAATAAAAGCTAAAAAAAAATAAATTTTATTTAACTGGCCACACTTTGAAAAATTTGAAATAAATTTTTAAATAATTTTCGGAAAATTAAAAATTCAAAATTTTGAAAAATTTTGCATACCATCAGAAAGCTTGTGATGTGGCGAGTTCAAATATGTATAATTTTTATAGTTTAATAAAAGTTTTCGATTAGATATAGCTACTAAAATACAATGATGTTTTTTAACTTTCCAAAATTTCCCGATGCTATAACTCAAAAACTGTTGCTTCTACGGGTCTGACAATTTCAGATTCGGCTTCTGGGCACAGAATAACCCTGTACAGCAATTTAGAAGCAAATCTGAGGGGGTCGGGTGTTATGCACCTGTTGAATCGTCCTGGAATGCCCCACCTGGAGATGATCATGACGTGGGTTTATCTGAATGGGCTTGGGCACGTTGTCTTCCTTCTGTGGGCGCTCGTTTATGGGCATTGGGCATGAGGTCCTCAAGATAGTCACTATGTGTTGCGAGTCGGGGCGGCGGCGGGCGGTGACGTCGCTGCATGTAGCTGGCCGGGTTGACTCGGTCAGGTAGGCTGACAGTTGAGACCTAACTGCCACCACACCGACTAACGAACACAAAATACAACATTTTTATATACGTATGTCAAAATATCACACTAAATACGAACTTATAAGAGAAGCGGTGAGCACTGTGCAGGATCAACAAATTATCTTTCTATCATGACAGCTTAATGGCATCGTGAGCCTCCAGCATTAGCGACAATCACCGCTCTAAATCTCGCGTTCGATCGATCCGCGCTAACCGCCGCCCAATGTCCCCAATGTGTCACCGGGCACCAAATTCGGTCAGTTACTGTGGTCTGCGGTGTCGCAGTGGCATTTGACCGCGGGCCCGACTGGTGGCGTTTGTGTTATGGGCGTCTACTGAATGCGGCCGCGCACGCCGGCCACCGAAGGCCGATTGGGTGCTGATAGACGGTGGTTGCAGGGACACTGTGCGGTCCATGGTGACAGTTACAGCTGTGATCGGGGATATGCTGTATTGGTAGCGAGGCTCGGCTAGCAACGGCCTTGCTGCAGTGTATGATGTTGCGAGTGTGGTGTGTGGGGGCCGGCGTGTGTTGCTTATGGTTTGGTTCGGTAAAAGGTCGTTTAGTTTTGCGGTCACATTAGCAGAATCACGACACGCTTCTGGGCTGACTGGATAGCTTGCGCGAAATCGCAAAAGAATCGCCAGAAACAGTGACAGACGTCGTAAATGGCATCATTTGGCGATATTTCTCATCGTCGCTGTCAACATATTTTTGCGGTTGGCAATGGACAGTGAGCGATACATATTCGGATATCGAACAACCGTGGTTTTGCTCTACGGTGGTTTTGCTCTCTACATGTTTCAAACTTGGCATTGTATCTGTCAGTAATCATATTTAATTCATGAGCGTATAAATATTACATTTTGTACACAATGTTCACCCGCCGCACTCAGACAGACGCCGACACACTCGAATAAAACGGGACCTCAAACAGGACACGCCGCAGTCGGACAGACGCCGCTTACTTTTTTGCCGGACCCGGTTGATCTTATCAGTAGGTAACGCAACATTCCGTCATCCATCGGGGCGCGTTTGATGGCTGACGACTGGTGGTCGATAGTGTGTGGGTGTATGGTCCTGTTTGAAGCTCCGTTTGATATTCGGATCTCATCATCAGTCGTGGGAACAGGATCGTTCTATGCATCCGGCAGCATTTTCTTTAATTATAGAAAGCAGATCTGGAATCCCTGGCGGGTGTTACATTAAAGCATCCCGGCAATCTTGCATGGCACTGGATATTCCACCAATTTGTTGTTTTCTGATTGAAGATGTGTGTGAACCCAGAATCCGTAATTGTGATTTCGGAGCATCCGGGAGCCTGTCGCCTGATGCATGGTGATAGGCGTCTTTATTTTTATTTTCGCACTAGACCTACTTATGGCGATATCTGCTCCGCGTATCCACAGGACGGCAGTGCGTTTGATATCCGCTCTTTTTTCCCCGGTTCTCTCACTCCCACTTGAATCAGTGATTGCCTATCCTTACCCTCAATAGCACGGTCCTGCAGTCTGACTCTACCCCTTCCCTATCTTGGCAGCCAAGTCCTGAGTTTGACTCTAACTCCCCTTTTCCACAGCATGGAGCTGGACTCTGACTCCAGCCCCCCCCCTCTCTTAACAGCTACGTCCGGGTTTAATTCGAACTCCCTCTCCTTCCTCTCTCCACAGTACGGTCCTGGAGTCGGACTCGCCGGCGATGGCGCACATGACCTCGACGGAGGCGCTGCTGCACGGCGTCGGCAGGTTCTGCTTCATGTTCGTGGCGTCGGCGGCTCTGGGGGCCGTCAGCGCTCTGCTGGCAGCCCTCCTCTTCAAGCACGTGGACCTGCGGAACAACCCCAGTCTGGAGTTCGCCATGATGCTGATCTTCACGTACGCGCCGTATGGACTGGCGGAAGGAGTGCATTTGTCGGGTGAGTTTGAGGGGGGGGGGAAGAAAAATGGTGGGAAGGGTGGATGTGAGAATGAATGATGGTGATGTGGTTGATGTGTGTATGTTGCTCGTATGGTGTGTCGAGTGCTGTGACCTGATAATAAAAACGCATTTTTTTGGGGGGGGGGATGGTTGCGGCTTTTATGCTTTGAGCGTACACTATGAATTCCATTTCACACTTGGAAGCTTAGAATGGATATCGAACCGGCTGCCCACTCACTCTGAGTTCAGTTGCTGTTAAAACTTGATCGCTTTAGTGAATGCTGGAAGACATGGCTTGTTATAATGTCGACATCTTAAGCTGAGCTAATGGATGTCCCTAACACATGTTGAAAGCCTGTCGCGGTCGCAGAGACGTTGCCTGGCCGCCCTTTTCTTGTAGTTTGCCAATAGCGCGTGTTGTAAAGTCGAGAAAAAGTAACAGAAAACCATCTTAGCTCCAGATTGTGCGAATTCCAGGACAACTCGCTGGCCGAAGTGTCGTCTGTTTCCAAGTCTTAACAAATTCAAACCTATCTGTAAAAACGATAGATGGGACACATTTTGTGTCAATCATTTTCGGGACCGATCTGGAAGTTCCGGTGGCTCTCGGAGTCTGCAGGGCTCAGTTCTTATCTCTGCGATTTGGCCAACAGTGGACCGGACAAATTTCGGCACATTTTGCTAGATCTGGAGGTCCCGCTTGTTAAATCATCGGAATTCCCAGTGGTTCTGCCTCCGTCTGTCGAAATTTCGCAGCTCTCGCTGATACAGTGACTGATTGAGCGCCATAGATGGGCCGTATGGACGTGATTTGTTTTTGTGGGTCCAGTTTGACGTTTTTACGATTCAAATGATCTGCTTTGCAGCTGGTCATCTTGTATTTTTAGGATATTATCGTAAAAGTGTTCGTGGAAACTCGAGGTACTGGTTCGTTGTCCTTTTGCCATGGACCGTTACTTGTCGAAATTCGATTTGTGTTTGAAGATGCAAGGATTGCGTCAAAGCGTTCACCTTAGAATAATGTCACATATTGAATGATTGTGATCCAGTTGAAAGCCTAGTTACGACTGGTATTTCCCTGTGTCGTTAGCTTATTGGTACAGTCGGTCTTGATTGATGTTTGAGCTGTCCCACGATCACGGTCCAAGTATTTCGCCAATGATGCTGTAGGTTTGTTTACTTTTTGGTCCCTGGTAGCCAATGGAGATCTTCATTTACTTTTACTCCCCATCTTTCCATCTCTTCCTCTTCCTCTCTCTCCCTCCCCTCCCCCTTTTCCCTACCCGCTACCTCTCCCTCGCCCTCTCCCCCTCCATCTCCCTCTCCCTCTGCTTTCCCTCTCCCTCTCCCCCTCTCCCTTTCTCTCTCCCTCTCTGTCTGTCTCTCTCTTCGGGGTGACAGGGTCCGTTGTTTGATTGGTGTGATTCGCCAGTCAGGCATGATATACTCCTGTGGTTTTCTGACCACAATCCGGCTTACCAGGTGTCTATGTAGAAATTGACTCACATGAATGCCTCCATCGGAGTGAATCTTCTAGACGTGGTTATTGTGTATACAGTAGCGCCGATGCAAGATTTTGTCAGAGTTGAAAATCAAGGGCATTGGGATTTACGGTTGGGTTCCACAGATGTAGAGGAGCTGGCAACTCGCTGTGTCCCGTACTTCCCGGGTTTGAGCCGATGAGAGCGCAGGGCTTCGTTCAGCTTGATCCATTCACGGATGCCGACCGTTACTGGCTTAAAGGTTTTCTTTTAAGCGTGTCATTTTGGGTATCAGTCTGGAGCGAATCTACTTGGACTTGGAGTTTGTTTTATCAACGGCTCACAGATGATTTGTCGAGACCCTTTTTCGAAAGCTTCCGAATGTTATATTGAATTCTGATGCTTTGAAAACAAATAACTTTTTCATGCACTTGGTTATCAGTGCTGAGCTGTTGAGTGGGTATGCATTATAGCACCGTCTACCAAATTTATACTTGAATCTACCCTTGCCACCCCGCACAGCATTCCCAATAGACGAGAAGCGTCTTCGATAAATATCAGTCGCCGTTAGCCATTGTCGTCAGACATCATCTCGGACACCTGTGTCCACTGCCCACCGTTCAGAAGCGCAGTTCGCTAATGAGAAACAAGTGTTCGCACGCCGAGCGGCCGACCGTTTGGCCGTTGTTGGCCCGCCGCCGGTCTTTTGTTCGTGATCTCCACCGGGTGTGAGTTGAGTGACGCTATGGAGGATCCCGTGCTGAAACTGTCAGCCGAGGTGAGTTTATTGCTTTTTTTCTTTATTGTATACAATATTGGAATAAATTTGTCTAACGATAGATGAAAAGTTATTTTGCAGCATGAAGAGCAAGGAACAGGGTCGCATCAACCTCCTTCTCTCCAACCGTTTTCATATTTGATTTGCCTGTAATTTTAACTTTGCTCGTTTTTTCGCTCCTCACTTCTCACAAAATAGTTTTACTTGCCCTCTGTCATGTGACATATGTCATTTTTTTCAGGACCAGGAGAAGATCAGGTCATGGGTTCCCGCGCCGCTGGTTCCGCCCACCCCTAGGGACCATCCGGCGCTGAACCCGGTTATCGTTGATGGCAAGGTATGCCAAACTCCTCTGACAATGCTATATCAGATTGAGATTTATTTCGTTGGCTTCACATGCTCATGCTTAGATATATATTGAGTATGAACTCGGTTAGGATTAGGCACCTGACGGTCAATTGTGTCTCGTTTGCTAATGCCCTACCACCAGTAAGTAAGGTAATATGTAACACTTGCAATGGGTTATTACATGCAAAGTTTCCACGTTTTCAGCGCATCTTCTACTTCCAATCAAATGAGATTTTCCTTTGCAGACTTTGCAGACAAGTTATATAGTTATTATCCTTCTTAACATCCACCCATGTGTTTCCTACAGCTCGGTAAATATGTGCGTGTGAACAGCCGCGATCTTCTGAACGTGGCCTCTCACAACTACCTGGGTATGGTGGGCGATCCTCGGGTCGAGACTGCCAGCGTCACTGCCCTCAGAAAGTACGGTGTCGGCGCGTGCGGGCCGCGCACCTTCTTTGGAACGGTCGGTAAGTTGGGAGGAGAAAGTGTGGAGTGGGAGCGGGAGGAGGGGAGACTTAGACTTACGGACTGTCGGATGCCGAACCATAGAACGCTTATTCTCCTAGGTAGTTCATGTTTGACTATTAACTTGTCTCGGAATGTTTTTGAACGCATATTGTGTTTTGGTCATCCTAATCATAGCAATCAGGCGGATCAGCAGAACATCTAAATCTCCCTGTAAAATTTGATAACATTACCATACCGTAGGCATTTAAATTCAACTAATCACAGGCGATTTTCTACTCAATTTCATGAATTGTTGATCCATCATTCGTCCTAACTCTGTGCTGTTTTCACGTGTCCATCGAACAGACGTTCACCTGGAGCTGGAGCGCAGCATCTCAGCGTTTCTGGGCACGGAGGAAACGGCCATCTACTCGCTGGGGTTTTCCACCGTCAGCTCGGCCATACCGGCCTATGCCAAGCCGGGAGACGTTCTCTTTGTGTAAGCCGTGTGTAGGGATCGCTTTGACAATGGGGAAAATCCAGCCGGGAGCAGAGCTGGTGCTTGTAAATGTCCGGATCGGCTTTCAATCACTGAGGTCCATTATCGTTTGTCATTTGATAGTGATTTTTGGCTGACGTGTCGAGTAATTTAGGGATTTTCGGAGAACTTGCGTTCTTCTGCAGGATTTCGTAGAAATCGGCTTACTGTCATGACTTGTCTTTGATATGTCCGGTCGTTTAGCCTGTATCTAAGCGCACCAAAGGATGATATGCATGTTATTTTGCATAAGATGACGATGCTTAATCATAATTTCAGGGACGAATCGGTGCACTTCGCGATTCAGAAAGGTGTGCAGGTGTCCAAGAGTAAAACCGTGTGGTTCAAGCATAACGACATGCACGATCTGGAACAAAAAATTCTGGAAGTGATGCATAAGAGAGAGGTGGGTCACTTTTGAAGTGTCCATATTGTAGCAATCCACACATCACAACGATCTGGCCTTCCAACTTGCTCGTATGTCTAATTAAAATGGATTTGATGACTTTCTCTCATGCTGTTTTGTTTCCTTTTTCTGACCGAACTACCAAACTCCCAGGATGCAAAACCCTCCGCCGCGGCCGCTCGCCACTTCATCATAGTCGAGGGCCTCTACCTAAACGAGGGTGACATCTGCCCATTGCCAGAGGTGGTGGCACTAGCTAAACAGCACAAGATTCGCATCATTCTGGACGAAAATGTATCGATTGGAGTGCTGGGCGCTCATGGACGCGGTGCCACCGAACACTTCGGCGTCAAGGTGTGTGGGCGGTGATCTTCTAAAGCTATGCTAGCTTGCGATGGTGTAGTAGTTGCTGCTCTTCACTTCCGATGCTATTATGAACGCCATGTTCATGTCATTCATTGAAGTCAGCCTTTTTGCCTACGACGCGCACTTTGTAACCGAGATTATCGACTGGGACACTACGGTTGGAATGTCTGTAGTGTACGGTTCTTAAAAGCGATGAACAACACCCGTTGAAGTGGAGCGCTGACACTGCGCTTACTCTCTGTCTTCAGGTGACGGACATTGACCTGATCTGCGGTTCCCTGGAGCACTCGCTAGGGTCGTGCGGCGGCTTCACCAGTGGGTCCTATCACGTCGTCGATCACCAGCGGCTGAACGGACTCGGTAATTGTTCTGTCCTTGTCCACCGAACACTCAACTGTGCCTCGTAGTCTTCATATATTGTAACGCCGCCACGAACTCCACCCAGTCGCCAGCCCAGACACGAATGGCGCGCACACGAGCAAACCTCCCGGCATCGACTCGGCTGACGTGTACAACCCGACCAGTGAAATCGGCCACTAAATCAATAGCGCAGTACGCAACACTAAATCAATAGCGCAGTACGCAACACTCCTCCCCACAGGCAAGAAGTATACCCATGCCACGATTCAGCACCGTAACTCGGTAGGGGGCACCACTGCAGCGGTTTAGGGGTGACCCGCCACGACATGGGCCGGACGAATTTGGTCAGCATGACGGGTGAAGGCGCGGCCGTCCTCGAGGCGAACGTCCACCATTACACCACTGCTGTTCGAGACCACCGCGGGGACCCATCGGCGGGCGAAGCCCTGACACTCTTCAACCCAGACGGCGTCCCCGACGCGGAAATCGCGCGGTCGGGCGCGGCGGTCGTGGACGTCCTTCATGGCTGACTGACGGGCCTCCACGGTGGAGCGCAGACTCGGGCGCAGCGACTGCAGTGGAGTACGCAGCGCTCGGCCGAACATCAGCTCAGCCGGAGCTCGCCCCGTTGTCGACTGTGGCGAATTCCTGTAGGTGAAAAGAAAACGCGACAGTTTTGTCTGGAGGCTTCCTTCAGTCCTCTTCAACGCCGATTTTACGACTTTCACCAAAGCCTCAGCCTGGCCATTGGAGGCGGGATGACGCGGCGGGCTACAGACGTGCCGGATACCATTCTCAGACAAGAACAACTTAAACTGTTCACTCGTGAAGCAGGTGCCATTGTCTGACACAAGGACTAAAGGCAATCCAAAAACAGAAAAACACTTGCGAAGGTTTTCAATCACACATGTTGAACTTGTTGAGCTCGTAACAAACACTTCAAGCCATTTGGTGAACGAATCCACAACTATTAAAAGCATCTTCCCCTCCACGGGGCCGGCAAAATCAACATGAATTCTGCTCCACGGCTCGGTGGGGAATATCCAGGGTTTCAAAGGTACCACCGGTACCTTACCTTTGTCCGCCTGACACGCCTGACACGCCCTTACTCGGTCCTCAATCTGGCCGTCCAGTCCCGGCCACCAGACGACGCTCCGGGCGAGCTGCTTCATCGCCGTCATTCCAGGATGGCCACTGTGCAACAGAGACAGGACGCGACTTCTCAGCTGAGTAGGCACGACAACTCGTAAACCCCACAACAAACAACCATTCTCGATGCTCAACTCATGACGGTGGTTGAAAAAGAATGATAACTCATCTCTGGGACAGACCTCGGGCCATCCATCACGAGTAAAGATGTACGCGGCGGAAACAGCGGGGTCTCGACGGGTGGCGGCCTGAAGCTGAGCGACCGAGACCAGACTCTCCGCGGCGTCCAGCATCTGTACCACCTCGGCCGGCGGCGGCGGGTCCGGCGGGCAGAACGGAGCCGGCAGGCGGCTGAGGCCATCCGCGTTGCTGATCTCCTTCCCTGGAACGTACTTCAGATCGAAATCGTAGCCGGTCAGGGTCAGCTTCCAGCGGACCATCCTCGGCGACACCACCTGCGGCAGAGACTTGTGTGGGCTCAACAATCCCAACAACGGCTTGTGGTCAGTTTTCACAACAAATCGGCGGCCATACAAATATTGGTGAAACTTCACAATGCCAAAAACTACACCCAAAGCTTCCTTGTCTAGCTGGCTGTAATTGCGTTCGGCGGCAGACAAACGGCGGCTAGCATACGCTATGGGACGGTCAGCTCCTGATCTGGCATCTGGGTGGCTCAGAACAGCCGCAACACCCTCCGGGCTGGCATCAGTAGTGAGCACTAGCGGGAGACTCTGCTGATAGTGGCACAAAACTGGGGCAGAGCAGAGCAGGCGTTTAGTCTCTTGGAAGCTCGACTGTTGACTTGGACCCCATACCCAAGGGGCATCTTTCTTACCTAAATTGTACAGCGGAGCAGCAACTGTACTTAGGCGCGGCAGGAATCGGCTGTAGTATTGCAGTAGGCCGAGGTAGGCTCTCAACTCTGGCAGGTTCTTGGGCTCAGGAGCAGACATCACGGCGCTCACTTTGTCGTCGGACGGCTGAATTCCGGCGGACGAGATGCGGTGACCCAGGTAGCACACTTCACGCGCCAACCAGGTCGTCTTCCTCACGTTGATCTTGAGGCCGGCATCAGAGAGACGTTGCAGTACCTCCCTCACGTTCGACAGGTGCTCAGCCGGCGTCTTTCCTGTGACACAAAGGTCATCCAAAAACACTGCAGTATGAGGCACACCCGCCAACAAAGTTTCCATTTCCCTTTGAAAAATGGCGACTGCAGATTTGATACCAAAAGCTAGGCGAGTGACACAGAACAGGCCCTTGTGTGTGTTAATGGTAGTATACATCTGACTCTGGCTATCAAGTTCCAACTGTAGATAAGCTTCGCGCAAATCAATCTTGGTAAAGTAACGGCCTCCTGACAAAACCGCAAACAGCTCCTCTGTCCGGGGCAGTGGGTACGACTCCAGAGACGTGGCAGTATTAACCGTCAAATCATAGCTACCGCACAGGCGTATACTACCGTCAGACTTCTTCACTGGGACGACGGGTGCCGCCCACTCAGAAGTCGGAACAGGGCGCAGAATACCCAGCTGCACCTGACGGTCCAGCTCATCTTCGATGTCCTTCTTCAACGCCAGCGGAGGCGGGCGGTGCTTGTAGAACTTGGCTGGCGCTGACGGGTCCACCTGAAGCGAGACCTTACGAGGTTTGTAGCAACCCAAACCAGGGCTAAACACATCTGGGAACTCCAGCTCCATCTTCTTCAGACTATGTAACAGCGACTGGGCATCCCCGGGGAGGCACTCCTCAGAGCCAATCATGCACAGGGACTGCCAGTCAAGACGAATCACTTGTAACCAATCACGTCCCAGCAGGGCGGGCCCAGGTTGTCTCACAACCAACAGCTGCAGCTGAGCTGTCTGACCCTGGTAGGACACCTGGACCTCAGCCACTCCCTCAATAGGGACCTCCTCTCTCATGTACGTCAACAGGCGACGGCCAGAGCACACCAGGGGCGGTCGGGCAGACAGGTCAGGCCACAGCGCACAGTACTGATCATGACTGATGAGACTGCAAGAAGCTCCAGTGTCCACCTCCATGGTCAGTGGAACACCATTGACACATACATCCACTTTATACGGTCTGGCAACAGCAGCAGCTGGGGCTTGGCGGGGCAGGCTGAAGGCGGTGGCTGCACAATCGGATAGGCCAGCAGAAGCAACAGTACCAGGCGGACTGGCAGCGGCGGCAGGGCAGGGCGGGCTGGCAGCAGCGGCAGAGCCGGGCGGGCTGGCGGCGGCGGCGGCGGCAGGGCAGGGCGGGCAGGCGGCAGGGCAGGGCGGCCTGGCGGCGGCGGCAGGGCAGGGCGGCGGGCAGGCGGCAGCAGCAGGGCAGGGCGGCCTGGCGGCGGCGGCGGCAGAGCAGGGCGGGCTGGCAGCAGTGGCAGGGCAGGGCGGGCCGGCAGTGGCGGCAGCGACGGCAGGGCAGGGCGGGCTGGCGGTGGAGGCAGGGCAAGGCAGGCTCACCTCTGTGCTGGGCGGTCTCACCGCTGGGCTGGGCGGGCTCACCGCAGGGCTGGGCGGGCTCACGGCTGGGCTGGGCAGGCTCACGACTGGGCTGGGCAGATTCATGGCGGTGCCGGGCAGGCTGGAGGCAGGTTCAGAGACACACATCTCCTGGCCAACATGGGCAAGTCCAAACAATTCATACACTTCAGTGTCGGGTTCCACAAAATGAGACGTCTGGGTGGTTTGTGGATGGTTGATCCTACAAGCAGCTCGAGTATGACCAATCCTCCCACACGCAAAGCAAGCCGACTTCTTGAAGGGACAGTGAGTCGGCTGGTGGGATGTTCCCAGACATCTACTGCACTTGGTTGGCTGGCCAGACACAACCGCAGACTTCTTTGGCAACTGCTTAGACTGACAGACCGACTGAGTATGTCCCACTTTTGAACAATTGAAGCAACTTTGGGTCCTGAAAGGACACTGACTGGCCTGGTGCCTCCGACTGTTACATCTTTGACACCTCACCGTGGATGTAGACCGGGCGAGATGCAGCTGCTGTGGTGCCACCTGGCTGAAGTGAAGTCCTGGCCTGTTGAGGTCCTCCAGCTGGGTTCTGGTTACCTCCAGGTGTTGGGCCATTTCCACAGCCTTTTGTAGCGTCAGGTGTGGATCTGCAAAAAACCTCTTCTGCAGCTCCGGGTCCTTGCACCTGGCAACAGCACATTCCAGCACGACAGTCTCTCTCGCCACCAAATCATACCCACATCGATCTGCCTGCAAACGCAAGCGAGTGATAAACGCATCAAACTTCTCCCCCTCCTTCCGGAACAAATCATGCAAGATTGCCTTTTCATAGGTGACGTTTACCATTGGTTGAAAATGAGCCTTCAACTTCTCAGTTAGGAGCTTATACTCGTCTGCAGAGCGGGGCAGACCAGAAGGTTGTGGGAGGGTGCGAACGATCTCCTGCACTTCCAGCCCCATGAGCGTTTGTAAAACGGCAGCTTTTCTCTCCGGCGATGTGATGTCTACTGCCACCAAATAAAATTCCACCCCTCGCAGCCATCGTTCGAAATTCTCACCGGGCGTGAACTGCGCAGGAGGTTGAAGCGCCGCCATAGTGCAGTCCTAATGATGATCCTCGTCGCCAAAAGTGTTCTGTCCTTGTCCACCGAACACTCAACTGTGCCTCGTAGTCTTCATATATTGTAACGCCGCCACGAACTCCACCCAGTCGCCAGCCCAGACACGAATGGCGCGCACACGAGCAAACCTCCCGGCATCGACTCGGCTGACGTGTACAACCCGACCAGTGAAATCGGCCACTAAATCAATAGCGCAGTACGCAACACTAAATCAATAGCGCAGTACGCAACAGTAATCAATATCGAGGATTTATTTTGATCAGCAATGGTGCTATTGTTGTCAGATTAAATCGAATATGAGGTGTCTTTGAGCATTAATAAACGCTTTATTGTATTGTTACATTCAGGTTGATGTACGATATATGAGCACTTCTCACTGAAATTATGTAACACTAGTAATGACAAGATGTGAACTTCATCCAACGTCTTCTTTACTGCCACAGGCTATGTGTTTTCGGCGTCGTTGCCTCCGATGCTGGCCTCTGCGGCCACCATGGCTTTGGAGCTGATCGACAATGACGTCACGCTGACGTCACGACTGAAGACTGTGTCGGAGAAACTGCATGCCGCGCTATCGAATGTAGATCGGTATGTCGTCAGGATGTAAAAAGCGTGGCGCAGTTTTGGTGATGTGGTGGGTGATTTATTTGGGGAACCTTTTTTCTCGCATAAGTTGATAATATTGGCCGCGTACTCAGCGGATAATCTTGCGCTTTAGCTATGAGGCTATCATCACCTCATATGTGACGACCTCTACACCTGCTTCCTGTGCCGCACTTGTGCCTAAATGGATGGTCGGATCTATCCACAGACTGGATCTGGTGGGGGTGCCCGAGTCTCCCATCAAACACCTGCGTCTTAAAACGTCCAGCGGAGACAGACAGAAGGACCAGGACAAGCTACAGCGCATTGTCGACTTTGTGAGTGGTATGAGGCTAAAATCAGGTCTCGCGAGCAGAAACAGCGACGCGGGTCATACTCATGTTGTATGTATGTCTATCCGAAGAAAGCCGTGATATATAAACGCCTCGTTAATTTTCCATTACTTTGATATCGAAACTTCTTTTGTCACAGCTGCTGCTCGTGTGTACTGTGAACTGATGTTCACTTAGCAAAGCCATAGCAATCATATGAGGGAAACTCTGCGCCCATACTCTTATGTTCGTCCTGTTTCAGGCTCGCGACGAGGGCGTGCTTCTGACCACTGCCAGCTACCTACCAGAGCAGGAGGTGCACGCTCCGCCACCCAGTATCCGCGTCATCGCGGCTGTCTACCTTCTGGACGAGGAGATACAGCTGGTCAAACGCGCGTTGGATACGGCCGTGGCCCGTGTGTTCTGACTTCTGAGCACAGTGGTTTGGTCAAAAGATAGAGATTGAAGACCGGTGGTCTGTGCGGAAGGGAAATGTGATGGATAATATGTTGGTATGGGCAGGATGTGTTGTGGGATTGTGTGGTGTGTGATTTGAGGACGGAAATATACCAATCTGCTGAAAAGCGTTTATCGAGATATGTTGTGATGAGTGATGAGAAAATGGTCTATTGCTTGCCTTGACTGTAGGTTCTAGGACAATTGAGCTACGAAAGGTGGTTGCAAATATACATACTGTCAGTCTAGCAATTAGCATATTAACACCTTTCACCGACCCTCTGCGTGCCTCTGTGACGCATGTGTTTGTTTTGTTTAATTGACGACACTAATTTGTATTCCGGCAGGCATTATGGCGATCCTGTTCTGCGGCATCGTCATGTCCCACTACACCCACTTCAACCTGTCTCCCGTCACCCAGATCACCATGCAGCAGACCATGCGCACACTCGCCTTCGTGGCAGGTGAGTACAGCTTAGAGAGAGGTGTAGTTTACTGGTGAACTGGGCCGTCACCCAGATCACCATGCAGCAGACCATGCGCACGCTCGCCTTGGTGGCAGGTGAAAATAGCTGGGTTATGGGGTTCGATTTGTCTGAAACTACTGTGTTTGTCCGATGTTTTGTCACTCGTTACTGTTATTGTTTCTGATTTATTTTATCAGTATCTTTTGTAATCGTGGGATCTCATATTCAGTCGTAATTCTGTGTAATGGCGATGTAATATTCCCTTATAGATTTTACGGGTCTTGTGGAATGGATCGAAATGTAGTACTGTGTGATGTCCTCGGGCTGGCCGGTCTTTCTTGATTACACAGCCTTCGGACTCCGTTGTAATCCAATACCGGTGATTGTAAACAGTTCGAAATCCCTGAGTGATCCTTCGCTCACACCTTGACCCCTCGGTGCGTTTTCAGAGACGTGTGTGTTCGCGTACCTGGGTCTGGCCATCTTCAGCTTCAAACACCAGGTGGAGCCGGCGCTCGTCATCTGGTCGCTGATTCTCTGCCTGATCGGACGCGCGCTCAACATCTTCCCGCTCTCGATACTGGTCAACTACTTCAGGGAGCACAAAATCACCAGGAAAATGCAGGCCATCATGTGGTTTAGCGGTGAGTCCGGGTTTTCTATGTTTTATAACTTCTGTGATTAAATGATCCACCTCTTATAACGGCCTTCATTTGATAGTCACAAATAGGTATGTATGCAAATCGCACACGTCGGGGTGTTCAGTCGCTGTTTTGGGTTTATGTGCCACAGTTTGTGAAATAAGAAGGCGTTAAAAAACTGTATCACTTTCGGCCTCCGCCCTCAGTAACAAAAAAGTCGATTCTTACTTGCTGTAACACCTTCTACTTCCCTACCTCTTTTTTTCCCGCAGGTCTTCGTGGCGCCATCGCGTACGCGCTCTGCCTCCACCTGGAGTTTGAGACCGAGAAGCGGCACGTCCTAGTAACCACCACTCTGATCGTGGTGCTATGCTCCATTCTACTCCTCGGCGGGAGCACCCAACCACTACTAAAATATCTCAGTGCCGACCGATTCACCAACGACCTCCGCACCCGGAGACGGCGGCGCACCCGCCGGCAGCGCGACCTCAACCTGAGTAAGACGCGCGAGCTGGGAACGGCGCTCGACTCTGAGCACTTCTCCGAGCTAACAGAGGACGAGCGGGACACGAACGCCAACCCGCAGCAGCTGAGAGGGTTCGCCAAGTGGGATTATCTCTACTTCAAACCGTTCTTCACCAGGAGACTCACGCAACAGGTACGGGGAAACGATGCCTTGTTGAGGATGCCAAGGTTCTGTGATATTTGTCTTGACCTCAAAAATCATTTCTGAAATTGTCCTTTAAAATGTTATTATATTTTTAAAAACGGAATGAGGATTTTGAGATTGAGTAAATTATATGTCAATCAAATTGCTGGTCGCATAGTTCGGAATCACTGAAATCGTTTTCTAAGCTCTGTTGTTAACGTAACGATCATTGATAAATGCTTATGCGTCGTTTTCGCTCCGATTACAGGAGCTGCGAGACGCCAAGACTCAGATGACTGACCTCACCAACAAGGTGTACGAAACGATCCGCGTGTCGCCCGAGCACTCGGACGAAGAGGAGCTGCTGGCCTGAGTGACGTCAAAGTGACGTCAGAGAGACGTATGTCGGCCAATCAGCTGCATCTGTTACCTCAAACTGACGTCAGATGGTATGTTTGGTCGTCGCAGAGGGACTAACGTTTGTGCATTGACGGACTGGGCGCTTAAAAAGACAAGACGTTTGAACCTATGAAATTGTATTCATCGGTTCGCAAGCGGACCCATATGCGATCTGAAGACGCACGGCATGATATATTTGTTTAAGGCGACGGTTCTGCAGGTTTTGCTTGTTGTGATCTGCCTTGGATGATCTTCCACCAGCAGTGCAGTCCTCAGAGTATTACTATGGCAGGGCAGGGGTGGTGGTGGCAAAGTCTCCTACCGTTACGCGTGCGGCGAAGGTGGTGGCGACTGCAGTGAAATTTCGCAATGGTTTTGCAATGAAACTCTGCAGTTGCTGGTTTGTTGTGTTGTCGTTGGTGACTGGGACCACATCCCGTGATAGCTTTGTGGTAATTTTGATGCCAGTTAACTGTGAAGGAACACCAGATATTATGCAGTCAAGCACAGTGAACTCGCAAATCTGTGTCTGGTGAGACATGTTCGAATGCTACGTTGTTTTTGCCTGCTCTGCTGAGCCGGGAAGGTGCCGTCTTTTTGTTGCGTTATTTGTGCTGGGTTCTGCGGCTGTGCGTATGTGTTAATTAGCGTGAGGTGACTTCTATGCTAGTGGCATTATTACTATTATGGCTGTTGATTTGGCTCAAGTGAGTGCGATTTGTGGGCGTTTCAGGGTCCAGGAATGTTTGACCAGTATGAAGTAGTGTTATGCAGTGCGCCCGTACGAGGGGCAGTATTGAGTGCTATAAGGCGCTGAATGATAGGTCAATGTTTGTGGTTTCAGATGCCTCGCACTTGCATGCATTGTTGCCATCGTATGATCGCCATTCATCCGTCCCGTGCGGTTATAGCGTTATAGTGTATAACTGTATAAGTCCCCGTCGGTTTGAGGTTTGAGCACGAGGTTCACTTTGAGAAATTTGGGCTTGAGTGTTGGGTTGAGAAACTACTTTCCCTGTTATGCATATGCGTGTTCATTTATCACATAGTCCGATGAAAGATAGGTGGGCGCTTTGGAATTATTTATGCTCATATTGAGTGATCACGGATATATTTTGTTCAAATGCGTTCCAGCTGTTACGCTAAGCACTTGTTGTGCTACTGTTTGAGTGTGGCGAGGTGATTGCCTATCAGCATCGGTACCTACTAAATTTGCGAAGAACTTGCATTTCAAAGAATGTGTTTTGCTGCCTTCAGGTGTTCAGTGTTGTATCTTATGCAAAGCAGTTTGTTTTCTTGAAAGACTCTGGCAAATGATACAGCTCGAATACATAATGCCTCAGACGATGTATTTTCTCTTCTATCAAATCTTCTATGTTCTATCTATCTTATAAAAATATAGCCGCCAATCCCAGCACAGTGCGTGCCGTACTGTCATCGTATCACCCCGAATAGACACAATTCCATTCAAAATCGATGTATTTACATGTCCTTGGTTAGCCATGGCGCTATCTCAGTCTGTTGTATCCCACAGACGTAAACACCTGTATAGCTCCTCTAATACCCGAGAACAGCGAGAGAAACCCATCGCCCCTCGGCGTGCCCTCTTAGCGAGAGCCGTGATATTATACACAGACGGCACGGGTTAGTTAGTTCTGGGCACCACCCCCTCATCTAACGGACACCCTGCTCTTTCACTCGTCGCAGTCTTAGCTGATTCACATTTACACAGCCTTCAGTCACACTTGAAATCGGGGGCGCCTTATACAACTTAGGCTGTTCTCTACGCAGGGGCGGCTATGCAGTTCAAGTAAGCTGTTTTATGGTTTCGACAGTAACGTATAACGAGTTACCGCACCACTGCACGTCAATCGGCTGGGGCTATGTTTTGAGTGCGTCGAGCGAAATAGGATAATACGTAGGCATAATACCAGCCCGCTGGGCCGCTGTGGCAACTCAAAACACGACGTCTGGAGGCCACGATAGGAAGCCGGCGAAAGCCTTGCGCTGGGTAGTTTTCACAGGCAAAGGTTCACGCGAGAGACTCCAAGGACACACAGAGACACCCGCTCGACAACAGCCGTGACGGCTTACAGTTCAGCGATTCCCTTAGTGCAGCACATGTTCTCTTCATCCCTGCACCACGGCCGGTTAGGATAGCACCAGGTCACCAACATCGTATCCCTTCCATCACCACATCCATACCCGAGTCTGTTCCACAATGACACCCATCATCCAGTTCCACATCCACATTCAGTCTACGGCTGGTCAGTCCACTGAATCCACATTCCACATTACTCCTTGAGGCCGCATCTTCCGTCCACAGCTTCGCACACTCGGGTCCTTTAGGAACGGTCTTCTCAACAGACCGGGTCGTTCGGGACACACTAACCACGCCATATTGCGCCCGGTAGCGGGGAGCAGTAACTCACATCGAAAGCACAATATCGTACCCCTCGCGTCGGGGCAACATCCGAGGCAGGTTTCTATACAGGAACCGCTCACTGAATTACACATATGTAGGCTTTTCTACAAGGACCGTTTACTGAATTACACAGAGGCATACTTATCTACAAAGACCGATAATTGAATTACACGGATTCCGTGATGAATAATAACGCATTCCGAAAATCGTTACACGTGTTTACAAACCCGACACATACTCGTATTATGCAACATACAGGGTGTCCCATAAGTTCGTTCTCACCTAAATTTTACGTTTATAGGCTCTCTTGCTTAAAGGCACGCTGAAATTGGTTCGTAACTGAGCTTACGTGGTTGCCATGGCTGGTAGCAATATGCTCCACAGTAACTAATTTCTGTAGACAAAATAGTTTTTGCTAGAGAGCCCGCTTCCTACAGAGACGGCTAACGCCGCAACATTAAGGTCTCTGATACGGGTACTTCTCGGTATTTAGTCAGCACGTGACCATTCTCGACGATTGAGGGTGATTGAGGCCTACCAGTCTGTAGCCAATGTCCATCGCTAACTGGACGCACAGTCAGCAAGTGACGCCGATGATTTGTCGGGAGTCAATCACTGCAAGTTTATTCTCTTTCCAGTCAGCCCTCAGGAGTGAGCCATGTGGCCAAAACTGTGTGGCGCCAAAGTGGCCATCAAAAAGGTTAAAGGGCTAGAAAGTTGGTAAGCAGACTTTTCAGGATGGATTACCAGCTGTCTAAGAGTATTCTTTCGGGGTACATAACTCAAAGGTGCTTAAGCTTTGCTTACCGGAGGGCTCAAAACAGTCAAAAACGTATTAAAATGGCCAAACATGAGTTTCGTTATGCCTGAGGCTAAACAACTAGAGGGCTGAGGACATCAATAAGGTCATCTGGACTAACTAGTCCACGTTCGAGATGAAACACCCGTCCAAACCCGAAAACAACCCCATAAGGGCGAAGGAGGAGGCCTCCGTTCCGTCCCGTTATGTTCCTATGCAAAAGGCCAAGATCACGGTATTGTGAGGTTATAGGCGTCCAGACGCTGACCAGGTTGCGATTGGTGTCCCAGAAACAGCTGTGGGAAGCATAATACTTTCCCAAGAACATCTAGGAGGAGTTTCAGCCTTCAAGCTGAGCTCGAACCGCGAGTATGAACACATTTATAGAGGAGAAAATGGCATCCGGAAGGTCGTAGGCCCAGCTTCAGGCAAGACAGTGCATCAGTGCACAGGTCAAGCAAAGCTTAAAAGCAGTGCAAGGGGACTGTGACAGGCGTTTGTGGGAAGATCACATGCCAGGCAACTCATCGGATCAAAATTTCATAAAAATTCGTTGGTTATACTGAACTTGAGGCTCGTCGAAGCGAAGCGCTGTTCCAGCCTCGAGGAGCTCACGGCGCACGTCAATTCAGTCTGGGCTAACTTCAAGCCTGCTAAGCAGCCAAACCTGCCAGTTGGCATGCCGCAGCATGTATTCATGTGTTTGCCTATTAACTGGGGAGCACAATGAGGGGTCATTAATATATCAAAACGCAATGTACTCTGTTTCACATGCAAATATAATGTGAGAACGAACTTATGGGACACCCTGTACTTCAAGCACAGGATTCTACCTGGGGTCTTCCTCGCCTCACAGATCCCCGTTTTCACACCACTTACTACAGATATCTAACATTGAGGAGCAGGGCCCATCACACCGTGGCGAAGGAAGAAGAGTCACCAGCTGGACCACACCACAGAACGCACTATATTAGGCACATGAGCCGCGGACACCTTCACATGGCTGTATTATGTATGGCAAGACGGCGTACAACACGCGTAAAGTGCCGAGCACCATTGAAAGAATACCAATAGACCAGGACATTGACAAGCCGCACATATATTCATCACGTTTGACACATGGCTGCGATGATTATACTACGTTTACAGCTCAGGATCGCCTGTCAAACCCCGATTCATCTATTGAAGGTATACGACACGTAGAACGTCTTATCTTGTGTAAAACCATACGCCCTCGCTGTAATGCACTACCGTCCCATTTAAATGTAGCTATTCACGTCGTTCCTTCAGTGGTCGAGATTAAATATTACTGAAATGCTGTTTAGCGAAGCATAAACGGCACAATGTAATAGTCGCCGTGAGATTTGGACGCCTGAGGATTTTACTTATAGCAAGTCTCTGGCAGAACCGGCTGATTTTTTTTTTAAGTCTGTTGTTCATGGGTTTTGGGTATCTCATAACCGACAAAGAGTAGAACTTTGTTTCAAAATATGTCACTGCGAAAAACATCGCGTAATTCGAAAGGCGAACTATGACACAATAAGCCGCGGAACTCACGTGATGTGACGTCATCTCCGTTTCTGTAGCACCACGCCAGTGTTTTCTAGCAGATTATGTCCCACTTCACCCTTTCGCTCTATGACGTCACACTGCATCAAGTGCGTCACTCCCAACCACTGGAAGTATGACGTCACCCACCGCCGGCGGTCCGGCGATCAGCCCGTTCAGAACAGGCGTGATCCTCCGGCCGGCGACCTCCAATGTGGTGTCTGGCGGGGGCGGGGGCGGGGGCGGGGGCGGGGGCGGGGGCGGCTGCACAGCAGTCGGTCCGGCCGCCCGACACTGTCCTTATCTGGCCTCCTCGGCTGCAGCCGGCTGCGGCGGCTGGGGAGCGGCCTGGGCAGCGGCCGCGGCGGCCGCCCGCGACTCCTGCCGCTGGGGGTCGTAGTTCACCAGTCGGCGGCCCACCAGATATCTGACGGGGACGGGTCGATGGTCAGCAACGGATGTGGAAGCACCGAGCCCCACTTGGTTTGCGCTAAACCCCTCCACTGCATTAGATTAGCTAAGGCTTTCCTAGAAACCGTCTGTGATAGCTAATAGATTGACTCTCGACATGCTGAGCATCACACTCAGGTGGCAATAAGATTGTCGGACGGTGACGATTTACAACTATGCAACATGGCAAAGATGCATCTCATTCTCTTTTACCAATCAATCAAACCACTAAATCCACCCTACTTAACATCTATTCCACAACCGTCAGCGGAGCACCATCAAGCAGTCGTGGCCGAGTGGTTAAGGCGTCAGACTCGAAATCTGATGGGGTCTCCCCGCGCAGGTTCGAATCCTGCCGGCTGCGTAACTTTTCGCCGCTCAAGGCAAGAACCGCGCAGTCGTCACGGAGACCTCTCACTTATGAGATTGCCACTACGTTTTTAACTCACATTTTTACTTTTAGCATGACATGCAGAACACGATTCTACTCACTTGTCGTTTTTGATGTGTTCGTAGAGTTTCCGGAACTGGTGGTACTGGAACCAGAGCATGGTAACCAGCGAGCTGACCACCACCAGGAACGGGTAGATGTTCCGCTGCACCATGTAGAGCGCCGTCGATGGAGGCACTGCCGGTCAGGGCACGGACAGGGGCAGCGGTCAGCGAACGGGAGACATGGGGGCGAATATTATACGTCCTGTAGTCGACATGTCATATTGTCTCGTGAGAGCCATTTGTATTTTGTATTTGTACATACGGTCTCCATTGTATGGCTTTTCAGACAGCGATTGATGGTTCATAGCACACTTAGCCTATGATTGTTACAAAAAAGTACATGGCGTAATATTCACATGAAATGCAGTAAGGCAAGTGATCTTTTGAGCGGTCAGATGCTCCTCAATGTCAATTTTATCTTCAGCCTAAGGCTAGCCTCGTTATCTTACTTACTTAGACTTATTTCGTCGACTCCATCTAGTAGATGCAGGATCATTTCTGATCGTCTTCCAATTATGTTAGCTGTCTGGATGATATAAATTTTCAGGACATCATAGTTGGGAGGACTCTTTAACAGTTACTCTTCTTGGTTATATTCTCAGTGAGTTCCTTGCGCACACGGGCTTGGTAGATATAATGGATGATCAAGCTTTGTGGCTTATCGGCGATGATGATAAGTTCTGCTGCTGGTAGCGTTCTGTTCAAGATAGTTTTGTATATTTTTTGAGCAGCTACTCTATCGTCCTTCAGTTTGTCACATTCAAAGAGCATGTGTTCCAGAGTTTCAATGGTATTACGACACAATGGACAGACAACAGTTTCTTTGTGCCTTCTAACCATGCTTGTGGCCACCAAAGAGTGGCCCGTTAGTAGGACAATTTTGGTTAGTGTCGCTTGTCTGGTAATTGCGCTGTACTTGCTTGCCGGCCAAAATGTTTTCGGCGCCTCGTACTTTTCGGTTTGTGGCAGTAGCGAAAGCCAAAACAAACTTGTCATATTCTCTGCTGTGTTCCTGATGATTTTTGTCATACTTTGATCCACTGATGCAGATGCTAACTTGTTCCATGCTGTCCGCGGTTGGTCTATTTTTTGATTAGCCAGAATAGAGAGGCTTGGTAAGTTCAGATGTTGGAGCAATGTGTCCCATTGGCGCACAAGACTCGTGGTTCGATCAGCATTGACTGCTCCATGGGTGATGATATATCTGGTTAGAGTGTGTTCCTTCGCAGCTCTCAGAAGGAAACCTATGAATTGGAGTGCGGTTCTCATTACGAGGCTTGTGCATGTCGGTGCACCCAACATCACATATGTCACCATTTTTTGCGTTTTGGTTGGTAAACCTTGGATGAGACGGTAAATGCGCATGAGCATTCCTTCCAAGTACATGATATCTGTTGGTGAAAGGGATGTAACTGCTAGGCTGTAAATTAGAACCGGTTCAGCATATATTCTCCATGTTGTATAGTGTGACATCGGATTGTCCATTTTGAGGTTGATTCCTTTCTTACACTTAGCAAAAAATGTTCTTCTTGCTTTCTTCATGCATTCTTCTATCCTTCTCTTTGCTGGACTTCTGGTTGTCATAATGATTCCTAGGTGGGTGTATTCATCAGTTTGCTCTATTGATTCAGTGCCAAGCGTCCACTGTACCGGAGCTGTCCTGCCAAAGACCATTATTTTGGTTTTTGATACGTTATATCTATAACGCCACAAGCAACTATGGTTGTAAGCGATATCAAGCATTTCTTGGAGTTCGTTTGGGTCTGTGCTTATGAGTACTTCATCATCGGCGTAAGCGATAACTGGTACTTGTTTACACCCTATCTTGGCTCCCTTATGTGATTCCAGCAGCAGCATTCCAGTTATCGAACATCTCTAGATTCGCGACCGATTTCCACGATAAAAATGCGAACAAAATTATTTTTATGTCTCCTTTCTAACAATTCAACCAGCGAAGTGCACGACCTTCAGTATTCCATCCCAGGACTAATGCGAACCATTGCGCCAGCCACTGGACTCTCTCTAACCCACTAATCATTGAAACCACCCTCCCCGTATAGATCCCCCGTAACTCACGGATAAGCGGCACAAAGGAGTGGACCAGTACATAGGGTACGGCCAGGGCCAGACCGAGTAGAACCACCAGCGGCAGAGCCAGGTCCATGAGCACGGCGCGCAGCTGCAGGTTCCTCAGGCCGTTCAGATACACCTGAGGAGGGGAACATAGGTTAGTACGGTACACAGCTGGAGGTTCCTCAGACCGTTCAGATACACCTGGGGGGGGGGGGGGAGGGAGGGAGCAGGTCAGTACGGGAGGCAATTGGAGGTTCCTCAGACCGTTTAGATACACCTGAGGGGGAGGGGGGAGGACACAGGATGTTTATTGGACGTACTGCACGCAGCTGAATGTTCTCTCCTCCAATGATATGCATGTAAGGAAAATGGAAATATTCAATGAAAAACATGGGGACACCGTGAGATGAGCGCTAGAAAAAAGAAGAATTAGCGGATAGTCTCAACCTGTCGAGTTGAGAAACTCTGCAGGTACCAGGTCGACAAGGAGCGGTACGGGCCACGGTCGGCACGCTATTCTCACCTGTTCGAGCGCAGCCTTGAGCCACCAGTTGGGGCCCATCATGGTGATGGCACACGTGATCTTGGTGTAGAGCACCCCCAGTGCCCAGTCCTGCCGGTCACACAGACAGGTCGGTTACAGAAACCGGCTGTCGGACGCGAAATGAGTTCAATCAGAATTAAAGCGCATTCATCTATGCATAATGCATAGATGAATGATTCAATAAATGATTTAAAAGAAACGCTACGATACCAGTATAACGCCTTTTGGGGCGACTAACGGAGCGAGCGAGAGGGTGGGCCTTGCACGTGCGAAATTGCGAGGGGGTACCTCCAACTGACTTGTGCACGGCACCCTACTAACCGGTCTCTAGCGATGTGCCAAATTTGGGCACAATCGGCCCAGCCGTTCTCGAGATCTGGAAGCGGCACCCTGCACGTGCGCACGTGCAAAATGGGTCCCAACTGACTTGTGCACGGCACCCTACTAACCGGTCCCTAACTGTGTACCAAATTTGAGCGCAATCGGTCGAGCCGTTCTCGAGATCTGGAAACGACCCCTGCACGTGCGCACGTGCAGCAGCACCCCAACTCTGGCACATGGATATACAGTGCCTTGTGGGTGCCTACCTACATGCCAACTTTCAGCGCAATCGGCCAAGTAGTTACCGAGATATTGCAACAATTACCAAACTGACACCTCTTCGTTTTGCACGTGGCACGTGCATAAGGGGTCACCCACATGCATCGGGAATAGTCCAATACTTGGTAGAAGGAATGAAGCTACCCTACAAAAAAAAAGTGGTTGCTGAGATATAAGCCTCGCAAAAGCGTGACCATGGCCGGCCGGCCGGCCGGCCGCTCATGCTCAGAAATTTCCGTTATTATGGAGCGAGCGAAGCGAGCGGAGTCTTACGTAGAATAACGGAAATTTCTGAGTATGAGCGGCCGGCCGGCCGGCCGGCCGGCCGGCCGTGCGGACGCTTTTGCGAGGCTTATATCTCAGCAACCACTTGACCGATTTACATGCGGTAATTTTTGTAGGGTAGCTTCATTCCTTCTACCAAGTATTAGACTATCCTCGATGCATGTGGGTGACCCCTTATGCACGTGCCACGTGCAAAACGAAGAGGTGCCAGTTTAGTAATTGTTGCAATATCTCGGTAACTACTTGGCCGATTGCGCTGAAAGTTGGCATGTAGGTAGGCACCTACTAGGCACTGCATATCCATGTGCCAGAGTTGGGGTGCTGCTGCACGTGCGCACGTGCAGGGGTCGTTTCCAGATCTCGAGAACGGCTGGACCGATGCCGCTCAAATTTGGTACACGGTTAGGGACCAGTTAGTAAGGTGCCGTGCACAAGTCAGTTGGGACCCATTTTGCACGTGCGCACGTGCAGGGTGCCGCTTCCAGATCTCGAGAACGGCTGGGCCGATTGTGCTCAAATTTGGCACATCGCTAGAGACCGGTCAGTAGGGTGCCGTGCACAAGTCAGTTGGAGGTACCCCTCGAAATTTCGCACGTGCAAGACTCACCCCCTCGCTCGCTCCGTTAGTCGCCCCAAAAGGCGCTATACTGGTTCTAAGGAAAGACTACGCTCGCTTCGCTCGCTCCGTAATAACTCACTTTCAATCCATGAGGAGACATTAGGACCCTTGCTTAAAAATAGAGATGTCAATCGGATACCAACTTTTTGGCATACCGATACCAAACCGATACCAACTTGGTATTTGGTATTTCAATCGTAATGTGTTTACGGAGCGAGCGAAGCGAGCGTAGTCTTTCCTTAGATTAACGGAAATTTCTGAGTATGAGCGGCCGGCCGGCCGGCCGGCCGTGCGGACGCTTTTGCGAGGCTTATATCTCAGCAACCACTTGACCGATTTACACGCGGTAATTTTTGTAGGGTAGCTTCATTCCTTCTACCAAGTATTGGACTATTCCCGATGCATGTGGGTGACCCCTTATGCACGTGCCACGTGCAAAACGAAGAGGTGTCAGTTTTGTAATTGTTGCAATATCTTGGTAACTACTCGGCCGATTGCGCTGAAAGTTGGCATGTAGGTAGGCACCCACTAGGCACTGCATATCCATGTGCCAGATTTGGGGTGCTGCTGCACGTGCGCACGTGCAGGGGTCGTTTCCAGATCTCGAGAACGGCTGGACCGATGGCGCTCAAATTTGGTACACGGTTAGGGACCAGTTAGTAGGGTGCCGTGTACAAGTCAGTTGGAACCCATTTTGCACGTGCGCACGTGCAGGGTGCCGCTTCCAGATCTCGAGAACGGCTGGGCCGATTGTGCTCAAATTTGGCACATCGCTAGAGATCGGTTAGTAAGGTGCCGTGCACAAGTCAGTTGGAGGTACCCCCTCGAAATTTCGCACGTGCAAGGCCCACCCTCTCGCTCGCTCCGTTAGTCGCCCCAAAAGGCGTTATACTGGTTGGTATTTTGTTGGTATCATAAACCCTCACTAATGTATAAGAGGCTAAGAAATCGGTAAAAAGTTGGTATTTCCCTCATTTTCCCAAGTTGGTTTGGTTTCGGTATTTTCCCGTGGTTTTGGTTGGTATTTGGTTTGGTATCGGTATTCCGATTTTCTGTAATTGACATCACTACTTAAAAATGAGCTGTGCGTTTTATCACCACTATCTTCTCGAGTCTTCAAATTCCCCTTCAGAGACGCACTAAGTTCCAAGAATCGTACGCTTTCCTTCTTTTCCCTTCCTTGCTACCCATTCCTCTCCCCTCCCTCTGATCCCCTCACCTGGAACACGAAGAAGACGGGCGTCTGGTTGAGCGGCACCCTGATGGGTACAATGACCACCACCTCGAGCAGCAGGCCGTAGCAGAGGGGGATCACTCCGACCAGCACCACGAGCGCCACCAGAGCGCGCAGCGCCGCCACCGCCCACTGCCGGAGCCGGGCGTACACGCCCGACCAGCCCAGCGGCAGCCAGCTGGCGGCCAGCACCGCCAGACGCACGGCCAGCCAGCTGGCGTAGAGGCCGCAGGCGGCTGTGTATAGCTCGTGGGCGGGTCCGTCGGTGACCCAGAGGGACAGCAGGCAGCGGCCGATGTAGACCGGCACGGTCAGCATCAGGACGGAGGAGACCAGTAGGGTGATACACATCAGTATCAGCAAACAGCCGATCTGGGGGTCAGAATATCAGCACGTCAGAAACGAGACACTTATCAGCGCATCAGGAACAGACAGCCGATCTGGGGGTTAAAATATCAGGGTTAAAATACCAGCATATCAGTACGGACATCAGGAGCACATATCCAATCTCAAAGGTAACCAGCAGCACGCACTAACGATTCGGCATTTGCGTTTCACCTAGCTTCCAAAAGTTGAGAAGGTAAATGCAGCAAAGGCTTTCCGTGTAAATCGTTCCTCTAAAACAGCACGCACCTACCACATGAATTCATGAGTTCAGCATGCCAAATAGCAAGCAACGTAGCCTTCCTTCAAAGGCACTCGCAACCCCTCCTCACATACATCCCACCACCACACCCACTCCTTACCCTAGCGGACATCCACTGCGGCCGTTTGTAGGGCTGGAAGCCCACCGGCGCATCGTGCAGGATCAGCGCCTGGTGGGCCGCGCCGAGGCCGCCGCCGCCCGCCGCGCCGCCCGCCACGCCGTTCGGCTCGGCCCGCGGCGGGGGCGGCGGCGGCGGCGGAGGCGGCAGCGGACCGTCGTAGTTACCGCGCTCAATGTCGTCCTCCTGATGGGAAAGGAAATTGATAGATGAGTATTATACGAACAGATATTTAAAAGTTTCAATAAATGATGCGTGACTAGTCATGAGTCCATATTGAATTTGCATATATCAATCACTTGACGAACAGTCTGGCTACCACAGACTACTTCCATGGTCAAAGATATTCACCCAGTTCCTCTCCTTGGATCAGACTAGGACTCACCTGTTCATTGAGCTGGACGTCTCCGAGCAGGTAGGACCTGAGGTCAGTGACCCGCGCCACGGCCACGCACCACCAGCGGACCAGGTTCTTCAGCCACACCTGCCGGGTCGGTCACCGGTCAGTCAGATCGGGTCAGGTCAGGTCAGGTCAGGTCACACTAGTCTGGTAGGTCATGTCAGGTCAAGTCTGGTGAGTTTCTTGAGTGAAGTAAACGAAACGGCGCGATGCTTTCTAATTTAATAAACTCGAGAGTCCTGTTAACTGAGATTTTTCTATATTCATCTCGCACAGACCAGCTAATCAATATCAACGTACCAGATGAATATGCCTGGAACAGCTGTTTCGACATAACAACTCACTGTTATGTTATTGAATTCAGTCATGCGGATGCTTCGGATCTCCATAAGACTAAACGGATTGTGTCAGATCCTGGTCCTAAAAAGGTTGATCATGAAAATCACTCAAAACTGATAAAGATGTGGACTTAGGCACGACACGCCATCCAAGTATGAGCCCGCAGACCGTAACTAGGCATCTAGCAGCTAATCGTATTTGACGTCCGCTTCGACTTACCTTGGTGTGTCCCTGCTCGAGCAGCGCCGGTAGGAACACCTGAAGTAGGAGAATCTGCAGAGACGGCTCCACCACCGGGCCCTCGCTGTGGGAAATAAAGCGACGGTTAACAACAGGTACCGGGCATAACGGGCGGATATATCAAGCGTCAGAGCGGTGTCTCCGAAAGTGAGAAAGGAACAATATCCATAATGGTTAGATAAGAAGCAAAACCTCTGTCCAAAGTACAAGAATACCTTCTAAGTTTTCAAACCTTCAGGAAGTGTGATTTTACAAAAGAGATCAAAACAGAGAAGGACATGCCTCATAATGCTTCATTACGTAATCCATTGTTTCCTTATTAACCCGCGCCCTGCTGGGGGTCCTGGATTTCCACGCCCTGCTGGGGGGGGGGGGGTGTTTGAACACCCCCCCTTGTAACTCGGCTCCTGGGCCACGTAGCGATACGCGGAAGGCGGCGTTCGAAAGAGAGTAAAAAATAATGACGAAATCACTTCGGTCAATTTTTTGGTCAGGTCAAAGGTCAGGTCACCAGAGGTCATTGAAGGCAAAATTTCGCCGATTTCCAGGTCGAATGTCGAAAATTTCCAAGAAGCCAACGCATAACTCGGGAACCAATAGAGCTACAGCGCCGCGGAAAAGTGCATTCGATAGCCCTATTAACGCCCTTTCTGAGTAATTCTCTCAGATTTGACCTAACGTCAACGGTTTTGCCTGCAGGGGGCAAAAACTGCAAAAATAGCCGATTTTTTCGAAAACAGTTTTTCTGCAATAACTTTTGACCCAAGCCTTGTACGAGCTTACTTTTACCGGCATCGTGTTCCTCTCGTCAAGACGCATCGAATGCATTATGACTTGACCTTGAAAGGTCAACTTGAAAATTTGACCTCAGGTCAAGGTCATGACCTGACCGGAAAGGGTCATGTTGCATATCAGTCGATCCGTATCGTCGAGCTGAACACATCTAAGGCGTTTTCATCGCTCTAGCATGCCTCTATCAAAAGTTATTTGCGAAAAACTGTTAGATACCATTCGTGACCTAAGATGACCTCAGGGCATAAACAAGGGTCACGGACACCATTTTCAAGTTCAGTGTGTCTAAACCACTTGTAATTCGGTGTTTGGGAGTGTTTATAACGTCTTTCATCCAAAAGAGGCGCATTTCAATTTTCTCCCATTGACTTATAATGGGGAGGTCGCAAAATTGACCTGACCTTAGGTCATCGATATCAAAATTCTGAGATATATATTTTGTACATGCTATTGCTCTTAGCAATCGCTGAAAGTTTCAAAGCGATCGGTCACTCGGTGTAGCTATGACAGACATTGAAAGTTTTTATGAGGTGAGGTCACTTCAAGTGACCTGGTGACCTGACCTTGAATGACCTTGGTCTGAAATTTTCACAACATGTGTAGAATTGATGTATGATAAGGTGTACCAAAAACGGCGGCGCTCCGCGCCGCCGTTTTTGAGATATTCGCGAAAAACCACAAGGGGGGGGGGTGTTCAAACACCCCCCCCCCCCAGCAGGGCGCGGGTTAATAAGAACTTGATCCGATATTCGAATTATCAGATAAATCCTTCGTACACGTTCGCAAGCTACGTAACTAATCAGCGGGAGCTACGGACATCGCATTATGCAAGTTATATAAGACGTAATAAGCGATAAAACTGCCGCCCTGCATGCCGTGTTCCGCGTTTCTATAGATGTTTCTATAGATGTTTCTATAGACACCGTTCTAACCTCAACAGCACGCAATCATCCTACCCATCCTAATCGCCCACGAAATATGAATGCAGTCCTTCCTCATCCTCACCTAACCTTCAGTCTCTCCTTCCCCCTCCCCGGCGATTCGCGAGTCCTAGGCCCAACTCTCAGCCTCGTTCCCTGCGGCGACTGGCAACTCACTTGACCAGCGCGACGTTGTAGGGCAGGAACTTTGGCCAGCAGTACTGGATGAAGCGCACCGGCAGCCACAGCATCAGCAGCACCGTGGTGCCGAAGATGATGACGGAGGCGATGAAGCGCCGAGTGTGCCGCAGCACTGGCAGGTGGATCATCTGAGGGATGACCAACGGGGCGGGGAGAGGTGAATGCGCTGGAAATTATAGTTGCGATTTGGTTATGCATATTCTCCTGCAGCTTGAGCAATGTTAGTGAAAAAGATAACTAATTATGTGAGCGACAATATTATACTAACCAGTCATGGATGTTATTGGTTACGGCATCCTAATCACACATCGAGAGCGCTTCGCTGGTAAATAAAGCGTTTACTTATTACTTATTAGTGTACCATCCGTGTATCAACTGACTATTGTTAACAAATGTCACTGTTCGATAACTGAAAACCCGCGTCGCTCACCTCCTGAATGGGGTTGAAGTCGGGGTCGTTGAGGTTCCTGAGGAACCACAGCACACCCGGCCGAAGCACTTCTCTCAGCAGCAGGATGAACGAGGCGAAGTAGAAGACGTAAATCATGCCGACCAGCCAGTGCAGGAACATGCACGAACCCGGAGCCAGCTTGAACGCCTTCTGACGGTCCTGTTGGATGGGAAGGGGAGACGGTCAGAGGCGTACCTCAGGGACCAGAGAGAGTAGGCCACTGATACGGAGTTGCATACATATATCAAAACACGATACGAGCCATGAAATATAACGTACATCTACGTTATGCTGTGGTCATATATCAACGTGCATACTTGAACCTGGACGATGCTCTTTTACGACCTTCGCGGTTCGTGAACATGACTAAGCAAAGATTCTCCCCAACCATTCTTCTGAATCCCACATTATCCTATACTGTTTTTGCCTCTTAATATGTGACGGAATACCCTGTGGCCCTCGCTAACCTGTAGACTCGTGTCGAGCAGTGTGAGGGAGCAGACATCCAGCCACCATCCACAAACCAGCGGGAACACGCCAATCTCCACCACGGCCAGCATCGATACCTTGACCACCACGTAGCACACGCCTAGAACGCGCTTCGCCCTGCGGAGTAACGAAGGTGGGTGTGATTAGACGATGGTTAGATGGTTTTGGCGGGGGGGGGGGGGGGGGAGTCGAGGTGAATGTGCGTTGCTTTTGGGTGAAAGACAATGTCACTGTCAGTTTGCAAATATATCAGGCGCAGAAGATGTCTCGTTATTGCAATATGTAACAAAATAGCTTATATTCACATAAATACAAATATTGGCCCGGAAAAACATCAATACCTATATTCCATGAGCAAAGAAATGGCTTCAGACTTAGCCAACTGTTTAATCATACCAGCACAATTTACATGAGTCAGCTTCCACATTATCTCTCACCTGTTCATGGAGAGGATGGACGCGAACGTGTGCAGCAGCACGAACATGAGTCCGATGATGCAGTAGCCGACCAGGGTGGTGAGCAGGCCCTCGAAGTGGGACGACATTACCATGTCCTGCACTCGGAAACCCATGATTGCGAAGTGGCCGATGTGGTACGGGCAGAAGGCTGCCCCAAGAGAAAAACGAAAGGTTAATGATGGTGGGATAGTGGGTCAGCGCCGTGAAAAACTGATAACTTGTTTGAATAGAACAATCATGAATTATCTAGCCTTTACAGTAGTCTGCAATTCCATTATGCAGCACCGATGATTAAACTATTCAAAATGTATGTCATTTTCAGTCAGTCTTAAATCCTTCAACTACTCGCTTATAAAGCATAAATTAAATGTATATTAAATTAAATTAAAATGTAAATAATTTATGTACAAATGTACACAACTTAAATCAAATCTTCAAGATGAAGATGAAGATAAATAAGTCATTGACCTAGGAGTAAATTTGATACCGAAAGTTTCGCCAAATATTTAGGAGTGTCACCTACCCCTAGTACCCACTCACCAAACACCAGGATGAAGAGTGTGTTGAGTGACACCACCCAGAACACGTGTTCCAGGAACACCAGCGAACCGTCCAGGCCGAGCAGCCGCTCCCAGGTGAGTTCCTCGGCGGCGCGGTCCCAGTCCATCGGGTTCCAGTTGTTATCGTCCGCGCCGGCCGCCGCGCCGCCCGCGCCGCCGCCGCCCGGCCGCGGCTCCGGGTCCAGGAAGGCGTTCCAGTCGGCGCCGCCGCCGCCGGCCGCCGCCGCCGCCTCCTCGGCCTCCCGGCGCACCACGTGCACCACGTCGGCTTCGTCTCCGGGCAGGTCCAGGTCGTCGGGGTCGACGCCGTCACCAGGGACACCGTCCAGGTCACCGTCGTCCTGGCGGGGGACAAAGATCAGTCAGATGCCAGGAGCAGAGAGTAACACTACAAACACAGATTGCTCCGTCCATGACATATCTAAACCATGCTGATGGTCCATTCCAGGACATATTTCTGCTAGCACAACAAAAAACCTAGTCATCGATCGGTCACAACAACCCCATAACCCATCGTTTCCCATCTACACGTTCCAGCCTCTGTCAGATCCAATCTCCCTCCGTCCGAGTTCCATCCGTCCCCTTCCCATGCTCACGGCGGTCCTACCTCCGGGACAGCGGCCTCCTGCTCGAGCCAGTCGGGACCGCCGCCGTGCAGAATCTGCTCCCGCAGCCACACCAGACTGATGAACGCGCACAGTGTGCACGTGACCACCAGGCAGCCCTGCAGGCTGTCGCTCAGCAGGTTTTCACTGAGGGAGGAGGGGAAATCACGTGACCACCAGTAGGTTCTCACTGGGGGAGGAGGACAATCACGTGACCACCAGGCAGCCCTGCAGGCTGTCGCTCAGCAGGTTCTCACTGGGGGAGGAGGGCAATCACGTGATCATCAAGCACGTTGACCGTCGTCGACCAAGATTACTTTACTACCCGTCGTTATGACGTCGTCATAACAGTCATGACGTCAACTTATGACTATTTTTACTACCTACCACCAAAACACTGCTGCAGTCTAGCCTAACCAATCAATACAACAATTCTAAGTCCACTAACATCAGCTATCACCGATTATCTCCGGACTTCCAATTCTAAGCCACGTCCCTTCCATTTCCCTTCCGTGTCATAACCTACAACTGTACACTTTTCCCCCCGCCTCCGATTCAACGTATGTCTCATCCCCCCCCCCTTGCTCACCGTATCTCCATCAGTCCATCCCCCCCCCCCCCCAATCCCGTCCAAAACTCACGTGGAGAGCATGTCGAGCGGCAGTGACAGTATCGAGTTGACCGACCCGGCGAACAGACACCGGTAGATTCTGCAGGCCGTCAGCGGCACGATGCCCAGCCACGCGAACGCCACCAGAGTGTAGTGGAACCAGAATCGCACGGCAGTGGCCACGCTGCCCAGGAGGCCACTGAGGATGTCGCCGAGTGGCAGGCGCTTCGGCATGTCCGGCGAGTAGACTGTGAAGGGAGGGAGGGGGGGGGGGGGGGTGAGGGGGGTAAAAGGGGGGAGGGCATTCGTCGAGTCATGGAGGGAGAGGGAGGTAGTTAAGTCCGATATGAGAAGACTCAGTGAGTCGACGCGGGAAATGTTATGCGAGCTGAGTCTAGCCAGAACGATCAATCTGAGTGCGGCGTGAGTAGGAAACAGAATCCGCTGGTCGCGATAGGGAAGGGTGAGATTCCCTTACGGACCATACTTCCCGATCCCTCCCTCCTTGCCTTCCGCATCATCCTATCCCATCATCCTTCACATCATCCCATCCCATCATCCCATGCCTTCCCATCATCCCATCCTATCCCTCCTCATCTTATCCCATCTGAACGGCCCCAAACCTGCACCCACGCCCCGTCGCACGTACTGGGTGTGAAGGAGAAGCGGTGGTTGCAGAGCTCGCAGTACTCCTTGCGGCTGTAGCGCAGCCACTGGATCAGACACTCCTGGTGGATGTATTTGATGCTGCCCGTGCAGATGCACGGGTAGAAGAGCGGCCGGTCCATGCTACCCTCCGACCGACACACCCGGCAGATATCTGAGGACGGTCGGAGTCACAGAGACAGGTGAGAGCACAGACAGGGGCGTGCTTGAATTAGGTATTACGATAACGACTAGAGAGACCTCACGCATGGAGCGGTTCGATAATTGTTTGCGTGAGTTTGATACGGAAAGCAGAAAAGTAGAAAATCATTATTTAAGGTAGCATAGAAAGCATCCTTCGTATACGTATTATCAGCGACATCGAAAATCACGAAACAACATTATGAATCTTAGCAGTTAGCACGAGAGGCAAGCTTCGTTACACTTGGCGATAGAAGGCAAAAATAAAAGCAACGTTTAAATACAAAACCTAGCCACTGATAAAACTGAAATATCACCTTGTTGTGAATCGTCATCCATGGCTTCTTTGTATGTATACACGGTCTTGCGACTCAGGCTGGTGTGGTTTTACCGATTTCTCATTGGGAAGAGTCGCACAAATTCTGAAACAGCACAAGGAGTTATGGATTTGAAAAATCCATGACAGATTTTTAGAATACTTCTCAGTTTTCAAGTTGCATATCGTATGCAGAACTATAACCATTCCATCATATTCGAATTTGTTCGGCACAATATCACTCATTAATGAACATCTGTAAAAGGACAAGAAATGCTGCGACCGTGAAGGACAAAGCAAAAGGTAACTAAAATTTCGAGCTAGGAATGATTGGTGTCCAACTAAAAATCAAAATGTTTTCAATTTGACACGAATATCACGAGCTGATAAAGCAAAAATAGCGATGATGACCTATATCGCGGTTAATACGCCTGACGACTGTCTGTCAAAGCACTTCCTCACATTGATTTCATTATCCAACAGCCCCGCAGACATCTAGCAGCTTGGTATAAACAGTTGGCGTATTTACCGCCAACATAATTACGTAAAAGTACGACGACAGAAGAGAATATACGATAAAACAGGTAGCGAGATCGGAGTCACCAGACAGAAGCTGATGAGGTCAACGACCTCCCAGCGTGGTTCAGCGGCGGGGAGGTACATGTGATAACACAATATCGACGTCAGCGGTCTCCAGCGTCAGTAATATTATTCAGCGTCAGCGATCTCTGGGGTCGGTAATCTTGACTCTTGAGCACAGGCAATATCGCGCAACAGTAATCTGAAAGGCCGGCGATCTATAGGGTTGGCGATCTCAAAGGTCAGCGATCTCGAGGGTCAGCGATCGCGAGAGAACGCCAGGGCCCAGGGATCTCCAGCATTAGCGTCTCTAGCGTCAGTAATATCCATGTCATCACTCTCGAGCGTCAGCGACCTCCGAGCATCTTTAGCGCCAGCAATCTCGAGCGCCAGCGATCTCGAGCGTCGGCGATCTCGAGCGTCAGCCAAATCCAGCCGGGTTCACGATCTCTCGAGCCCCCTCCATTGACAACAACGGGTCAAGAATGTGATGGTGAAACACTTGTGTGAGGTGAGTAGTTTCAATGACACAGTGACATTGACAGTATTAGTGATGATGAGACAATGACAAGTAAAATGATATTGACAGAACAGTTAGATATATTGTAACTACAGCAATACAGAAGGCAATGATGAGGACTAAGTGACACAGAGGAAATGCCTTTTACCAGCAAAGCAGTAATTATGCTGTTATGGCACTGCAGCAGATTTATTTTAGCCAATGTTGTATATTTTTGTCCAATTTGCTTTCCTTCTCTGGGGATTATCTTGGTAATACAACATTTATGTAGGCCAACCAACATTTGACATTGACAGTGAATGTCTAGCAGATGCATTTAACTACCACACTTTAAACTCAACTGAAGATTTTGAATCTATGAGTAAAATGCTCCTGAAGAGGAACAAATTTCCTAATTATTGCCCAATGCCCATACACTGTACAGGGCTAAAAGGTGCGCACTGTCCAGTCCTCCTTTCTGGAATGGAACAGCACAATTTTTAGGAATGGAATGGAACAACAAGATAATTTTATTTCAAAATGTGTAGCAAACCATGTTAATTCCTGATGGTGGCTCACTATGTAGTAACAATTAACATACAACTCAGTATCTGTCTCCTCCAGTTTCACTTGCTACTCTTGTTTACTTGCTTACTGTCTCAGCCAGATGATCCCTCAGCAAGCTAATCCTGTGTCCCGGTCAAAGCCAACCAGATTCATTCATCCCAGCTGGGTAGCTCCAAATCAAAATAAGCCCTTCAGTTCAAGCAGAAAAGTTGCATGAAATGTATCTTTAACTTTTATTTAATCACTTTGCACTTTCTTTCATAAACTGTGTCTCAATGGTAGAATGGATGGTTGTGGGCCCAGGTGCCCCACCAAGCAGTGCATGTTGCAAATGACACCACGGACCCACCACCGAACCTCACACGCCCCTGTTTAATTGGTGGTATTTTGAATCAGAAGTTTATTGTACCACAGGTGGATAGTGGCAGAGTCCTCCCAAGTCTAGTTTGACCCTCTCTCACCAGTTGCCAGCTAGCTGAATATGGAAACGCTGGTCAAATGACGTAGATCTCTCCATTTGCCAACTTGCTGTCACCGAGTTAAAGGGACTGTCCCACCTTAACATTAGATTTGAGTTGAGATAGCCATCTTGATGGACGTTCTTTGAAAATCAGTGCCGTGAAAACCGTTTCTCCAGCAATTACTTCATCGCAAAGAAATTTGAGTTTGATTTTGACATCTGTGCAAATAAGTGCCACAATGTATTGGTATAGGCACTTAAATCTGATGACGTCATCAGGCTTTCGAACGTCCGTTAAATGTTTGACTAAAACGTTTTGTAGCACGCGGTGGTATATGCTGCGTTGCGCGCAACAAATGCCGCACTTTTAAATAAAGTCGCTAGGAACAGCGGAGATCCCAAAAAGTAAACAAAAGTAAAAGTCTAATATCTTGAAAACCGGTGAATATTTTTCGGTGAAATTTGGTAGATATTCGTTTTCGCTCTTTCTGAACCGAGCGACATCACTTTCATGCCAATTCATAAACTTTTTTAAAGGTGGGAGGGTCCCTTTAAGAGACGGAGGCCTTGTCCACTAGCTCACAGGGAGGACCAGAAGAGAATACTGCAAGATTCTTTTCATTTTCCTTGAACTAAGCACCTACACTAATGAGCAAAAACTAATACCTATTTACGTAACAATACAATCCTGCTATCCTATTCCTAAACCACCAAGGGAACAAACTGTCGCTAACATAATAATGGAAAACTCTTGAAGATTTGTATTCAAAACTGAAACACTTCTTCAATATGGCAATTCTGGTATAATATAAAATAAATTTGACTTCCATAGTGATAGACCATTGCCATAGCCAGCCCATATTGTTGACAGTTTGTTATCAAGATCATTCTGATCAAATTGCAGAATGTGCTATGGCTGAAAAGCGGCAAAAAATAAATAATCACTTAAATATACCCATACTACTTACACAGATGACAAGCATCAGCTTACGACGCACACCCCAAGACGGAATCGACGAAATTCCTCTCAAACATAAACCAAAAATGCGTATATTAGCAGTGACGCAAAGACAACAAGAAAGCTTCGGGGGAAAGTCCTCATGATAATCAGCTGATAGTAAAAGTGACGCTATATTTAGAGTTTTGTTTCTAAAAGTAGTTATTCAATGCTATCTTTTGCCATTTAATAAATCATAAATATCCTTTAAATGATGATTTAAAAAATTCAAACAAAAGTTATGTTTTGGTAAGCATAAGTTATTTGCTATTTTCCTCAAAACTTGCTTACAGTTTGACATGTAGCAAATAGACAGCTGGCGAATAAAACTGATCACCTGACTCGCTTGTTACACGTATTGAGTTGGGGATCACCTGTCCGGTGTGCATCTGGTGATTGTAGAATTGTCCGGTGCTTGTTGCGCCTTATGCAAGGAATTTTGGCTACATTTTAATGCTTTATGTTTTTTCTTCTTGAAAAACAAAATCGTGCTTCATATTCCGCGTCTATAGCATATTGTCTTCAATTATATACAGAATAAAGAGGTGAGATATTGTGCTACATTTCTTAGGCAAATCTGGCGCATTATTGTTTTACGAGTTAATTTGTATTTTATAGCGTTTTTGGACATTTAATGGTTGTTTTACCGAATATTTTTAATGTAGAAATGAAACTTTGCATATTGAAGTACTTCTTAATTCCAGCTTCTGCTCTGGCTATGCCTAAGTTGGTGAATTTTCACTCGGGTAATGTGGGTGGGCAAACGGATGCTTTCATCTGCTCAATATCATTTTGATGCATTTAAATGATATTGAGCAAGTTTTTGTTCTAGTTTTTTTTTTTTCGTTTGCTCTGTGCTGACTGATAACACTTACCATAAAACTTATATCACTGCTCTTTGGATTCTATTGAAAATTATTATTTCATAACTAAGGAACAGTTCAAGATCCCATTCCATTATACAGATGGTAGCACTTAAAGGAAACAGTTCACTTTCCTGAAATTAGTATTTTGCTATGGATTTACGATTTTTATGCTCAAAATGATCAGAAAATAAAATAAAACCGTTTAATAAAAACAATTATTTTCTATATTTTAATATAGGACGAACTATATTCTATGTTAAATAATGTTTGACGCGGAAGCTCATTACGCGTTGACCAATCATATTGCGTAGTTCAAACCTACGCATGCTGCATTAGCTGTAAGCAGCATGCTGATTGGCTGACGATGACGTGGCTGCATTCCTGTGCAAGGCACACATTCCTCTGCAAGGCACTCTTTTCGGAGCGAGAAATGGAATATCTTCGTCTAGGGTGATCGTTGAGCTGTAAAAGCTCCTGATTTGTGCTAGTATCAGCTCAAGCTACGAAACTGCTATTCCAGTTCAAAATCCCATGTTAAAAGTGAACTATTTCCTTTAATTCAGCTTCAGTGGAGTCTTATTGAAATGATATGATGCATTCATAAGAGCATGCCTTTCCCACAGGGATGGGCCCCATGCCCTAATTATGGGCCAAGTAATTTGTTTTCCTATTAAATCTTTTTATGGGCCCCAACCCTAAAAATATGAAATTTTAAGCTATAGCTGCTAATTTCTGGAAGCCCATTGGTTTACTGGCTGACTCACCTGGCTAGCCAGGTGATATAAACAGACAAGTTGGCCTCCAAATCAGCTAACATAAAAAAATATATTCAGTAGAATTATCAGGGTTCCTTGGTTGATTTAAAGACAAAATTCATTGTTTTCAAAGGGTAGCTCACAGATAAGCTGATAATTTGATTGGACTAGTGACCTGTTGAATAACTTTGCCCAGGATGAGCAACAGAGAATAAGACTGACATTATGGGTCTGAAATAATCAGTGTTTTATTCCTTTAGAGGTATCAAAGGATTATGGTTTTGTAGTTTGTTCATAGCATCCATGATTTTCTTTCAGACAGAATGAATGCTGCCCTGGACACAGTGTCTGGCATAAGGCAGGTCTTCAATGAAGCAGTAGAGAGAGGTAAGGAATTGATATTTATAGACCCAATTTGTATCAAGCCAAAGCCTACCTTTTCATTATTTGTATAATGTATTTAAGGGTTTCAAGCAAAAATATCCCCTGAATGCACCAGGGAATGAAGTGAATATTGGATTGATTCATATTTCATATCTTCAAGATCATTGATCAACAAAGCTCATTCATGCATATATGGTAGTATTGTGTTGTTCATCATTTACTCAGAACTTCCCAGCATCCCCTGGCTATTCCAGGAGGTTGCACCTATCACCCCTGAATGACATACCACCCCCTCACCTTACTCATCTCACTGCAGTCAAAAGTCCGACGCCGATCCGTCTCCGGGACCTGATCCGCCAAATCCGCGCGGCACGGACGGCCGCAGAGGAGCGTCAGGTGGTCAACAAGGAGTGTGCCCTCATCAGGAGCACCTTCAGGGACGAGGACAGCGTCTGGCGCTGCCGCAATGTCGCCAAACTACTCTACATTCACATGCTCGGGTTTGTAGTGTGGTGTCGATGTTGCCAAAAGTTTACCGTTTTGTTACTGAAAGTGATTATATTTGTGGTGATGAAATCAAAGTGGCTGGTCTTGTATTGTTTGTTTTGTAGTTCTTGGCAATGTCTACTTGTCCTTTATGTGGTATTATGTCACAAGGTTGCATTTAAGCCATGACGAGTGTTTCCCGTTGTCTTCAGCTCGATGGAATGACTCCGTCTTCGCCTTCGCCAGGTACCCGGCCCATTTTGGCCAGCTCGAGTGTATGAAGCTGTCGGCCTCGCCGCGCTTCACCGACAAACGAATCGGCTACCTGGGCGCCATGATGCTGCTCGATGAGAGGCAGGATGTTCATCTGCTGCTCACACACTCACTCAAAACGTCAGTGCTCGTGATCGTACGGGGGGGGGGGGGTCACTGGGTGGGTGGGAGTGGAATTGACTCGCTGATATGGTGCTCATAAACACATAATGCCAATGACAAACCGCTGAGTATCTTGAACATGACTGTGTGAATGCGATACGTTCGTTCCTTGATTCTTGAACCACAATTTTGTGTCATTTTCACACCCTTTTGCGTCTTTTTACCTTCGTGATGATATGGTAACTTCTTATGCGACGGTTACATCAGCTGTTAGCCGTTAGACGTGATCTCTCCCCCCCCCCCCTTCCTCTCTACTCCCCGTCTCACAGCGACCTGAACAGCAGTACCCAGTTCGTGGTCGGTCTCGCTCTGTGCGCGCTGGGCACCATCGCCTCCCCCGAGATGTCTCGCGACCTGGCTGGAGAGATCGAGCGGCTCATCAAGTCATCCAACGCCTACATCCGCAAAAAGGCCGCGCTGTGTGCGTTCCGCATCATCACCAAGGTGCCGGACCTGATGGAGATCTTCCTGCCGGCCACCCGGCAACTTCTCACCGAGAAAAATCATGGTCAGTCGGGCGGGCGATCGGGATGGGCGGGCTGGCGTGGATTGGGTGAAGAAATGCGCTGGCGCAGGCCTGGTGGCTCGCTAAGTGTCGGCTAGTGGGCTTGGGCGTTGAATAAGGCATGTAACGCCTCTGACGCACCGGCAAAGTTTCATCATTTGATTGTCGGAAAGTTTGCGGTAGATGGGATATTTTGGCCTTCTGAATCCCGAGGGTGTTGTATAAAATATGTGTCATTAATCATGTGAGGACCGGTCATATCCTGGTGATTTGATTAAAGTCACCGTGAGTTTCGTACTTGCAACCATCCTGGTCCTCGTATTATAACCGTTGTTATACTATGGAATCAGTTTTATTGGTGCACTACTGGACACTACTTTATGATGGCCGTGGATTTTAACGGCATGTAATTGTCGCGTGAACACTCGTGGTATGATGGCAATGTTCGCGTGTGTTGTAGGATGCTTATGAGTGAGCAGGTTCGTCAGGCGAAGCATGGATTGTTTGGTTCCCGTGTAACGTTGGAATGCTGAATTAACGTTTCTAGCTACTATAATGATGCACCGCATACTTGCATCCTGTTTCTTGCAATGATTGCAAACTTTGAACCTTGATATGTTATCGATAGCTTACTTTAGGAAATGACTATTGAATACTGTTTAATGTTTATTCCTTGGAATGTGCAGTCTATTGGAACAGAATCTGGTGAGACATATCAAAACAGAACGTTTACCCAAGGGCGTAAAATTCTTTCATTGTTGTCTGGTGCATAATTTTTCAGTTTATAATTTATGCGTAGGCGCATTTTTATAGGAAAGGTCTAGCTGTTCGATTGCCCTGGGGAATGAGAAAAGCTAAGACATATTAATAAATGTTTATTTTGACAGGAGTGCTGATTGCTGGCGTCATTCTAATCACGCGGATGTGCGAGATCAGTCAAGACACGCTCCAGCACTTCAAAAAGGTCAGTCCCAGCACAGCCTCTCGTCAGTCGTCAGTCACTGGATGCCAGTCGCCGCGTTCAACTGTGTCATCTGATTGTGTATTCCATGGCTGTTGAACCAGGAAATATCGCTGTTATGGGTGTCTAGTTCAGTCTCGTGAGAGCGTATTTAAGCTGGTGGGTTGTTTACATCGGTGTCATAATCTGTTATCGCTCACATGTTGTGTCGCAAGTCTTGTCATTACCCTTGTCTTCGTGTATCCATGTTAGTGAAGACCAGTCCTCTGTCTGTTTATTTCCATTTCCCACTAATTACCTCCTTGCTCATCTCTCGGTGGGGCTTTTCATCTCTGGCCTAACCCACTGGTAGGTAAGGGTCTGCTCACCGCCGCTCATATGCATGGGTTTCCAGTCCTGCCCGGCTGGCATTTTCCGTGCCTGTCTACTCACCCCGGTGTGAGACTTCGGAGCAGTGTTTGATTTTCTTTGATCGCTCGCCGTTGCTATGGTGATTATAGAGACGCACCAGCCGACGCTACGGTGTCATCTTTGGTTTGGAGATGAAAATTTTGGCTTTTAAATCTCAGACGGATGTGAAGAAAATATTAAGAATGTGCTATCCGCCAGCATTGTGACAAAAGCTCACTAACTCACTGCCATTCGGTTTGTTTGTTAGTTACGACTGTCATCACTTGACATTTATGCCCGTTCTTTTACGTTTTTATATGCAGTTGCCAGGAACGTCGCTCGATGCGATTCCAAGCCACAGCCCTCACCTGATACCACGTCTGTGGATCCTCACTTTACCTTGGCGTGCCGCCGGTGGCCGGTGTCGGCTATACTGCAGCTGGTTCGGGTTGCGTTGAGCTCGGGATGGAATCTGATCAGGATCGGGCCAGGTCCAGTTGGACTTTGGTTGGATCGGGCTGAAGACGAGATGAACTCGAACTATATCCTTATTGGATGGCGAACTGGGTCTTGAGACTGGCTGAACCCGAATAGGAAACGGGGTTTATTCGTGCTGGAGACTAACCTGTTTATTTGAACCTGGGTTGAGCTGGTTCGATATCGGTCTTGCTCGAACTGAAGTCGAGTTAGAGTCGGGTTAGAGTCGGGTTGAGCGTGGGCTGAACCCAGCTAATTGTTTGTCCGTTAGCTAGCCTCAGCTGATGGCTGACTGTTGGCTCAGCGGTCGGTTGCGTCCAGTATCACTCACCAGTTAGCGCGATGGCGCGGCCATTTGGTGTGACTCGTTGTCCGTTCCTCTGCCGACGGCTCCGATGAGTTCCACGGGTTCGCGGTGGTGTCCAGGTGTAACGGTTGTGGGACGACACTGGCACTCTTCTTAGCTGGGGCTTGGGGTGGCACTGGGGCTCGCACAAATCCACGGAATTAACCGGGAATAATCGCCGCCACGATTCACAAACACAGCACCGAAGGAGACAGACACAAACGGAAACGAGCGGACTCACTAACAGACACTAGCAGCTTCACCAATTACCACCAGCGATTTACCGACGGACACCTACTGTCTCACCACTGAACACGTGTGGCTTCTGCTCCTGTAGTGTAATCGAAATCCACTCAGGTGTCTGCGGCGCGGAGTTTCAATCGCTATGGGCCGTTCGAGAAAACCGTCTGCCCACGGCCGGACGTAATCAGACACTAGTCACTGTCTTCCAAGTTCGACCCTCCGGGGGACAATGAGCACGGGCGTATGTAAGTTGGTCCGATTGGTCGAGGTCCCCGGGTATGGATTGGACGTAACCGGTCTGGTGGAGGGTGGCACCTGTTCTACAATGGGACCGTGAAACGGGGTGAGGCGCTCGCTCTCGGTCAAGGTCACCGTCTGTAGAAGCAGGGTCAGCGCGAAGCAAGCTGACTTTTCCGGGAGGTCGAGCGGGTCCACGAATACGCGTAGTGCGTGGCTGTATGCACATGTTTTTACGTGCTTTGTTGTGGACTTTGGTCTTACCTCTTTATTGGGACCAAAAGCAGGGACCTAGGCGAAATACTTTTTCGAAAGTCATATTTACGGACACAATACCAGACAGGCGCGTGACGCAGACAGGTGTTTCATCAAATAGATCGTCCGTGTTGTGCCGACGATTCAGCATTGCACGACGGTTTAATATTTGCGGCGCAATACACCGTAACCCAATACCCATTGTGTGGGGCTCACATCCAACAATGACGTATCATCCAATATATTGCTCGAGATCAACTGCACGGACCGAACCCGTAAGACGCCCGCGCTCGATATCTCCATGGTGCCGATCGGTTCAGCTGTAACCAACACACCTGCCTGTCTCTTCCCCACGCACTCCCCCTCTCCCCTCCCCGGTAATTTGGAGTCGGCGTCGGTCGTCGTCCGTCTGCCTGGCAATGCCAGCCGGCGGGTCGGTGCGCTGGTTAGCCTGATTTCCTGCTAGATAGGCGGTGCGCGGCCGCGGTGGTGGAGCGGGAAGGACAAAGGCCGGTCAATTGTGGTCGCCGGAGCGGGAAAGGCTGCCACGGCTCGTGCGGCGCTCGGACGGGAATGTTCGCCGGGCGAGCCACGGCTGCCGCTGGCGGCCTGGTCAGGGACGTAACGGATGGACGGGTATCGGTGTTTGGCGTGGGTGTATGTTGCAGACAACGTAATGGATAATAGGAAAACAGTGGAGATCGGCTGCGGGAAATAACATGGTGTAGGGTAGCTGCGCCGCGTGATGACATTTTAGTAAAGATGAGGTGTTATAACCATAGAGATCTTATATTATAAGATATCTATGGTTATAAGTATCTACGCTTCGGCAACATACTTTGTCACACGGCTACATTTCGTGGAAACATGTCGTAAATGTGATTGGGATTTGGCTCAGAAATCAGGTGCTTGGTGGTCATGTACTTTCAGGATTACGTTTATAATCGATTGATTGCGTGAGTTTACTCTTTCAAAGACTTTGATGCATTTTCACTGTGCAACACTTTGCATTTTCTGGTAAGCTTTGGCCGACAAGTGTTTGTCGATGCCCTAAATGGGTTAGTTTGGCCGCACGAAGGGATGAACGCCGATAGGTCTCCGTTGTAAGTACTCAAGGTATGGCGTCACGTCACTTCGATGCCGTACACCTTGAACATGTTAGCACAGTTTCTTTTCTATTAAGATTTTAGGTGTCGAAAAACTTAGTGCTGGTATCTTAGAGCGGCTAGTTTCTATCTTCCTAATTTAATTTTAGACATAGGGGAGAGTGGGGAAAGATGCCCAGGGTTTTGCTATGTTATATATCATTCGAAAATGACGATGGGAAAGCAAAAACTTGGAGTTTCAACGGAAGCCGACATCATTTTTCTCCAAAAATATCACACTTTCGTGCGTGAAATATTATAACTTTTTTTGCTATTAAGCATTTTCCTGAAGAAGTGAAAGGGGGCATCTTACCCCACAGGGTGGGAAAGACGCCCCCTGACGTTGGGAAAGATGCCCCCTGCACTATAAGTGACATAAATGGGCACGTGAGTCGCCTGAACGAATCAGTAGTCCCTTCGAGCCTGCAGTAGACACCAAACGTCATCATAAGGGCCCTCAAAAGTAGTTGTAAGGGGCTTCAGAGGTCATCGTTAGGAACATCATAGTCAAGCGCGGTCAAACAAGCCTCCGTGGTGGCGTTCGGAGACCACTGTGGGGCTCTTATAGGTCTTCATGATGCTTGAGGGCCCTCGAGCCCATCGTGGGGACCTCCGATGCCAACGCGGCCCGTGGGGCCAACGTGGGAGCCCTCAAAGGATGTCGTGAGGGGCCCTGGAGCCAATAATGGGGCCCACAGAGGCCGTCGTGAGGGCTCTCAGAGTCAGATGCCGCCCAAAAAGTCGCTATGTGGGCCGAGAGACCGGCATGGGGAGCACCCGACCGTACTGGACTCTCAATAGTCCCAGATCGGCTTTTGTCTACATCACAAGTATGTAATAAATTATTTGACGGACTGTTTGAAGGACAGCCTACGGATTTAGGGGGGCGTCTTTCCCCATCCGGACAGGGGGCATCTTACCCCAAGGTACCGAAGTAACATTAAATCAGTACAATTTGTTAGCCATAAAACTACACCGTGAAACAAACTGTTTGGGACACAGTACACGCATGCTAATGTATCACGACTATAGCAAGGGACGCAAAAATTATTTACCTTCTTTGATATTTACAATGTTTTGACACCAAAATATTTTTTGAAAGCAGCAAATAAAAAACATGCAATCATCAGCCAGCCGTTGCCCAACTGAGCTTCGCAAATTTTTGTGCAGTTAACAAGGCAGGCTTCCGCTTTACGCTAAGAACATTAATTTCCAGGTCCGATTCTTTGTTTCGCCGCTAGAGGGGGTGGGGCGTCTTTCCCACCCTGGGCATCTTACCCCACTCTCCCCTACTAGTGCTTACATACTAGACTAAACTTCCGCATAGTATTTCTTTTCTCGAGACTACCATTAAAAGCGCTTTAGATTTGTCATTTTCACTCTAGTCAACGTTTTCCTCAGGCTAACTCTCTAGGATTTCTTTAACCAATCATCTAACTTAACTACTAGTGGTACTAACGGAAGAACATGCATTCTAACAGTGGTCTACAAACAAGCGCTAACACTGCCTGAATCCTACGAGAGCTGTGGTCAGGTAACGCCTATTTGCCGTGTCGGTGCGCGTTCACATTCGCTCATATGCCTAGACTAGGCCGTGCGTGGGCTCACCTCCCAGCACCGGCTGTGGCCTGCTCTCACCCGACTGTAGGCCGTTCTCACCTGGCTCTCACTGGGCTCTTACCCGGCTCCGTGTCCCGATTTTCAGCAGAGTCGCAGTCGCGACGGTGGTGTTAGCCTGGGCCGGTCCATCCCGGTACGTACTGCGCTGACAGCTGCCCGCCTGGTGCCTGTCCGACCGGCCAGCCCGGCCGCTGAAGGCTGGGCCAGCTCGGCCGCTAAAGGCTGGGGCAGCTCAGCCTCTGATGGGACGGAGCTGGGAGAGCTCGGTGGCAGGCGCGCCCGGCCGCTGTCAAAGCTTTGTGCTGTGTCGGTGATGGCTGCGCGTTATTGTGGTGGCTACGGGATTTATGTTACACGTCTGTTCTACGCCTTTTTCTTTGTCTAATTAGTACTCAGTAATTACCTATCGGAGCACAGATTATCTTGTTCACACTACTGAAGATTTCCGCGTGAACTGCTCCAGGACCTGTTTCTGTGACTAACTGGAACTTCAACAAGCTGAGGCGTCACTCCGTATGGTTAGCTCAAAGTTATACAGTGAGCCTCCCCCTCCCCCCTCTCCCCGAAATAAGCCGTACCACACACGGTTAGACCTGTACATACATTCACGCGTGGAACGACCGCCGGTGAGCCGATAAGATAACGGTGAGCCGCAGCGGATGTAAATATGACGGGAGCGCGGGGGGTGCGCAATGGGAGCCGACGCATGGCCACTCACACAGCCGCCAAGGGGCTGCCGTTCCCTCTGCTGCCCTACCAGCATATCTATCCATCCTTTCACCCACTGCTTTTCCACGAGTTACTGCATATCCGCCGCCGGTCGCTTCGCATTTCCAACGCCTGATATTCCTCCTCTTTACCCTCATCTTCCTTGCCCTCATAGCCCTGACTCCTGGCCTCATGGCCAGAGTATTCCTCCCTGGTGGCTCCCTATATCTCCTGTCATGTCTGTGTTTCTGTCTTTGCTGTGTAGGTCCGCACGTGTATCTAGTTTGTATTTTACGTTTGTGTAGTTTTTGTGTCCTGTTGTGTCTCTGGTCGGTGCTCTCCTAAATGTCTGGTCTGTATTTCATGTCTACTCAATGTCCAATGCATGTCCTGTTTCGGCACTGTTCACTTTGTGCTTTGTCCAACTATGGGCGTGACATTGCTTTTTCTCTCAGGTGTTGGGTGAAGGGTTTGCTGCGTCCGGTAAAGAGGGTTTTCGGTGCCCTGTGTCCAGTAATATCTGGTTTTGACTAGTTATAATCGAACTATTTGTTTTGTGTCTACTTATGGTCTTCATCTGGTGATGTGTGGCATGTCAGATGATGTACGGTGATACATTGGATACCTTGTATAGGACATCTTCTGCGCTACGTGAGCTATACACTAAACGTGTCAGTATCAATAATAACCTGTTTTGGTTTCACTACGCTGTATTTAGCACATTCACATTGCACAATGTAGTCATGTGCTTCATTTTTGCCACGTGTGTAACACGATACCGTTAGTGTTTGACGTTCACCGTAAATGCTGCTGTTAGCACCTCAGTGTTACTGTTTATCTATAGTGACTAACCTACGTGTTTTAAAGATGTAAATTCTTATCACTGCGCTCTCCTTTAATGTGTTTTTGCTGACAATGACAGTCTTTCTCTATATAGTTGCTCGCTTCCTCAATTTTTGTCTGCTGTTTTTGACAGGTCCTGATAATGTAGCCTTGGACGGATTTTGTGTTCAGTGGTTTGTCTTTTGTGCGTCTCTTTCGTTTTCGTAGACTACCGTATTGATTTTTAGTAGCAAAAGCTTGATTTTAGTTTAGTGGCATGAATATTAGGCGTCTTTTTTGTTGTTGTTTGTTTTGTCTCTTCTCTTTGACTGACGACTGGTCCTGTCCACCTTAGAGTCGATTAGTCAACTGGGCGCAGAGGTTCGCTTCAGTCATCCGGAAAGTGTCGGGCTAAACTCCACCTTTCTGGCAGTCTTTGGCACAAAATGCCCTGAACCTAAAAAAGTTTCTTCCACCACCTGACATGTTTCCGGACGGCTGAGGCGACCGTTTGCTCGCCTCCGTCGATGGTTGCCGTCTGTCTGTCTGTCTGTCGGTTCGGCGCCCGCGCGGCCCGCCCGCGGCGCTGTCACCGTGTCCCTCTGCCCGGCAGGATCCCGAAGATAAGGTGACGTCACCCGGCGGGCCGTATGTGGTTAACGTACGGCCGCCGCCGCCGCCGCCACCTCCGGCCGCCGCTGGCTCTCCTGCTTTCTCTTTCTCGCACTTTTGTCTATTTTTCTGGCTATCTGTCGGGTTATTTTTTCGTCTTTCTGGGTCGAGTCTTCGTGGTTTGAAATTTTAATAATTTCCTCATTTTTCATTATTTGCCAGGGCTTTCATGGGTAACTGGGGTGCTACGGAAATACGTTGTGTTATGCTTTGTAGCGCAGTTCCCTATAGTTTACATCATGTGCTTTTTGTGCTTCTGGATAAATGTAACGGAGGAAGTGATCAAGTGGCGGTAAAGTGAGGTTAGTTTTTCGCATAGATTTTTGCTGCAACTGAATGCTCATTTAATATTACTTCTGGTGCTAGGTAAATGGCTGATAAATTGCTGAATTTACGTTTTACCTTCATAAGAAAATCGGAGACTGATTTTGATATCTCCACCTTTTGGCACACCTGCCTGGCTGGTTCATCTATTTCTCTTTTTACCTGCGGGTCTCGCCTCTGGCGGCTGTCTGCTCGCCAGCCTGCGTCCCTCGCTCCGCTCTGCTCCGCCCGCTCCCCTTTCGCCGGTTTGGTTGTGGTGGTGTGGTGTGCGATGCCTCTTGATGACCTCCTATCGCCCCCACTCCCCATCCTGCTGACGAAACTGCACCCTGCCGTTCTTCTCGTCTACCTCTGGTCTCGCCTCGCTCAACCCTCCACACAACTACCCAAGCTACCGCTCTCCGCTGGCCGCCGCTCGCTTCAGTGCCCTCTCTACCCGCCGCTTGGTCCGGTGTGGATGTTACAGCACTTCTCCCCCGAAGGAGACCCTGCTACTGTGCTCTATGACCCACTCAGACGAGACGGTGGTGTGGCGGCACCTCCCGGCAGCCGTGGTGGCGGTGTGTGGTAGCGGCCCTGCATGCCCCGCTCGCTCCCCGCCGCCGCCCCTCGGGCTGAGCCGACACCCTGCCTGCCTGCCGCCATCCGGCACCGGCCAGCCAAGGCGGCCGCACTGTGTGTATGAGGGAGGGAGGATGTACTGTACAAACTCGGTGCTGTGTAGTGTAGTGACGCCGGCTCTGGGCATCGGAGATCACCGATGGTCATTAGTGGTCTTTGTTAAAACAAGGCACTAGCTTGTCGCACTAGTTTGGTAAATGGTCATCGCTGGGGGTCGCTCTCATCGATGTTGAGGACCAATGGTAACCATAAGTCTCCGATAATCGTAGGTGATCTGTAGTGACCACTGGTGACCATCAGTGACCTCCGGTGCCCTCACCGGCCCGTGGTGTTGGTGCCTTACGGTGTGGTTTCGCTGTTCGCTGACCCACCCGCACCTTACAGCTGGTACCCAACTTGGTCCGCATTCTCAAGAACCTCATCATGGCCGGCTACTCGCCCGAGCACGACGTCTCCGGGGTCAGCGACCCCTTCCTGCAGGTCAGTGACCTCTGTTGAGTAGCGATGACATCACTGTGTGTACTGCGAGTGCGGGAGGGGACCTACTGCTTGCTGGGCCTCCAGACCACGTTGGTCCATAGCATCGTTCCGGCCATGCATATGAAAAGAATTGGACATCTCTACAACCAATCGATTATTTTTTATCATGCATTTCCTCAGTAACTTCACTCTGAACTTGACCAATTGGTGATTAATCTATCGCGTCATGCCCAAAGCACCGCTGACATTTGGCCTCTGATTATTTCCGCCCTTTTCGCCGTTCTATCTGCGCCCTGACCTCTTATATCAATCCCCCCCCCCCCCTTACATCGACCCACCCACAGGTGAAGATCCTGCGCCTGCTGCGACTGCTGGGCCGTAACGATGACGACGCTTCGGAGGCGATGAACGACATGCTGGCCCAGGTGGCTACCAACACGGAGACATCAAAGAACGTCGGCAACGCCATCCTCTACGAGACGGTGCTGTCCATCATGGACATCAAGTCCGAGAGCGGTCTGAGGGTGAGTGGCAGGGTGGGGAGGATTGGGGCTCTTGTGGCACCGAGTGTTCAGTTGTTCTAGAGTAATTTCATTTTACTTGTAACACTTCAATGCCTATGATTTTTCGGAACTGGTTAAATGGGAGCAAAATGACTTTGGTAGTGGGCGTGCTCTAAAGCCCCAATAAACAAACTAACAAATCTGAACGGATTGCTTCAAATAGTTACCACGCTGTGGTCTGACTGTAAGTTTTTTTCCTTGTTTCCAACAAGTACATGTTTATAAATATCACGTAACGTTCTTCATCAAATGTTAGGTACCAATCTCTCGTTTACCTACCCATGTCCTTCTAACCATCACCATCACCACCCTCAGGTGCTGGCGGTCAACATCCTGGGCCGCTTCCTGCTCAACACGGACAAGAACATCCGCTACGTGGCGCTGAACACCCTGCTGAAGACGGTGCAGGCTGACATCGGGGCCGTCCAGCGGCACCGCGGCACCATCGTCGAGTGCCTCAAGGACCCCGACGTCACCATTCAGAAGCGCGCCATGGAACTCTGTTTTGCGCTGCTCAACGGAAACAACATACGCTCCATCATGAAGGAGCTGATTGCGTTTATCGAGGTGTCCGACTCGGAGTTCCAGGCGGTCTGCTCGTCCAAATGTGTGATTGCTGCCGAGAAGTTTGCGCCGAATGTGCGCTGGCATGTTGAGACTCTACTGCAGGTGCTACGAGCGGTGAGTCGCGGTGTTTAACGTCGTGGGTTCGTGTTATGGAGAGGTTGGGACAGATCCTTGGAAGTGAGTAGAATAATTGTGAGCTACATCCATTATTCGTGATTGTGTATGTATTGTCAGCACATTTTCTAAGCTATCGATAGTTTCGTTGATCGATCTTTAGCATTTTTCCCGGCTTACAATAATTTACAATAACGCTGAATTTTCGCGATACCTGCTATAAAATTATAACGCTGCTGTCCTGACTGGCAAGTTGTAAAACGTCTTGCATCTCGTATTTTCTACTTTATCTCATGACACCCACCCACCCTTTTCTTACCATCTCAACCCCCTCCCCATCTCCCTCACAGGCGGGCAACAACGTGCGTGACGACGTGGTGGCCTCCACGATCCAGCTCCTCACCGAGGTGGTGCAGCAGCACAGCTACGTGGTCGGTGAGATGTGGTCGGCACTCCGCTCGGCCACGGCGCAGCACCAGCCGCTGCTGCAGGTCACGGTGTGGGGCGTGGGAGAGTATGGAGACATGCTGGTCACCGGGCAGGCCAGCGACAGCCAGGTCAAGGTGAGAGTGGGGAGGGGAATGCTGGGCTAGGTGACGGAAGGGATAAGAGGGTGAGTTAGATGGTGGAAGCAGGAGGCGGGTTTGGGGAATTCGTTTCGTGAGCCATTTGGTAGGGTTTGGTCCATATATAAGGCCTGTTCTTGGGCTGGGTTCGACTTTGTAAAGGCGGCGCATAGGATGGGGTTGGTAGTTGGCATGTTGGGGTTGGCAGTTGGCACACCACTGGGTCTGTTCAGTGTTCGTATTGGGACTTGCTCCGTCTTAAATTGTGTTTGCGAACACAGACGAGGATTCAAGAACGCGTTCAGTGCGTCCACACGGTCGCTGCCCAGCTAACTGTCTGTGTTTCTGTGCCCAGGTGTCGGAGGAAGAGATTGTCGCCCAGTTCGAGCCAATTCTGGGCAGCAGCCAGATGAGTATTGTCACCAAGGAGTTCGCGCTCATGTCGCTGATGAAGCTCAGCGCCCGACTTACCGACCAGTCGGCGCTCAAGTGAGTATGACTATGGACACCGGGGCTAGTAATGCCGTGACTGTGGACACAGGGGCTAGCAATGCCGTACGAATCGGACGCCGTATGTCGGATGTCTGTCCTGAGCTGCTGATTGTTCGTGACACTTATGGAGTTTGCTTATGGAGCTTGCTCAGGCTTTATTTTGTATCGGTGGTGCCTTGTGAAATATTTCGGTAGAACTGACAATTCCACACCGTCTTTGTGTTCGTTCCTTCAATTATTCTTACATTTACTAGCCATTACCCACTCTCCCCTTTCTCATAGCTTACCACTATACCAGATTTTACGTATTAAGTAATTGATTTACACATTTATACACCTTTTAATGTTCTCCAAAACAATTTATGGCCAAATATGTGGACGTCGTCTTTAGCATTTATCCCTTCCTCCCATCCAGCTTCCTCAATGTGATAACTAAACAATCACCACTCCCCTGTTCAGGACGATCCAGCACCTGGTGAACGGCTTCGGCTGCCACCTGAACGTGGAGCTGCAGCAGCGCGGTGTCGAGTTCTCCCAGCTGTTCACCCGCCACGACGCGCTGCGGCCCGCCCTGCTGGAGAGAATGCCGCCGATGGAGGCCCGGGCCAGCGGGCGCGGACTGACCAACGGCACTGCGGCGCCGGCCGCGAGTGTGGCAGCGACCCCCGCGCCGGTCGCCGCCGCTGCGCCGGCCGCGGCGCAGAGCAACTCGGTGAGGGACGGAGACGTGAGCTGGTTAGGGGGGGGGGGGGTGGAGGATATTATGCGTTTGAACTTTTGAAGCAAAGTAGAAGCTAAGGTGTAGCTGAGATACTGAGCCGCGGGGGCGGCCGCGGTTGAGATGCGTTTTGTGGGCGCAGTATCACATCTGCGTCTTTTTGGAGAGCTAATGCTTGGGTGGGCTGTTAGCTGACAGAATGTTTACAAGTGGAGCTGAACTGAAACCTGTGCGCACTATAATTATACTATGAATATATTGTACTATCATCGTGCTTTAATTATCATACTCCTGTTATTTATCTACCATGAGCGTAATAGGCGATAGCATCTCATTTGATCGACGCTTGACATCACGATAACTCTTTCTCTCCCGGCTACCACTGTCGCCTTTCACCACCTCCTCTCACCACCTCCCTCCTCTACCCCACAGAGCGCCCTGCTGGACCTACTCGGAGGTATGGACTCTGACGTATCGGACGTGGTGGCTCCCGTCGCACCGACCGCCGCCGCGCCGCCAGCCGCCTCCAACATGGACCTACTTGACTTGCTGGGTAAGAAGTCTGGAGTCTGGCGTATAAAGGATGACTGGCTTCGTGTAGTGTTCGCAGGGGTTTGTATTGAAAAAGTTGCTCAGGTTGCAATCAGAGATAAATCATGGTATGGGTTCGTGTGCATAGTTCGCTACTTTTTATGGTTTCTGCATCCGAGCAATTTAAAACTTGTTTCATCAATTCGAATGTATATGACGTGTATGCTAACACAAAGTCACTGGGGTGGGGTCTCTGCGCTAACACCTTTTAAGTGTCGGTCAGTGTGGGTATTTCACAAGTTCCTGTGCCCGTTATGTGCAGCCCGCAGTTGATATGTCGCTGTGAAAGGTATGACGGTCGGTTTGTTTATTCCACCCACTGTCATCGTCGATTGTGAGTTTGGACTTCCCCCGTCCCTATCTAACCGTTACCACCCTCTCTTCAGGAGACATCGGAGGCGGTGCCCCCGCCCCCGCCGCCGCCCCAGCCCCGGCGGCAGCGCCCCTGGGCGGCCTCTCCGGGCTGGGCGGAGCCGCCCCCGCCCCCGCCCCCGCCAATGACGTGCTGCTCGGAGGTCTGGGCGGCATGCTCGGTGGACCTGCCCCCGCCGCCCCCCCTGCCGGTCAGTAGCTGCTCTGTCTGTCCTCTTGAGCCCTGTGTTGTTTTTGCGAGCTCTCGGCGGAAGAATAGAGCTTTACATGGTGAACTCCATATTTCATAACTTAAAGGGAGATAATGAGCTTTCTTTTTTCTTAAATAAAAATTACTCGACATCTATACTATTTCTACTGTAGTTTCTATAAAATATGAAAATTTCCTAGCACATTTTCGTATGTGAAAAAGGTTTTTATTTTTGCAAAAAAAGAAGCAGTACTTGCAGTACTTGTAACACCCACCGAAATGCGTTGTCCTTCTCTATAAAAAAGTCGCAGTATATGGCGCTTTTGTTTCAAACAGCGACGCTTGGGTTTTTGTTTATGTTATCGCCTTGTCGTTGCTTGGTTGTAAGGATTCTAATTTGAATTAGAGTTATTCGGTTTAGAATTAATTAGATTCTAATTCGGGGGTACATAGTGCCTAATCTTCTTTGTTTCCAACATTATTTTGCGCCACAAATGAACGGCATGCGCCAGAAACGCAGCCAAATCTTGCGATTGCGACTACGAAATTCATTATTTTGGCGTGAGAGCCTGAAGCGAAAAATACAAGCATATTTATTTCAAAAAGACTTCAGGTTTGTCGAACGGTGTTATGAGAATTTTGATAACAGTACTGCATAAGTTTTTCAGTGATGCCGCAAAAGTGTTGTATCTATCTTCTTTTATTGTGCAGTCGGCGGGACCGATTCAAAATTGAGTTGTTGCTACTAAAATAGCAGCATATGGCGTCAGATGATGAACAGGAAAAATAGTTGCGTAAATTTAGACATAAACCACCCCCAAACCATGAATATCTTTTGAAGGCACTATAGACGACCATTAACTAACTAGATGTGATGAAGATCAAATGTAAGGAATACGCTCATTTTACAAAATTACATGCAAGTACCAAAAAGTGATGTAAGTAGGGGAGAGTGGGGTAATTTGGCCGGTGGTATAAATTGGCCGCCCCCACCTGTACGATGTCTAATAAAAGTGAGTGAAATAACTCTAGTCTCTATTCATTTGTCATGGGTAGAAATAACTGGAGGACAAATGTCAAAATTTTGCCCCTCGTAATTTTATTCAAAATTAATAAAACGTTCATTTCATTAGAAAATGGTAACTTTTACTTCTGTTTACAAAGTTGTATAACATGTAGTATTTGGGCTAAAAACGAATTCAGACATTATAGCGCCATTCTTGGGGGTGTTCAGCGGTTCCAAGAGCAATTTCATTTAATTCCGTATAGCCGTGATGACTTTATACACAAAAATTTTCATAATGGCAATATGGGGTAATTTGGCCGGGACTAGCGGGGCAACTTGGCCGGTGCGCTCATGGTCACTATGCTGGGACGGCCGAGTTTTTATGGTCAATTGTACCATAAATGACATGATTCATGACCAACTTTGACTACTTTGATGCCTTGCTTCCAATTGGTCAACTGTAAGAGCATGTGACGTCATCAAAGGTTACCAAACGTTTTTTTGCTAATAAATCCTTACATAAAAATGGTACAGCCGCACAAATGGTCTCATTCTGTTCAGCTCGCCAAGGCGCATCGAATGATATGCATGATGACCTTGAACTCACGTAACCTTGAGGTCAAGCGACCTGAGGTAACGTGACCTGAAGCCAAACTTGACCTTGACCTTGACCTTGACCTCTCGAGGTCAACACATACATGTTTCGATGCAGAATGACGAGAGAATTACGATGGTGTTTTTAGTTTTGGCCTAGCTTGATTACTTCAAAAGTTATTCGTTAAAAACTGTCTTCGCATCTAGAGCCGCTAATTTGGCTATTTTGACCCCTGTGACCCCATGAGTCAACCTCCAAAATGTGGTAAATGCGTCATAGGACACACGTCATTGCTGAATCTGAAGCTGACTCGCAATATAACAGAAAATCCCGACCGCAAACTAACACCGGCCAAATTACCCCACACCCCCGGCCAAATAACCCTGCTAGTGGGGCAATTTGGCCGCCTTGCAGACCTTTGTAATGCGTCACAATTTCAATATAAGTAATTACACTATCATTTCAAGTTCACTGTCCAGTAAAGTAAACTGAATGCGACACCTGCCAGCGTTGAGAAAATGCAGAAATGTGTCGTCAATTTTAAGTTACATCGTTTTCTAAAAAAAAAGCGGCCAAATTACCCCACTCTCCCCTACTTATTCAACGGTCATTTTCAGCGCTCCCCGCTAACGTGACTTCAAGTTGAGATATTTGCGGCAAAGTACCGAATTGAGCAAAATGGTTTTAATTTACATTATAACTTGTTTTTTTTTCACTATAACTTGTTGTGTTTTGTCAGAAAATGGTCCTAACTCAGATTTTGTGGAAAAAGGTCATTATCTCCCTTTAACTCCATAACTCCATATTCCATAACTCCCAGACATAACTTCGTTCGATGTCTAGGGTTAATTCAAACCGTCTATCTATAAAACATACCTATTTTGTATAACACTTATCAATACGAATACGACGAAAGGCTATTCAGCATCCTAAGTGATACTAGTTTACCTTCTACTGAATTGACCAATGATGTCTGACGCATTCACTAACCCTATTGTATTGTTTGTCCGTTCTCCCCAGGCGCTGAGATCCCCAGTATGACGGTGTTTGAGCGCGGCGCCGTGCGGATAGACATGGCGTTCCGCCGGCCGGCCGACAACCCTCCGCTGTGCGTCATCGGCGTCACCGCCACCAACACGTCATCGGATGTCGTGACAGACTTCCTGTTCCAGGCCGCCGTGCCCAAGGTGGGGTTGGTGGGGAGGGGAAATGACCGGGCAATTCGTGGGGGTTGTGAGGTCTTGCTCGGCTGTGACTGGTTCTACGGTTTGTTGTATTCATGGGTCACTGGTTTTGTTTCAAATAATCCGTGAATAGGTATATTTCAGATATGGTCAGCTGCAAAAAAAAAATCCGTTCACTACTTTACTTCAGATACGGTGTTCGTGGTGTGTGCGAGCTTCAATCGAAATTTAGGGCTGTTTGAATGAAGTTTCGAAAGCGAAATTCATTTAGGCTGAACGAGACTGGCCCTTACTTCTTTTTTCGTCGTTGCCACGTATTGTAGCGTGCAGATCACTGACCCTCTGTTCTCTTTCCTCCATTCACAGACGTTGCAGCTACAGATGCTGCCGGCCTCTGGCAATGTGATCCAGCCATCCCAGGCCATCACTCAGACCATCAACGTCATCAACCCCTCCAAGGTAACGTCCCTGGTTCGGCGCCGCCCAGTCACGGGCACAGCTCGTAGCGTACGATAGGCTTGTGGCTGTCTGTCTGCCTGCCTCTGCGACAGCGTCTTCTCATTGGGGACATTTGGCTTCCGTGTCTGAAAAGAAAATGTTAATGTTATCCTCCTGAACAATTTATTTGGTCCTTCGAAGGTGTTTTACTCCATGGACACAGGGAAGAGCGTCTTTGTAAGCCATTCTTAGCTCGCCCGTTCTGACCGCCCCTCTCCGACCCTCAGGTGCCGCTGCGGCTGCGTCTCCGTGTCAGCTACTCTCAGAACGGTCAGCCGGTGGCCGACCAGGGCGAGGCCAACTCATTCCCGCCCGCCGCGTGGCAGTGACACCTAGCGCACGCTTTAGACACTTGAGCTACGCGGCGCGGACGTGGGCGGCGCTGCCGTGCCGGCCACTATAATTGTGTTGTTACGCGGCGAGCGAGTGCGGAGTGTTTCTAACGCGACTGTGATCATCTGACGCCGAGGCGGCGGCCGGTCGGTGGGCCCCGCCGCTCCTTCCCGCCGGCTCACTACATTCCACGTCCGGAGGGCGGAGAGATGACAGCCTCGGTCGGCGCGAGACCGCCTCAAAGCCCCGCGCGCGAGCCGAGAGCCGCGCCCTGTCCAGGACTGTGTGACAGTTGTCTGTCTGTCTGTGTGTGAGAGCTGTGTGTGGAGCGTCACGCCGCGCACGGCAAGGATCAGAGTCTATATTTATGTAGTGCGGACGGGAGTGTACCTCTCCGTCGCCGAGTGGGGAGTGCCGCGGCAGCAGTGAGTGTCGGAGTGTCTGGGTGAGTGTCGTGTCTTCGATGAAGCAGTCGGGACTCCTCAGACAAACGATTGCTCGTCCCCTGTCGCGTATGGTCACGTGGTCACGGGCAGTCGTGATCCAGTGACGTAACTGTGACGTCAGCGATCACGATGCGTACTTACGTCTGACAGTGGGGGGCGGCCTGTCACGGTTACGGTTGCCCCGCCAGACGCGTGCATGTGTGCGTGTGACGCCTCCTAGTGGTGACTGGGAGAGGGAGCCGCCAAGTCAGAACCGAGGCGCGCTACAAGTCGCGTCACCGCGCCCGTCCTGCGAGAGAGAACTGTTTTTGTTTGGAAGTGTCGATGGTCTCCACTAACCGCTTTGTAGTCGGCTCGCGCTCACGACTCGCCGGTGGAGTTATTGTGGAGTTATTGTGGAGTGGAGTGGGGCCGCGCGGTGGACGCAGCACCCTGTGGATCGGGAGTTATTGTGGACGTCTGGCGATCGTACTGATTATTTATCCTAAAAATATATACACCGATTGAGGAGCGCGTCTGAAGCGTAGTTCGCCTGCCATATACTGCGTTTTTTAAGTTAGGACTATCCTACCCTCGAATTCGATCATACATTTATGTAGGAGATTACCGCGGCGTAGGAGTACTGCAAAAGACGTTGGTGTATTTTCGCATACCTCCTGAGATTACTGCAGTGTCTAGGTCTCGCAACTCGACCCAACCCAAGTGCGCCGCATTTGGTGGGAGAGGTCCTAAGAGGTGGTGTTGCGTGTGTTGCTGAGAGGTCCCAGTCCGGGGGTCTTTCAGCGACATCTGGCCAGAAGAGCTATTATGATAAAGATTGTGGGGGTCCTGTTGTCATTCCTGGTAAATTAACCGTATGCAACAACTTTGATTTCAGTACAGCATCAAAACTTACAGCTCAACATTTAAGCAACAGGTCAGGTCATCAGTTCAGCTATTCCAAGCAATCAGAAACTGCACCAGTCCACTGTATAATGATATTCAGCCATTTGTATCAGCCACAGGCGATAAACAGATAGAGAGCGGCGGCAGCGGCGGCGGGCGGCCCCCGCGCGGGCCAGGCGTGTCTCGAGACTAGTCCTGTCATCACAGTTTCGCTGGAATGTCTCCGAGGAAAGAATATGGCAACTCAATCACAACTGGGGAATAGCGGCCCGCGCCGGCCGCTCAAAAAAGCTATAAACAGGCGCGCCGCGCAGCCGACGCGCTGGCAAACGATAATAACATGCCCTCGGGGTACAGAATATATACGACATGACTGAATCTGGGGCGCAGCACGCTGACTGGGTATCCGACCTGCTCAGAGGCCGACTCGAGTCCTGGACTGAAAGCTCCCGCCGCGGGGCGAGTACAAAACACACGCACACACAAGCACACAAACGCACGGCAGGGTATGTCGGCGGGGTAAGCCAGAAGCTTGTGCGTTGGCCGCAGCGGTCTGAACAAGACCGCGACCGGTGGCAGCCCGGCACTCGTCTGAAAATTTCGTCCCGTCCCCACACTCACGAGCAGACGCTCACACACGCGTCACACCGTCAGCCCTGAACACAGTGGCGCGAAAAGGCGCCGAAAAATCCCCCACGGATCACTGGAGGAGCCACAGTCACCGGTCCAGCCCTTCTGTCCGGACCAGCCCCTCCACAATCAGTCCCTGCAGACCGGGGAACTTCGCCACGCCCCCTCACAACTGGCACTCCTGTGGTTCATCCACAGCTCGCTCACGGCTCCCCCCGTGGCTCCGAAGGCTCCTGTAGCTCACGGAGCTCTCAGTTAGCTCCGGAGCCCGCGGCGGCTGGCGGCACGTTGGCACTGTGGCGGATTCGTATCGGTTCCGCTCTAGGTGGCGCCCTCGTCTCTGAATCTAGCCTCTGGCGAGCGGGTGCTGGTGCGCAGGCTGAGATCCTGGGGCTCGGAGTCGGTCGGCGGGACCACGTCAAAAGTCTGTCGGTAGTTCTCCCAGGAGATGTCGTGCTTGCGCTTCACGTGCACTTGCAGCGAGCGTTTGTACTTGAACACCGAGCCACACAGGTCGCAGGGAAGCGGCTTGGACTCGCCGTGTACCTCGCGTTTGTGCCGCGCGAAGTCGCGCACGATCATCTTGTCACAGGAGGGACACCAGCGGGAGCGACGCACTGTCGGTAGAGAGACGGCGAAACGTCAATGGCAGATATAATGGCGGAATGGGCAAGCTAAGAGCAGCCCCTAAAAAGATTTTAAGGGCGAAGACAGGCGTTGAAGCAAACGTAGGCACAGCTCAGCGTCAAAAAACTTGTGCGTGAACATAGATACCGCCGTGAACAAAGGGCATTCGTTGGTGAAAGTAACCGTATTCCGTAAATGGCGGTTGTTGTTTAGGGGAAAGTGGTAAATATATATGGCCGTATTGAAAGGAAAAGAGCAAAAGATCAATTCGGCTTCTAACTCAATCGCCAAGTCAACCAGAACATGCAGCAGCAACAACAGCGCTACTTACGCAGATCATTAGCACCGCCGACAATCGGGGTGTTCGCCAGCATGGTCGCTGAAACAGAAAAGATCAGTCAGTAGTGAATAAAAGGGCACTCGCGAAGTATAACGCAAACGGCGAGATTAGTTACATTCATCACTATGCGTAACTGTTCATGCGCCACATAACCGGATAAGTCGTGAACCTTACCTGGCGATGGCAGACTAGAAGGTGGGTCATCAATAGCAGGAAGCGCATCTGAAACAGAGACGCATAGAGCTCGTCAGCAAACGTATGACGCCCGTGTCTGAAGAAAGAATAAGCGAGTGAGCAAAGGACCCAGAACGCTGCCTGAAAGGACACTAGCTTGAACTTGTCGCTCTATGAAAATCGTAGATACCGTGGTGACATGTATTTAGATTATTAAAAGCACCTGCATTTTAGCAGGTGTAAGCTCCAGCTTTAGTACCTCACCAGCCTCGGCTTCATCATTCGCTTCCACTCACCCATGGCAACATCTCCATTCTCCAGCTCCTCCACGGCCAGCATGAGCTGCTGCGCCGAGAGGCCGTCCCGGTCGATCAGAATATCCCGGGCCCGCTCCCTGTCCCTATCGCCCTCCGTCTCGGGCGGCTCGGGCTCGGGCGTCACTGCCTTCCCGCCGCCGCCGCCGCCGTCCGGTCCATGCCCGTTCACCGCCACCGGGGCGGGGGCGGTGGCGGTGGCGGGGGCGGGAGCGGGCGCCAGCTCCGGCGGCGGCGGCTCGTCGGCGGCTGCCGGCCGGCGCCGCTTCGGTGGCGAGACCGGCCGAGGCGACTCACTGCCGGCTGATACCGGCGAGTCGTAGATACAGGCGTCCGCCTGCCGACAGAAGGGAAGTGTCAGGTCGCCGTGTCAGGTCACCGTGTCAGGGCACTGTGTCAGGTCAAAAAGGTCAGGTCAGAGCGCTGCGGGAAGATGCAGGTCACTGTGATACATATAACTAAGGATACTCAACATACCAGCGCAGTGAGACGATGACATGCTTCACGGAGTAAGTAATCACTGCGTCCGACTGAACAGAAAATCAAATGGAGCAGTTTCTAGGCAAATAAAACGAACTGGAAATTGAAATCGGCATTTTTTCACGGACCGTCGTGTCGAAGTAACTCCTCCAAGTCACAGTGTTCCTTTACGAACAATATAAAAGATATTCAGATTACGAATGCGTTTCACTAGAAAGGATTAGGTGTCGACATGTGAGAGGATTCCTGGGGATATTTCGCACTTGTCGGTAGCGAAGCCGAGAGTATGGTGCACATCAACATTACGCATCTTAGAACAACGATCCTGTAGCTACCGTAAATAATCAACGCGTCTACAGCGCCGAAAAGAGCGATTCACGCCTTTGCGCCTGGTTGACACCGAGCTTGTCAGTGTGGACAGTGGACACCGGTTGACAGTGTACACCAGTGGACAGTGTACACCAGTAGCCACCGCTGACCGGCGTTCCGAGTCGCGCATTCCCTGCCCCCGCCGCAGCTGTACGTGAGTCAGATCCGCCGCTGCCGGCGTCGGGCGCCGCGCGGCAGTGACGGCGGCGGCGTGTCTGGGGGAGGGGAGGCGGGGGAGGCCGGACGGCGGCGGCGGCGCGCGGTGGCGTCAGCGGCACGGCGTCGGCGGCGGTGGGGGAGGGGGGAGGGGCGCACAGGCGGCGGCGGGCGGTAGGGGGGAGGGGAGGGTCGGACGGCGCCGGCCGAGTCCGGAGGTGGATGTGGTGTGGCTAGCAGCTAGCAGCGGCGGCGGGAACAGCAGTGGGGAGGGGGCGGAACGGCCGGCGGCGGCAGCGGCGGCACCGGAACGCCGCAATCGGGGGGCGCCCACAGCCGATGACGGCGGCGGCGGAGGCAGGCGGGCAAGACAAGGCATTCGCCCACGCGCTGCCGACGGGGTGCTGGGCTGGGGATGGGGAACAATCGTTACGGCGGCGGTGGCGGCGGCGGTGGGGATGAGAAGGGTAGGGAGGCGGTGGCGGCGGCGCCGGCGCGGCGGCAGCGGTCGTTGGGACGGCAACAGCCGACCCCGGCCCCTGCGACGGCGGCTCCGACAGCGGTGACGCCGGCAGGCGAACGGACGTCAGCCGTCCGACCGATGACGCCTCCGCCGGCGGCACTGAGTCACTGACGGCCGCTGACGCCATCCTCTGACGGCTGACGTGTCGGAGCAGGCCGCCGCGCTCCCACTGCGCCCCGCAGCGCTCTATCGCGGCTCCGAGCGCCGGCTCACGGCCGCAGCTCTGCGTGGTACTGGCAGGAAAACGCTGCCCGCCGCCCGGCCTGACGAGAAACAGACCGGCCAGCTATGCGGAACCCCGTGTAAATAAACGGCCGTGTGGCAAAACAGGCCGTTTCTACAGGGCGACGACGGCGACGATATGTGTTACCGGCTCATTAACGACCGTTTGTCATCTGACCGTAGAATCAGCGTCCGTTCTGTCGCTCTGACGATCCGGAACATATGTCCGGACTGGTCCGGATAATTGCCCCCGACGCCGACAGCAACAGGTGATGAACAACCGAGCAAGTCCGTCTAGAGCTACACGTCCAGCTTGTAACGGGTTATATAATGAAAATCGATGCCGAATGGCGTCATTTGTCTCTGGCCACTGGAGACTAGTCTGAGGCAGCAGCTCGGTCCAAAAATATTTAGTCTCGATGCTCGTAACAAGCAGGCCGCAGTGGCAGCTACGATGCCCAACAGCGAGTGCCTTTCCTATAGGTGGTCGATTCCTACCGGTCCTGCTGGTGCCTTAGTCCCTTTCTGTAGCTTGATCCGTTCATTCCATCATCTAGCCAGCTTGTAAGTTATTTCCATCAACTCAACCCGACCAGCCGGAGTGACAGAATTGGTGGGATTTGTAGACTCCACCCAGACCACTTCAGTCCATCCCATCAGTCCACTGGTTCCCATTAGCCTTGGTACTTTAGGTGCCGTCAGTCCTGCAAGTTGCAACTCTACCCAATCCAATCAATCACACAAACCAAATCAGTCCTTTGTTCCCAGCAATCCTTCAATGATCTAACCTTTCGGGCCTGAGAACGCCCGGACTACTACACGTCCGGTCGCCAGTGTGTCAATACAGTGCGATCAAATTCGTTAGTTCCAACGTCGATCCCACGTGCGACTGGTCCAATATTCTCACTAGTCAATAGTCTCAGTACAGTCACTACTCCGACAATCGTCATGCACTCTCACAATGCGTCACCGTACGAGCAGGCGTCAGGCCGACAGTGAGTCCCGGACCCCCTGACGACAATCACACTTCCATTCTCTACCCCCCCCCCCCCAGGAGTTCGCGCTACCGGCGGGTGGCACGAGATGACGGATGGCTTTGTAGGGGAGATATTCGGTGCAACTGCATAAGTTGCTTGCAGCAAGCAGTCTTTAGAGTACGTAAGATCAGTCTTGCATTATGCATTTCTTGAAAAGTCGAGGCACTAGTGCCATGCGTCCATTATTATTAATATGCTGTGTAAAACACTCCGTGCCACATTTCGAAAAGGAGATGGCCTGGATGGCCTCAACACTAAGATAAGTAGCCATTTCCAAGCATAGCGCAGAAATGTCTTGACTTGCTGTGATTGAACTTTTTTACCGCCGAAATACCTAGCAATTCTGGGTAAAATTGTCAAAACAGCAAGATTTCATATTTCTTGGATCGGATTTGCTCGGCGTCGCACTCCAAGTAAAGGCCAGTGATGTGAGATTTCGACGTCCATTTATACAGAAGTGGATGGTGCAATGCTGAAGAATTGACAAACTATCAGCAGCGAAACGAGTGTGCCTAAACGTGCCTTCCATACTGCTTCGACCTTTCACAATTAACACACATATGAGATGTCGAAGTGCGTAACATATCTTGACGAAAGCAAATCCCGCTGTGGCCTCTGCCATGACCAGACCGACTCACCTCCTGCTGTATGCCGGTGTCTGCCAGGCCCTTGACCTTGAGCAGCTGTGCGGTGTGCAGGAAGGTGCGCAGCGCCTCGGGAGCCACATTGACCTCTCCCTGGTACATGTACGTCACGATGGCCGACAAATCCGCGTGCGTGACGTCACGCAGGATGATGATCGGGTGCGCGCACGGGTTATCCTGCCCAAAAACGACGGAGAAATGTCATCGGGAGAAAAGGCATAAAGGAGTGATGGCAAATGTTGAGTTTCATCACAAATAGTGTGCCCAAATGTAGTGTCACATTAGGGGTGGCATCATATGAATAGGGATGTTACACTACGAATGAGTGATGATGTGATCAATTTCAATATCAATCTGCGCTGCATCAATAACTGATGTGTTTTATAAACAGCACAGCAGCTTTTCAGGAAAGTAAAAATTAGTGTCACATGATAGCAGTCTTGGTAACAAAAACTATGGAAGTTGAATTGGTATTTTGCAATCAACAATGCTCTAAAGTCTAAATCCCATCAAATACACCTTAAGCAGCTCCAGCAGAACAGGACTGCAGGCCGAGAGAACATTCCTGTGCGCCTTGATTTGACGTCCATCAGTCCAGAGTGTGACATCAACAAACGCCTGGGTGTCTCGGAGTCCGGCCAGAGCTGAGGTGATGGTGGACTGGAAGTTGTTCCAGCGAAGCGAGAAGTGCTCCACAGGTGGCACACTGTCCATCTTGAGGATGGCTGGGCTGGCAGTGCCACAGCACCCTGAGAAAGGCAAGATTAAGATTGAGGTGTATTGGACAGAAGACTAGCTCCCAGCCACTTCAACTTGGATGATAAATCTGTTAGCATTGGCTTTGAGGAGAAAAAGAATGAGCCTGATTAGATTGAGATGGTAGATGGATTCCATCTCTACAGTTTGTTGCTGACTGCTGGCAAAAGCTGTGCTTTTTGTCAAGCAGGGATGACAGGAGGCTTGACCTGAAACTATACCTGTGATGAGAATTGAGAGCACCAGTTCTGATTCCCTACAATAACATCCACATCGACATGTCATTCTCGGAAGCATGTTACGATATCAAGCGGTCCTATCAACAGCCTGATTAAAGCAGGCTTCCTTCTGCTTAAAGGCTACAGAAGACAAGACAAATAGCATTATGTTTAAGGTCCTGTCGTCTCACATGCTAATGCGCTTTGGCTTTCAATGCTCCATTGCATTGGTGGGCATAGGCGTAGGAACAGGGGGGGGGGGGGCCAGGTGGGCAAGTGCCCACCCACTTTTCGAGGTGGGGGGGCCAACCATGTGTTTTGGCCCACCCACTTTTTACTCGAGGCCCCTCGTCTCGATTTGAGAGGACGTCGTCACCTTCCAGAATAAACAAACTCGGTAAAAATAAGTTCCACGAATCCCCACGCACGGACTCCAAGGGGCCGTGATGGATCCAAGGAGGCCCTCTGTTCATACTTATCAGTCGAAGCCCCTAAGACTGATGGCCTAAGAGGCCCTAGTGGATCTGAGGAGGCCCCAATATCCACACTGGTCTGGGAGGCCCCTCCATCCACACTAGTCAGAATAGGCCCCTGACACTGGCGGTCTAGCCGAGGCCCCCTACCCTCACTAGTCAGAGGAGGCCCATCTATCCTCAATAGTCAGAAGAGGCCCCTGAGACTGATGGTCTGGGAGGCCTATCCATCTACACTGTAGTCAGAGGAGGCCCCTGAGACTGATGACCTGAGAGGCCCTTATAATCACACCAGCCAGAAGAGGCCCATGATACTGATGGACTGAGAGGCCCTTCTATTCATACTGGCCACAGGAGACCCCCAAAACTTTCGGTCTGGGAGGTCCCTCAATCCGGCACCAGTCAGAAGAGTCCCCTGAGACTGATGCCCTGGGAAGCCCTTATATTCACACTAGGCAGAGGAGGCCCCTGAGACTGATGGTATGAGAGGCCCTCATATTCACACCAGTCAGAAGAGGCCCCCGAGGCTGATGGCTGTGAGGCCCTTCTGTTCATATAACTGGCCACTGGAGGCCCCTGAAACCGGTGGTCTGGGAGGGCCCTCTATCCACACTAGTCAGAAGAGGCCCCTGAGACCGATGGTCTGAGTGAGGCTCTTATGTGCATACTGGCCACAAGAGGCCCCTGAGACTGATAGTCAGAGAGGTCCACTCGTAATGAATCTGAGGGGGCCCTCTATCCACATTTACACTTTTCTAGGGAGGCCCCCGGGACTGATGGTCTGAGAGGCCCTTTTATTTATACTGTCCACAGGGGCCCCTGAGATTAATGGTCTGAGAGGCTCTATTTATACTAACCAGAAGAGGCCCCTAGGATTGATGGTCTAACAGGCCCTTCTATTTATACTAGCCAGAGGAAGCCCATGAGACTGATGGTCTGAGAGGCCCTTCTATTCAAACTAGGCAGATGAGGCCGCTGAGAATGATAGTCCGAAGAGCCATGCGGCGGCAACTGGCCGTGGCCATATTTCGGCTCGGTAGGGCCCCACAGAGCTCATGAGAGCACCTCAAGGGCTCCTAAGTAGACACGCTTATCCCCATAAGGGTGCGACACCGGCTTCTGAAGGCTCCTTGTAGGCATCTAAGGGCCCTTTTCGGCCTCTAACGGCTCCACCCGCCTGTGATGGCTCCACACCAGTGGTTATGAGCGCCACACAGCGGCGCCTTTGAGGGTCATACTAGTGTCTCTTAGGGCCCTATATCGGTGGCTCTGGGGGCCCCACACCGGCGCCTCTGTGGGCCACCACACCTGTGCATCTCAAGGCTCTATATGTACATCTGAAGGACCCACACCGACACCTCTGAGGGCCCCACACCAGTATCTTGGAGCTCTGAAGGCCCCACACCGGTGACTCTGAGGACTCACCGGCTCCTGAGAGCACCATGTTGATGTCTAACGGCTCCACAAGGCCACTGAAGGCACCACGCAAGCTCTCACTGAGCTCTAATGTCCATGTACCGGCCTCTGAGGGATTTAAGCCAGCGCATTCATAGCTCCACACCAGCAATTGTAAGGGCTTCACACTGAAGTATCTGAGGGTTCCACACCGGTGTCTCTAAGGGCCACATACTGGCATCTCTGAGGGCCCCATACCGGCGCCTCCGAGGGTCCACATCTGGCGGGCACCCATCAGCGACTGAAGGTCCCACACTGTCGACTCCGAGAGCCCCATCTGCGTCTGGGAGCACCATGCCGTCTCTAAGAACCACAGCGGCTCCTCCGTACGAAAGATGGGCGTCTGCATGCCAAAGGGGAGCGGTTCTGAGACAGTAGGGCACCTACGTGCAATAGAGGGGCGCCTATGAAGCCCATAGGGGCGCCTCAATGCGAAAGAGGGGCGCCTATGAGGCCTACATATATGGGCGTCCACATGCAATAGAGGTCTGCAAATTGCAATTGATCAATGCCATGGGGGTGCATTCATAAGAAACAGGGGCGCCGGCATGGCAAAAGAGCATGGCCTTCAAGTGTCCATAAGAGAGAGACGCCTATGATAAGCGCACATTGTATGCGACAACGGGGCGACTGTGGGACATATAGGGATGTCTCTGATGACTATAGGCACATAGGGCGCTTATATGCCAAAGAGGGCGCCTATGAAGCTAATGGAGGCACCTGGGAAACGAGGAAGACATTTCAGTAGGCGGAACTATGGTCAAGCGTACCCATTTTCGGGAACGCATTTTCGTTCCCATGTTTGGGAACGATAAACCCAAATATGGGAACGCCATGTAGGCATTATTTAAAACAAGAAAAAGAACCGTTAAATGACGTCCAAAAAATATAAAACGATCGTGAACCGCCTGATAGTTGTCTCAATATTGTTGGGAAAGAGTTTGATATTGTAAGGCCCATCGTAGTTTCAAATCGTTCCCCTATTTCTAAAGCAGTCCATCACCCGGGCCGCGAGCCCAAATTTGGGAACGCTCTCGTACACTGGCGCTGCAAGCGTTCCTTATTATGGGAACGGCGTACCCAAAATTGGGAACGATTTCACCGACGCCTTTCAGGGGCTCTTTTCATTAACAAGCATCACGTCCAACGCCGCAAATTATTGTTAACGCAACAATCATCAGATGACCTTTCCGGCAAGACCGTTGCATGTTTCGCCCGGTCTTCTGCGCTTTTATTCCCGTCGATCTCGCAGCGGGCACGCCCCCCTCTGCAGGATTACGTAATCCACAACGCTCAGCGATGTTCAACAAGGTCTTCCATACCTATATCCACCGTCCGCGCCGAGGGTGGAGACATGTCAAGCACCTGTCTGCTAATCACCGAGAGTTGACGAGCACAAGAAGTATCCAAAAATGGGAACGCTGAATATGTTACACCCTCAAAACACCTAGTCCCAATGAAAATCTAGTTTTTTCCTTTCTTAATGAGTGTAAGTGGCAAAAGGCCTGGTAGGATGGGCACGAGGAATGATCGAAATCAGCATAAAAATTATAAATAAGCCACACAGAGCGACCTATATCAGAGAAAATCCCCCTAAACGATCATGCTTAAAAACGCCGAAGACAAAAACCACGCTCATGACGCTGCTTATAAAACAACGCTAACAGCTAGCATCCAAATAAAATATGTCTTTAGGGACTGATAAAATACAGCTGAATGATTTTAAACCACTGAAACTGAGTTTACAACAGTAGTTCGGTAAAATCACTGACGTTCTACGCGGTCGATCGCCCCGACACCAAAAGTCAACAATATTACCTCGGGACTGTCCGCGTGTTCGCTTGCATATGTCAGCATCTGGTGTCGCTAGAATGAAACTTCATAACCAGGCGAAAATTATTATACTTGACCTCAAAATGTAAAAAATGCTTCATTTTCCTTAAAATTGCATGTTAAATGTCGTATAACCCATATTTCCACCATTCTGTCATTTTAAAAAAATCATTAAAAATATCATTCCACGGTCAATTTCCTTGTTCCACGGTCAGATTAAAGATAACTTTATGGAGATTTAGTAGATACTTAAATCAGCGTGCACTTTTTTGAGACGTGATGCACTTTTGAGTTTTAGTGGGCGAACGGCCGAAAAATTGCCTTCCGTTCTCATAAATGGGAACGCCCGTTCCCATATTTGGGAACTCCGTTCCCAAAAATGGGAACGTTCCTATATTTGGGTACTCATGACCATAGTTCCGCCTACTGATTTGTGTAAGGGTTTTCAGGGGTCATGCGCCGTTTGCGGCAAAAAGATTCTAAAAAAAAATTGGAGAGGGAATACGTTTTAAAAATGGTGCGGACTTTCCGCACTATTTGCTTAAGCGGTTACGCCCCTGGGTACATCTGCCCGATCTCAGAAGCTAGATTTGGAGGTCATACTTGAAAGCAGCCAGCAGGACGAGGCAAAAGTTGGAGGCCCCTGAAAATAGGAGGCCCCCTGGAAAAGGAGGCCCCTTGACAGGGTGGCCCACCCACTTTTCATGACGTTCCTACGCCCATGTTGGTGGGCACTGGGCACTGAACACTTTAGCAGTTATTGACCTGGCTATATAATCAACAACACTTCGAACGTGTTGAGTGAAATGTACGCAGTTACCTGAAGATCCTGAGGGTCTCAAAATACCGAATGTCAGATATTATCGTTTATCTTCACGCCAATATCAAACGCACCACTCCCAGCTGCACCTCCACCGCTCATCAAAAACAAACAACACCACACTGAGGAAATGTGCAGGCGCCGCAATGGTCTCCGCCCGCTCACAATAGTATCAGCAAATGAGACAAGAAATGACGCTTCTCTATCGCCGCATTTGGTAGCATTTGGTAGCAATTTTTTCCCTGTCATATTCCTTTGCCTTCTGTTTTCATTCAAGCATGAAGTAATCATAAATATCGTTATTGTATGAATGATGAACTCTGCGATAAATCACTTGCACCTTGTTCTTTCATGAGAATCTAATGCCAACACAGTGCTGATCTACGAAAGGTTACACTTCACCTAAATGTCTAACTTTTTTTGCTAGTAGACGGGTGAGTGCTGATAGGTGGCAGCACATACAGGTTAGAGTGTTTGTAGGTGGCAGCACAAAGCACTCAAGATGATTAGAAATTATGTGATCTGTTGCGCTTTACCTTTCAATAAGATAAAAAGTGCTCGTTAGTGTCAGATTCAAGTGCGGAGCTGTGTGCCAATTTCTGATCATTAAGATTATATGGATCAAGCCAGAGCAAGATGGAGTGAAGACTGAAGAGGGAAGGTGCAGCTACTTACCTACGCCAACAATAATCTGGCTCAGGCTCGTTTTCCTGTTTATCGGACTAGATGGGGGTGATGGTCAGCCACTGTACTGAACAGCGGACATATTCAGCCATACTGATACAGAATTGGAAAGGCTCAACATAATGGCGGACGGCTGGTAAGTTGCCGACGGGCCCTGCTCTGTCACAGTGCGGTATTTGGATGGAGACCGTTGGTCGTTGCCCGTTGGAAGTTAATTTTCGCCCATGTGGCGTGTCTTGGAAGGTCACGGACGGACTCACAAGACCGTAATCTGTACTTACCCGTCAGCGGTCAACCCCTAGGCCTAAAGTCCCGCCTGAGACTGTGGAGAGTATTAGCAGGTTCCGTCAGACTCGTTCTCCAGGTAGGCTGCAATGCCTTAATGCAAATGGCACTACCCGTTTCCCACGGCCCAGTCTCGCTGTATGATTGCAGATGCAGGCAGGTCTATCAGTGGCGGTGATGTGACCCCATCCCCTCCTCCCCCCAACCTCGAAAAAGCACGCACGCGGCACACTTCGAGCCGTGCGTCGCTCCGCCCCCCGCCTGCGATGCAGCACCCTGCACCCACAAGTCGTTGGCACGCATCATCAACAACAACAACATTGAGATTTGAGAGAACTGACCAATCACAGACTGCATTCACTCAGACACTTATACGGATAACAGAGGGACCGACCGCCAACCGTTCCACTACGTGTGACGGTGTTATCGTTGATTTGGTAATTGGTTTGTCTTTTTCAGAAAGGCGGCTATTGTTTCTCATGACTCATGCTGAGCGTGGTTCCTGGTGGTTTCGGTTCCTCCGAGGCTCTACCTATCCATGGTTCTGCCAAAAAGGAGATCAGCATGCGCCTCTCCACATGTCGCCACTCGCCACGCATGCTCAACCTCTGCTTTCGGTGAGTACGAACACAATCAATGAATTGACAATTAATGTACATTGTACACTGTACAGATCGCTAACGACCCTAGCCATGAGTCGAAAGTGGGGGGGGGGGAGGGAGGGACAGGCGTCAAAACTGTTGGTCGGTACTCGGTAGCTTGTTTCGTCCCAAAGGCATGATAAATATAAATTGCCGAGTGTAAGCGCAATGTTAAACATTGAATTTGGGAGAGAGGTTATACCTACCCCCGCAAGCTGCGCCTCCGCCATTCTAGGCTCGCTGTTGATAATGCCTCCAGTTGTTGGAGACAAACCCACCATTATCTAAGTTGTGTCTGGGCGCCATATCGTAGCTGACTGGCCAACATCGGCCTCTGTCCGACCGATGTTGGCGATCATTAACTATGTCGGAATTCAGTACATCGCTGACGATCTTCAGTGGCTAGGAGCTCAGCGTTTTAGACGGCTCAGCTGGATCACATTACAGCCCTGTCCCGGCCCTAATGAGCTTTTCACATGGCTTGTCCCGGACCATAATGGCGAGCTGGTGTCACTATGATTATCATTGAAATCGAAAGCAAACGAGCAGACAAAAGAAAATGTAACGCCAGTAAAACGCCCAAAAGGCGTTTTACTGGTGTTTTATGTCTCTCAAGTTAGCGTTGAAACATATTCAAAAGAAAATGTATTTCGAAAATGATGGTTCTTAATAATATAAATGCATCTCTATTCCCTACTAACATAAAGGATGCTTCTTAGATGCACTGAAAATGCAGGTATCTAACTAGGAAACGATTAATAGTATCACAAGTTCTTTGGCAGGAACCAGTGAGGGACGACTGTAAATGCATAAGGGAGCGGCGTCCCGATACTTTCCCCACTGATACATGGTCTCCACGGCAGCTGCATCGCGGGGATACGGGAGGGGGTTGTGCCACCGCGGACTCAGGTCCCAGCTCCGTGTCGGTCCGTGGCTTGTGTGGTCGATAGCTCCACTCTGACGTGGCTGACGGTGGCCGTGACGTGACGGTACCACGAACGGTGAGTGACACTGAAGGTGGCGGTGACGGTAGCATGAACGGTGACACTGACGGCGACGGTGGCATGGGGTGGGCAAGATACGAGACCAGTTTTAGTAAGCCTGTCATGATATATGCGTTGGTGTGCATCACTCGTGCTACTGAATATCCATGATGTCGAAATACCGGCGGGTCCCCCTGAGTTACCATGCCAGCCACAGCTGCCGGCCCCACACCGACCATTGGAGATGAGAGGTCGCACCTCCTCGCCAGGTGGCGACCTCAGCCGCCGGGGACGGTGACTGACAGCTGCCACCAGCTCATCGTGAGCCGCTCCTGATGGCGTCGTCTCACCCTTCTGTCTCACCCCTCTCCCAGAGTGGGGCTAATCAGAGCAGCCAGATCTGCTCCACACGGGACCGAGTGGCGAAATTGGCTGTCTTTGGCGCTCAGGGTATTTGGGATGGTCGGACCACGGACCGGGACTTCCTCTGGGCTGGAGGAAGTGGCTCGCTGATGCATCCGGTGTCTTGACGCATCCCTCAGAGCGTCTCAGGATGTTCCTACTCATGAACGACTCAGACCGTAGCCTGAGCTCGTCGCCAGCGATGGGAGGGGGGAGGGGAGGGCGGACGCTCTGGAAGGGTTCGCCGGGGTCGGAGGAGCCTCCCCTAGGGTGGGAGAGGCGCACCTGGACCGACGACACCTTACAATGCCGGCGGAGCGCACAAAAACGTCGCCAACCCCACTTCCGCGGCGCATATGCAAACATGCTAATGTGCCGCGTACGTGAGAGCCGCGCGACGCCCGCTACCTGGCGCCGCTCGCGCGCGCCGCCACTCGCGCCAAAACCGGTCGGCCCGCGGATGCAAATTTGGCGCGCCAGCGTCGATATGCCCTAATGACGGTCCGGTATGCATGGAAGGGTTAGCGCCGAATGTTTCTTTGAAATCCAATGGTTCTGGGAGTATGCAAATGGTGCCGCCTTAATCTTCTTTATGGACGGCGGCGGCGGGAAAGTTTTCGTTTCGGCGAGCTCGGTTTGCATAAGAGTCGACGGTCGTTTTGCATAGTGGGGCGGCGGCGGACAGGTTCTGTGGTGTCGCCCGACCGGGGTCTCAAATGAGCACGCATGGGAATGTTACCGGCCATCGCCCTCGCGCGGTGAACGGACAAACTCTATATCAGATTCGAAACTGGTCCTTGGCATTCCTCTTCCGTGCGAACAGTGGCGCGGGAACTTCTTCCAGACTGGGGGGGCTGAACCATCATAGAGATCAACCTAGGGTACCCCCAAATCTAGTTTTCTCATCGGTTTTAGGCCACTTATTTTTCAGACCTTGGCCTTTTCAACGAAAAAAAAAGAAGAAAATATTTGCAAAAAAAGTGAGATAGGTATTCCGTCTCAGCTGAGTGAAGAAACTACCGTTTTGGCAACCTGGAATAAAGGTTTTAAGCTGCCAAATGAGTTGCCGAGTCAGTAAAATAGGTAGATTTTTTCACTTACATGCTTTCTTTCTTTGTGACTCACAACCCCTAATTTGGGGAGGACAAGCTGCCCCAACGGTTCCTGGCCTCATAAAAAGATGTGAGGCACCGCCCCCACGGCCCCAGAGTTGTGAGGGCAAGCTTCCCCCACTGCCCTCTCCCCCGGTTCCCGCGCCCAAGATTACTTTCTTGCGCCTATGTATGAATCTATGAAATTGTGTTGGTAGATTTCCGATTTCGATTCCTCCAGCTGGGGGGGCTCAAATACATTACGAGCCCCCCAGCCGAAAAGTTGGAGGGGCTCAGCCCCCCCTAGCCCCCCCGGTTCCCGCGCCACTGCGTGCGAATGAGCAGAAAGGAGATTGGTTATGGCACAGGTAAAAGAGCTTTGAGCCAGTGGCGGATCCAGGGGGGGGGGGGGGGCTGCGGGGGCTGGCAGCCCCCACCCAAGGAAAACTGGCGCCAATTTTCAATTCGCAACTCATCGGAGTGCCGCATACTAGGACTAGGATGCAAAAATCAGTCGAATAACGTCGTTTCAGTACGCTCCGCACCGATATTTCCAATCGTGTGGTGTCACTGTACATACTGATCCTGGGCGCCTCTTGTCAGGGCCACTGGGCGCCAATATTTCAGCGCCAATACGATGCGACTATGGCGCCCATCCGGGGCGTGGCGCCCAATTATGACCTGCAGCCCCTCCCCAGTGAAAATCCTGGATCCGCCACTGCTTTGAGCGTGTCACATTGTTGGGCTTCACTTGCAGAATAGGGAGTACTGCCCGTGCCACACACAACGAAAACACCTGGAAAATGAAATTCATTTTGTCATGGAAAGAAGGTTTCCTGAAGTGCGAAGATGAATGTCAGCTGGCGAACTGATGATTCAGTGGCTAAGTTCTAATCTTTCCGTATATGCACTGCTGACTGCCATATGTTTACCTAATGTTTAAAATCGGGTTTTCGAGGACGACATAGTCCTAACTGGCCCATGGTCTTGCCCAGTGTAGCTTCAAAAATCAACTGATGTGTTGTGTGTACGAGGACGATTTGCCTTTAATCAAGTTATTATAACGAATTTGC